AGTCAGAATGGAAGTTATATGCTCCAGTTATTAATCCTAATTATTAGTCTAGCTGCTGTGTTTTGCACAAGATGAAGCTTTCAAAAGTCTTCAAGAGCCGCCCCACAAATAGAGCATTGCAGTAATCTAGTTGACAGATTACAGAGTTTAGCTTATGAAGCCAAGCTATTCCTGTTCAGCTAGGAGCTTAGTTGGGCCACCAATGGAAGCTAGTAGAAGGCATCCCATGCCAGTGAAGCCACCTGAGTCTCAAGTGTCCTGTTCTGGCTCATTATGCATGATCTGAATTTGAAACCCAAACCAGTTCTCTAGCTTTGAACAAAAAAAATCAAAGCCCCCAGAAGAAAGTTCAGCTAGGGTCTTTTTCTTTTTTCCTAATTATTATTTATGTCAACTTTTTACCAGCACATTCTTAGGGCTGCCTAGTATGTGTAGAAATCCTTCCTGGCCTGTTTCTTTTTCAGCTTCAGTTGTCAAAGGGAGAACCTACCTGTTAATTGAAAGCACTCTTTGGGCCCACTTGGTCCTGGGTAATCCAGGTGTCCTTAGGCCATGGTTAGACAACCTATCTGCCTCCAGATATTTTGGAATAACTCCCAGTATAGCCAGTGGTCAGATTTTGGGGCTTGTAGTCCAAACAAACTGAAGAATACCAGTTTGTCCATCCCTGTCTTAGGCCTTCCCACCAGGGTTCCCCCCAGAAGCATGTGCAGGTCTCTGACATACCCACATACACACACTCACCATCAGTGGGGCAAGGGGAGTCTTCTCATCAGAAATATTTAGGCACAAGGGGCTTTATTGAACTTGCAGGATTAAAACCACATGAAGTAATTGGTTTATGAGAGCCAGTGTGGTATAGTGGTTAAGAGCATGGGACTGGGACTCAGGCGATCTGGGTTCTAGTTCCTGCTCAGCCATGGAGCCAACTGGGTGACTCTGGGCCAGTCACAGACTCTCAGCCCAGCCTACCTCACAGGGTTGTTGTTGTGGGGATAAGATGAATGGGAGAATGATGTAAGCTGCCTTGAGCCCTTTGTAGGAAAAAGGCAGGATATAAATTGGGGTGGGGGGGAGTAATTCAACAAAACAAAGGTATTTCATTTGTAAACCAAGAAAGAAGATAACAACACACATTCCAGGTGTTTTATTTATGAAAGCCTACCTTGATAGATTTGCTAATTAGCAGCAGGCTTTGAGAGAGACCAATCAAGACAGACTGCCTTATGAAGGGGAAGAGGATGCTATAGGAGGCCAGTATGCACTTTGTAGGTGTTGTGCTGCCATCTTGTGGCCTGTAACAATTGTGGTTATTATAATATACACAGTTCTGATACTAGTCATCAGTTTTGGATTATCTGTTTTAGCTGTAAGGCTGGAGAACCTGTAGAAATCTGAAGAAAGATAAGATGAGCTGGTCTTTTCACAAGCAATGACAGTTTTAACTCTGCACTCTGCCAGGTAAGATAAAACAACTTTCAGTTCCTGAATGGCACAATCCTGTGTATGTCTACTTAGAAGAAAGATTCTCTGTGGTCAGTGGATCTCACTCCAAGGTAAGGGCAACTTCAATTAAAGCAAGCCCATTGGAAACAGTAGAACTTGCTTCTGAATAGACATGCAAAGGATTTCATTGCACTTTTCGTTGATGAAACCTAATTAAAGTCCAAAGGTGCCATTACTTACAATTGCTGGGTGACAAGTTTCCCTTCCCTTATTACTATACATATGTAGTAATATTTGCATCATTGAAATAATTGATATCATTTCCCAGCAGCTGAGGGTGGGCACATTGGAGGTGGACCACTGGAAGTACTGAGAGGGTGTCTGTGGCACATTCACATGTGGCTGCCATTTTCTGCTTACTCATAAGCTATGGTGGCCTCAGCCAATCACAAAACACTCATTTTTTCAATTGACAAATAACATGCTTGAGAATCTAAGCACAAGGGGAAGCTAAGCTCATCTCTCTGAGGCACAGAACCACTTTTTTGCACCCAAATACAGATGGTCTTCATGAACAGCCTTTCACTTTGCAGTATGCCAGCCTGCAAGCTAAAAAATTAAAGTTTTAAAAATTAAAAGACATACAATAAAAATTAGAAAGGGCAGAGCAGCTCAGGAGGAAGCTATAGGTATGCTGGAGCCCAAGTGCCCTGCATTGGCGGTCTGGTGCTTAAGTGATCAATGAGTTCCTAAACATTCCATATTGTAAAGACTGTCCCAGGATAAATGATCGTTCTGGGAACACGGTATAGGGAAGGGGTCTCCTTCACAGCACCCTTTGGAGAGAGAATGGGAGGGAGAGATAGTGAGAAAGAAAGGAGCCAGGGAAAGAGAAAAGATCAGCCAGAGAAAGAGAGACAGACAGAAAGGAGCAGGAGGAGGCAGCATGAGTAGCGCGCACACACAGGGTGCACATTCATGCATGCACACGTTGGTGTGTGCTCCCGTCATTTGTGTGGTTAGCCCCCCACTCCACATGAACCCTGCAGGTAATTTGTGTTAGTGGCACAAAATGCCATGTGTACCCACAATCCCAAATAATGGTAGTATAAGTTGCAATGTGAAGCAAGGAAATCAGTTTGTGCTGGGGAGGGGATCTATTTCAGCCAAAAGAAACAAAACAAAACAAAACCATTTTCAATTTACATTTTTGGCAGAAGAAGAGCAATTATTTACAGATGGCAAATAATCATTTCAATCATAAGCTATCATGAGTTCAATTTTGTGCCTGCATAACATTCCTGTTTTTTAAAGGAAATAAACAGATCCAATCACAAAAGATAGAGCCTATTCATATTTGCAAACACAAGAAATGTTAGATTTCATAGATGGATGCACGCTACTAATATATTTCCAACACTGCTTTGTTGCCACAAAGCCCACCAATTTTAACCATCAGCTTCAGAGAACAGCCTTTGTCATCCTGTGCTATCAGACTATGCCATCTGCTGTTTTGGATGGAGGATAGCATAATTTTCAGTATTATATCAATATTATATTCAGTGCACTGTGTTACATGTGTATGCTGCATATGCAAGACAGAATACGTCTTTATCACTGTTTGTTTACCAGGAGCCTTTATGATCTTATTACAAAAGAATTGTTGCAGTCTTTATTAATGAGACTTCAGTGCCATCTGTTCACACAGCAGGAGTTTTAGATCCAAGCCAAAAGGACTTAATCTCCTGAATTTGGCTGGATTGTGCTCAGTGGTTGGCATAATCTATGGTTTTAGACAATGGACAAGTCCTGCTCTATTCCATAGCACCCTTCATTGTGCAGGGGCAGGGGGTGAACATCACCTTGAGGATTTCAGGAGATACTGAGCCACTGACATTTTGCTTTCAGGAACAAAACAAAATGGAACAAATGTTTCCAGCTTTGCGAAGCAAATAACTGAGTTTTCAAAAATCCAATATTATGTTCCAAATTCATCTTTAATGAGGCTAACTCTGAAATTTGCTAAAAGTAATATTAAGGAAAAAAAACTTCCACAGAGAAAAGTCTTTTGAACAGCTGGGGGAATTTGGGCTAAATCATACATTTAAAATCCTCAGATTTCATATTTCTTCCATGACCAAACAGATAGTCTAGTAATTCACCAGTCTTCATTTTTCCTATTGTGCTGTCTATTGAAATGACATTTAGAAATTACATATAGCCGATTTATAGTTTACCCGTTCTGTAAATTTAACTGTGCAGGAAGGTTGATGATTGTTTCATGGAAAGCAGGATCACCCAAGAAAGCAAGGACATGAATATGCAGTGCAGTATTGCTTGGATAAGGACAACTTTCCCCTGTGGGGGTGGTCCAGTTTCCCTGATCCTTCTTTCATCTGAAAATTGTGGTGCTTTGGGGAAGGGACGTAGCTCACAGCCTCCTTCGCACCCCACTTACCTATCTTGGAGTGTCAACCACCATCTCCTCCCATCTCCAAGCATTCTTCCAGCATCCTCTATAATCCAGCCCGTTTTTCCCTGTCCTGCACTGTCTACCAGCTTTGGTGGCTCTGTCAGGAGGATACTTTGGGCAGAAGTCCGAGAGCCCATTGAATGAACTGAGCAGAAGTGTCCCTGGCTGGCTTACCATCTTTTGAAGTGAAGTGACCTCTTACTAGCACCAGTGACAAAGGTCTTGGTGTGTCATCCCTTCCTGGAATCCCCCAGCTACAGCTGAGCCTTGGACTGTCTCACCAAGCCCCGAAGTCTGCTAAACGCAACTTCCTCTCTGACACTTAACACTTTCCTAAACATGTCTACATATTTGGTAGAGCATCTGTACCTAAATTTGATATAGTACCTGAGGCCCAGCCTCTACCTCAAAGGCATATACTTGGTGTGAGAAGAGCTCTGGTCATCACCCATTTCCCTTTTCCTCAGCGTATTTTCTCCATGCTAGTAAAACAGATGTTAGCCTGGGTGAGGGAGGCTGCTAGCCCATCTCCAAAGCCCTTGTCTGCCAACCACTCTACCTCTCTCAGCTTCTCCAAGTCAGTTCCTTTAGCGTCAAGAGAACAGATTCATTTCCTGTGGGTGAGTAACTCACTGCACCAAGCTCCCACACACCCCTGCGTATCATACACATGACTCTCTGTGCAATAGCCCCAGACCTATATTTTCACTTTTTTTAATCCTGTATTTCACCCTTTTATGTTTTATTATGTAAATCTTTCTTATTGAGGCATAGCATAAAATATCTGTGATAAATATATTGATACGTTTGCCATGCAAATCCCATGCAAGTCTCTGTCTGACTTTCAACTGAATATTGTGGTGAGTTGACTAGGCACTTGCTTTTTCTGGAGTTTCTCCTCTTACATTGCACAAGCTTTCCCCAGTCTGGCATTCTCCAGATGCCTTGGACTGCAGCTCTCACACTTCTCAGAAAGTACAGGAATGGCTCACTGGGAATTACAGGAGTTGCCCTCCAACATATCTGAAGGTTAGATGTCAAGTCTTGCTCCCCTGAAACACCAACAGACCAGCACATGTTAAAATCAATTGTAAATTATTTTTATTGTGACAAGATAACAACACAATATCTCAAGAGTCAACAGCCCAGAGACTTCACACCATTCTCAGATAACAATGTGGAAACCTAAGACAGGGTTATAAAATCCAACATCAAATTCCAAAACAATTCAACCTAGAGTTAGGAACAGTCTGGCAGATGGGATCCTAAAGGCACGGAATTCTAGGCATATAGAACTTGAGGTGTCAGGTGTATATTCCCAGGGAAGGACCCAAAAGCATGGGAGTCTAGCTAAGTCAAAAGTCCAGGGCTCAGCTGCAGCTCAAGCACAAGAGTTTTCCAGTATCCAAGGAGCTATTTAGCCTCTGCAGTAGCTTTTAAACAGAGGCAGCCTGCCTAGAGCTCTTAGGCCCCGCTATACCTGCAGGAAATAGATTTTATCCAATACTAGTCTAAATAAGCCCCCTTCATTTTGGTAGGTCTACCCCAAGTAGAACTAATATTGGACAAAACCTGTGGGCAGCATCCAGCACTTCTGCTTTGTTCACACTGTTGATGTGTCACTAGCATAAACAGTAGTGTGCCATTAACATCAGAACATACAAAAAGCCACGCTGGATTGCACGTCCATGGTCCGTGGAATGGTCCATCAAGTCCAGCACTCTGCGTGCCCAGTGGCGAGACAGTTGCCCACAGGATCCCTCAAACAGGATATGGGCACAACAGCTGTTGCAATAGGAATTCCCAGAAAATCCGGCATGCCCGTATTTGCTGCTGATATACTGGTAGAGGTCACTTGCATTAGTGGTGCCTCAATACCGTAAGCAGACTAGCAGTGTTTGATACTGCCCACTGTTTTTAGGGGAGAGCCCCTGAGGAAGGGTACAAGAAGCCATTCTCATGAGGAATGTGCTTGTTCAGGAGCCATGAAATGATGACTGACTGTTAAGGGAGACTGGGAAAGGGAGAAGGGAATACCATGGAACGACTAGAATCCTGAACATTATGCCACTACTGCTCCAGCATTTTGTTGCAGGCCCAGGTTATCTGATTCATAATTAAAGATTCCATAGTAAATTTTATGTCTACCTGCACCTCCTTTTCTTTCTTTAAAGGGCCATTCATTACAGCAGGACACCCCTATCTCAAGGATCCCAACGTGTATCTAGACTATCAAATCCCACTTGTCCAAATTGGAACTTTAAAAAATGATACTCAAAACCAGGAGGTAGGACCATACCCTGAAAGGAGTCCCATGTGACCCTGACAGCGAGCAAACAGAAGCACTGGAGAGTTAATTCTGGTGTTCCTTCCCCAGTTGTCCACTGCAGACCTGTGTACAAGATGAATTGCACATTTGCTCCAAATGCCAGGTCAAGTGAGAGCACTGCCTAGCGGGTGCTAGGCAATGTGGGCTGTGTTAGTAAGCATGCCTGTGGGTTGCCTGGTCACCAGAGTGTGCCTTTTGCGTCCCTGGACCTGGCAGTAAAGGAGAGGGAGTGTTCCTGGGGCAGGCAAACAAAATAAATAGGGGACTAACATTAGTTGCAAGGCTTGCAGGCAAAGAAATGGGCCTCCGATTATCTTTTAATCTATTACAACCGCAATCTTATGAACACTTAATTGGGAGCAAGTCCTATTTAATTCAGTGGCATTTACTTCTGGATAGGCATGAACTGAGTTGCACCATTAGCTGACATGGCCCTTTCACAAAAACTGATTTCCTAAATTATTATTATTGCTATTTTTATTATACATCTATATATTGTCTTATTTTCTAATAAGTCATTTACAACTGGGTAAATTAACAAAATCCTTAAACAATTTTTCTAAGGAATGTAAATCAATAAAATATTTAAACTAATACATAATTTCAAATCCTGTGCCTTTCACCCTTTCGAAATGCCATGAGTGTGAACTAATCCTCTTACATGAGGGAGTGAAGATTGAGAGCATCTCAGGAGAAAGCACTTTTTTTGGTTCCTGACATTACAAGCCTCTGCATGTAATGATGTCTTCAACTGCATCTCTCCTGCATATCTTAATATCAATTCCCAACCCATTTTTAAAACACGACTCAAACTCATTGGATTGGATCCAGTCCTAATGATATAATAGTACTAACCTTAGTCATGACTAACCTAAGTCCCATTGATTTCAGTAACTGTAAATATGACTAAATCTGTAACTAATCAATTGTTTAGGGAAAAAAATTGGTGAAAATAAGAAGTCTGTGAGCTTAATGCATGAAAGTTGCATCTATGTTGGGGTGAATATGCACATGGAAAACCATTCATAAGGAGCACTTAAAAAATTTGTAAGTAACATTCCAAACATTAATCCTGCTCTGACATGGATTTCATCCTAACAAAAAAGCTGATGAAATAAATTGTTCTATTGCAATGCTTGAAACTGCATCAATGTTCCAAAACACAGCAAATGGTTCCTCAGACAGTATCAGACTGGAGACACTTGGTTGATCTTACAAGGTGTTTGGCATTCAGCTGGAACTGCTGAAGTTGAAATTTCTTCTTCTGGTTTTGTGAGAATGACTTGACCACAGGTTATGAACTCAACTGCACACTCACGAAACTGAACAAGAAAAAGTTAAGAAAACAATGTTACGAGTGTTTGGCACCATGGCTAAATAGCATCGCTTTCTAGTATAATCCTAAATTGCATTATCTAAGGTAATTCAGGAACAATATTCTAGATCCTTTGGGCAGCATGTTTTGACCCATTCTTGGTTCAATTTGGCTCTTATTGACATTTCATTCTCAATTATCACCTATTTTGTTAATAGAAAAAGTGCTCAATTTCTCTCCACTTCTGTTTCCCACCTACCTAAGGAATCTGTGTGTTTTTCCCCTTAAGGACTGCAATAGATCTAAGCAGCAGATGGATTATATATTTTCAAAAACAGTTTTGAATGCCTGCTGCAGCCTCTTTCTATGTTTCATCTTAAGACTGTGAGTAAAGGCAGAAACCACAATTTCAGCCTCAGGCAGCTTTCCTCCTGCTTTCTTTGATTACTATCTAGCCTGATGAATAGTTTGCACACTCTTTTGTGAACTCTATTGCTTGCTTAATATGCATAATATTTATTTATTTATTTGAAACATTTGTATCCCATCCTTCACAACAGCTACTCAGGATGGCTTACAAGCTTAAACCAACAAAGATAAAAACAATCTATAGTACAATAGAAATAAATAGTGATAATAAATACAGCCAGTAAAAATACAATCGGATTCAAATTGATTGTATGAATAAGAATCTTGAGATATCTATGCTTTAGTCAAAATAGAGATAGAGACCCTCTGGCACCCCCAATGTTGCTGAATTCTAACTCGCATCATCTCTACTCCCCACAGAGTTGTAATCCAACAACACTGGGAGGGAGGTGTAAGCTCCCTTTTTCCAAGCTATAAACTTTCACTGCAATTTCACATTCTGACATCCAAAACCAGGCACCCAGATTGATTTCTATTAGTACCATCACCTAATTATTTATTTTCAGATTTTCCTGTTGAATAGGGGTTTCTTGGCTGAAAAAAAAAACCAAAAAAAGACCTTAACCAACTTAATTGGTCTTACACACTGGAACAATCAAAGGCGGATGGTGGACCCTGGTGGCTCTCAGGGACAATCACATGGTGCATCCATTCCTGGTTGTAGTTCAGACTTATTAAGGAGCTAGCTGTGGTACTGAACATTGGTTGATCCTAGCATTCAGGACCATGGACAGCTCCTCTAAAAGTCAGACTGCCATCCAAAGTGGATACATTGTTCCACTGACATTGGAGTTACTAGCCTCCATTATGTGAGGTGGAAATGGCATCCCTATTCGATGTATTGATGCTTACCCCATCACCAATCAAAAGCTTGTTCTCCCACAACTAAAGCCACATCCTGCCTTTGGCAAATGAAACAGAACTTTCATCCCAGCCTTTTCTTGACTTTGTAAAGCCTAAGAGCCCTTTGCTTTCATGATTGCCAGCCTAATTGCACAGGCCATAAAAGGACATCAAAGCTGCACTGACAGTATTTCAGTTGTGGGAATAAGTATTTTTATTTATGGCATCTAATGACCCCATGCTTGCTAATGGCCGCCACTCCATAACAGAAGGGGCTGGGTTAGGTGTGAACATCCCAGAGCAATGGCATATAGTGCCACCAGTGCCAACAGTGAGACCACTGTTTCAGACCCTAAACTCTCTGCCACTGGCTGGGGACACTGGGCCAATTGTCAGAGCCATTGCTACTGGGAACAAGAGGTTGCCATTATCTCCCTTGCAAGTATCTCCTTTGAGTGCTGGCTGAGGCTGCATTCCAGTGGTAGGTGAGGCAAAGCAAAGGGACCACGTTTTTCTGCCAGGAACTATCCCTCAGGAGGGGAATTCCAAGCTTTTAGAATGGGGGGGGGGGGCAGTGAAAAATCCTGGCAACCACTCAACAATGGGGGATCGAGCCAGGGGAAGGAGGTGTGGCTGTCTAGGGCCCTCAGAGGGCCTGACTGGAAGATCAGACAGGGTGGACTTGGCCTGCAGACAAAAAAGAAACTAGGAGATACCTGAGGGATAGATTTCTATCCAAGGCTGTATCATCAGCACTGTTGAGGAATCAGCTGAATTATGTTGACCAAACTGTGGCATCATATATATGACACAAGAGGTAATACAGATAAACTGGAAACTATTGATAAGATAACAGTATAGATAATGTTGGCATACTAGCTATACCAAGCACCTCTTTCCCATTATGTATGCAGTCTTAGTCCAGGTAAGGTACACAATCCTACTTCTGGATCTGGGATCCTGTTGCCTTGGAAGACTCTGACCAAGAAGGGGATCTGCATGGGAAAGTCTGTTTTTGTGTGCAGAATGCCCTTGCTGGACAGGATGCTTGTGTGAGCACTCAGAAAGTCTCTAGAAAAATTATTCTAAAAACCAAAGAGACACGTGAAACTAGACTAAGGCTACCCAAGAAGGATCTCACAATAACCAGCAAATTTGAAGTTGACAACCAATTTGTGATACACAGATGAATCTGCAGGTTGGATTCCACTCCATTCCATTCCTCCCATACCTTACCAACAAAAGATACAATTCCAGGAATACCTGTTTGTTCAAGAAAATGTAGATAATGGGGTTATATACTGGGCTGGTCTTTGACAGATAAGTTGGAATGGTTGCAGCCAGAGGTGAAATGTGCAGTGCTGGGTTAAAGACGACAATGAGAGCAAAGACCGTGTAGGGTAGCCAGCAGATCAGAAAAGCCACCACCATCACAAGCACCATCACTACTGCTCGGAACTCTTCTTCTGCACTACTCTTTCCTCCCATTTGTTCAATTTTCTGGTTTAGCTGTCAAATCAAAGCAGCAGCTGTCATTCCAGAAATCATGGTCTCACGTTCATCCTAGGTCTACCGTTGCATCTTAATGAATAAAGCGTGCTGTGCACCATATATAAGGTTCATGGAAATGAAAATTTTCTGGCAGGCAATTGCTCTTTTTGATGCTTGGACATCTCTTCTGTTAGCTGTGATTGTTCTTGAACTGCTCTTATTTATTTTTGTTCTCATTATGGCTTCTGTTGTTTAAATGTTGCTACTTTTTATTTTGATTTTATGCTGCAAAGTACTATGAGGACCCCTGGAGGGCAGAGAACAGCAACACTGGTTTCAATAAACCCAGGCAGTATGTACACACAAAGCTGTTAGGACCAGTCTTACAGAAAGCTTATTTGTGTATGATGAAACCAAAAAGAGGGAAAAGAAAGTTCTGGTACTGTTTGAATGATAGGCTATTAGACAGCACACTAAAGGCATTTTACTCTATGAGCTGAAAACTAAATTTAAAGCCGGTCTTAGGATCAAATGGTGTGATCTTCATATCAGTCTGGAATTTTTTTAGGACCAATTCTAGATGGGTCACCATTCTGATATTTGAAAAAATGGACAGAGCAACCCTATAGCCACTAGACAGAGAGCAAGAGGGTTATCCAGAGACCCAGCACCAAATTTGGAAAACAGCTCTGACTGCAGGGGTCGGAGGGGTACAATCAGTCTCAGACAATGTATCATTAGGCATTATTTATATAGCAGTATGCATGTTTTTGAAGCACAACTTTTAAAGTATTTGCATGTTTTTGCAGAGTGCTTTCAGAGAAGTAGGAGCATGGAAATAGTCAGACATCTTATGGGATTTCGTTTAAGTTAGGCATTAACACCAGGGGCAAACTGGCTTGTGACAGAGAAGTATGGGGTTCCATTTATTAGCAATGAGAAATGCATGCACATAGAGTCTAGTACGTACCCCATGCAGTGATCTAATGACATTGCCATAAGAAAATCCAATTATCAGAACAGGAATCAAGAAGCAGCACAGGAAGTATACAATGAGATAGCTGTAGTTGTTCCAAGATCTTTCTTCCCATCCAATGGAACATGAGGTCTGCACTCCTTCAGGACCATAAGAACTCCAGCCAAAAAGTGGGACCACCGCCCAGAAGAGACAGAAAATCCAGATAAAACCAAGTAACTGATAACCTCTCTTAATGCTCATCTGGAGAGTTCCCAGAGGCTGGCATACCACATTGTATCTTTCATAAGCTAGAATTGTCAGGGACCAGAGAGAAACGATTCCTAGAAAAATAGTAAGAAGGGCTAAAATGCTAAGAATCATCAAATTACATTATGTCAAATTCACTGTTTTCTTCAACTTTCACAAGAAATGATAAAAGAACTTGAGATATCTAATTTGTAAGATACAGAGAGGTTCCACCAGGGTGAGAGCAACATCATGAAAATGTTGGAATATTTACAACCCCTTAAGGTTTATTAAAATAAATTAATGTATGCCTTATTCTAATATCTATATTTTTTCTTACTGATTCATCCATAGTACAATCTTCCAGTCCTTCAGCTTGAAGTTTAAGGAACATACTTCCTATTAAAACTGCAGTCCTATAGGAATAATCTCTACTGATATCAGAAGGACTTGCTTCTGACCTGTACATGTGTCAGAATGAGCTGTGTCTAAACTTAAAATTGCATCTGTGCAATCTAGTCCTGTCCTTATGCAGAAAGAACCAATCAAATTGATACTAGTAGCACTTACTTTTTAAAAGTCTGTGCATTTTCACATGCTTTTGAGTATCTGCTTAGAAACTGAAATCAGTTGCTTTAATCCCAATATGGATGGAATCAAGTGGTAACAGAAAATTGGTAAAAGGCTTACAGTTGCAACCTAAATGTTCTTATGTGGGCATAATTGCAATTAAATTCAAGGGAATTTATTTCTGAGTAGACATATATAGGATTGTGCCCTCAGATCAGTGCCACTATCTATATTTGCCAAATATTTTAAATTTTTTAACTGCAAGACCTGCTTAGCTTAACATAATAGAACCCAATCAACTGCCAATCAAGAGGAAAGTAAGCATTTAGCTTTTATTGAACTATGTTGATTTTCTCCTAGATTTAGTATGTTGAGCTGTTGTTTTTCTAATCCTTGCTATATTTTAAATGTTCTATTGATGATGAGGAGGAGGAGGAGAAGGAGAAGATAACAGCAGTAATAATCATTACTTTGCTTACCAAAATAATTGACTGCAAATCCCTGAAAAGTGCAGAACCTTTGGCCAAGGAAGAAATATCCATGGTAGTTTGTAGCTATGACGATTGTGGTGCCGCAGAGGGACATCAAAAGATCTGAAAAGGAAACATTAAGAATAAATATGTTGAGGGGATTACGGAGCTGAGGATTCTTCAGAGTTACAGCAATAACTAAAAAATTATTAAATATTGAAAATAGTGCATTGAGAAACATCAGGAAAGCCAAGACTCCATATCCAGCTCTTGGGAAAATTGTAGGTCTCACTGTAGTACTCTCAAATGGCTCAGCTGCAAGAGAACTACCATTCCCCATGATGGCTGGACCCAGAACTACAGGGTTTGCTATAATACCTAGCAAACAGGGATCTTCTTATTCGACAGCTACATGGAGGGTGGGTGTTTTTTAAAGGAGGTAAGTCCTTGGATTAGAGCAACAGCTGCTTTCTTTTTTCAAGGGTGCCTTTGTTGCATTCACTGATGAGTAATAAGCAATTAGTCTCCTAATAGGATTATACACAAAACAACAGTGATCTCCAGTTGACAGTATATCTCTCTGAAGAATTCAATAGCAGTCTTTATGATACTAATTTTGAAAATATTTGAGAAAGAACTAAGAATGGGTACCACCAATTTATAGGTTTGTCCAGAGCATCCTCTAGTTTCATTTAATTTTGTGATTTTAAAAGAACCATCTGGTCCTTTTACATTTTATGATGTAACCTAGCATTTCTGACAAGAGGAAATTAAACTGTTTAAATGTTTTGTGAAGAGAGAGTATATTTAAATATCAGAGCTGAGATTCCTGATAGCTTTTGCATCCTTTTTGGGCACAAAACAATACATTCATTTATGGTGCAAGGCTATGGCTGTTAGATATAGTCTAGATGGCCATAGGTTTATTCATAGTCCCAGCTCCAACCTCAGAAACTTGCTCCATAGTTTGATCTGAGACTCCAACACAGAGCGCCTTCCCTCGTCCCGCACTGCCCTTTCTGGAAACACACCCCATCTGTGAACCTCTGGGTGGGCAAGAGCCAAGGAGAGGACACAGCCAGCATCCACAGTATCCAGTGGTACCTCAGCCTCCTTTCCTCCTGCTCTAGACAAAAGCTTTAGACAGCTAAATTGGTGATTTAAGGGCACAATCCAATGTTCTTTAATTCTAACCAACATATTCTTATATACTCTTCTATTCCAAATATTCTTCCAATCCTTTTCTTTTATTTCACCTACCTCCATTTCCCAAATTGATTTAAACTTTTTGTCTGATCCCCTAACTCTATTAATATTCTATAAATTTGAGCAATTCTTCCTTTACTTGTATATTCTTCCTTAATCTCGCATTCTTTCACAATTGTTTCAAATTTTGTTAATTGACTTTCTTCCTCTTTAAATTTTTCCTCCATCTTTATCCATTTTTCTGATTGTATTAAATTAAACCAATTTGATTCAGCCTCTGCCAATATACTCCTGAATTCTGTTATATTTTTTATCTTATTTTTCCAATCTTACAATTTATATATATATGATTATTTTTTAATTTATTATCCAATCCTTTGATTCTATTTTGGGGAATTTCTCCATTTTGACCACTGGTGTTAACAGAGAAATTCCCAGAATTAGCTGCTGTCTCGATTTTTCCCATATTTCCACTGTATTTTTAAAGAAGGGATTTTGAATTCTCTTAATAATCTTTTTATATCCTTTTTAAACCAGTATGTCTTTAAATAATCACCTATTTCCCTTAATTCTTTTAATTCAATATCACGCCATATTAGTTCTTTACTTTAAGCTTTGTTCTTTACTTTGTTCTTTACTTTGAACTATCTTTAACTGATTTGCAACCCAATACATTTTAACATCTGGAATACCCAGTCCTCCCTTTTTTGTGATTCATACCATAGTACTTTACTTATTTTTGCTCTCTTCCCTCCATTACAATAAACCTCCAATAACCTTTGTATTTGATCATAAAACTTGATTGGAATCATCCAAAACACAAAATTAATCTTTGGCAGTATTTTCATTTTTATTACTGCTATTCTTCCAAATCATGATAATTTTACCTTTTCATATTTTGCTGTTTTATCTTTTATATCCTTATTTAACTTTTCATAATTTTTCTTCCTTAGTTCTTGCCTATCTTTTGGAATATCAATTCCTAAGTATCTAATACTATCTACTATTTTTAATTTATAGTTTTCTTTTAATACATCCAATTCTTCGCTATTATGATTATATAACATCATTTCTGATTCTTCCCAATTTACTTGAAGAATTTTGACCCTGATTATTGTCTTGTTGAATTTGCTGGGATCTTTAAAAAAACCTGCTTTTTCATTGCATACCAGAGTAGCTGCTGATACTTCCAGACAGAAATGGTTCTGGTAGCTTTGCTCCAGTAATGTCCCAGTTAAAAACATCATGCTGGATATTTCTGGCCACCATCTTATTGCCATAAAATTGTCACCATCACACGACTTCTCAGAAAAGAGGGACCCATGCCCTGGAACGCTTTCCTTCAACACTGAAACACTGCTAAACTCTTGGTGTGAACTGAAGGAGCAATGAAGTTTGTGCAGAGTGTCTCTGACAGGCAGAAGAGAAAAGGGCAGGCTTGATCAAGTTCTGGGATTCTAGAGGAGCATAAAGTTTATTTTCACATAGTTATCTGACAGCTTTTGCATGGGCTAACAGAATACAAGATTTGCTTGTCTAAATGTTTGAACTGCACCCATGTTCTTTTAGTGTTGCATAGAACTGTGCATGCTGTAATCATTTTAAAAGCCCTGGAATAAAGAAATGCACTTGAAAAGAGTGACTGGCGTACAGAAGTTTACATAATCACACATTTAATTCTACCATTAAAACTTGTTTACATTTCAGAGATGCCTTTATAGTACTTTAAATGTGCATGATGCAATTTCAATCTTTCTCAGATATTTGACATTTTCAGTTGCTATGGTACTTTTTTCTTTTCTCTTCCTTGGCTCATGATAACAGTTTCAAAGGTAATGCAAAATTAGGAGAGGGTTGCCAAATTGTGCTGAATATCCAGATAAAGAGCAAAAAGAGCAAATTCTTTAAACAAAGAAGTTCATTAGTTCTGTTGCCACTGCTTTATATGCAAACACTACTCATGCCCTGTAGTGTATGGTATAGTTTAGGACAAGTATGTACATACACACCTCTATTTCCTAGATAATTCCTTTTACTTTAACTGAACAAATCACCTCCCGTTTCCAATTCGCCTTCGTGTTCACTCCCAGTGATTTTTGGTATGACTGGGAAATAGCAAGGAGAGATGCTAGGTAGACTTGGGTTTGGATGATCATATCTCAGCTTAAGTCAAGGTAGGCACAGCCTTTGGGGCCATACAGCCCAGATGCAGAGAGCTTCGTGGGTACCCTTTGTGGCTCCCTTGCAATAGCAGCAAACAGACCAGAGGCCCTTTCCCAGGTTGCCCAAACCAAAAAAACCATAGCTACCAACTTCAGAACAAGCCCAGTTTAAACCATGGTCACCCTGTTCAGATGAAATGACAAACTGGCTACTTGAAGATGCCCCAGTTTCAGGGTGGCTAGAACAGTCCTCCATTTTTTAGGGACTTTCAGAGGTCTTGAGATGCCTGCCAACAGCAAGCAGCTGTGAGCAAGCACTGAACTCACCTAGTCATTCTTTACAGTGGTGAGATACGGTGCATTTTTATCCATGTTAGCTATTCTTTATATATTTGCACTATTCATATCAATGTGCCTATGCAAATGTTGTATAAATTGTTGTCCTCAATAGTCCTCTTTTTAGCTACAAGATTCTATCCTTTAGGGCACCATGTAATTGGCCACCCTACTTGATTTGTTTGCCAGCTCACATGAAGGGGCTGCATGTGATTTTATCTTCTTTAAATGTCAACAGAGTTTTTTTTTCTTTTTCCCTGTGCATGTAGGGAATCTCCCAAATATGTAAAAACAATTCCTTGTCCCTTGGTGAACCCAGTTCACTCTGTGACTGGCAACTTGCTATTAGATGAAATGGTGAGTTAGATTTAATGATAACCTCATTTTAAACTAAAGAACAAGGCATTCAAAAATCAACTCTATGGGTGTAAAGATTAATGTGCTTTGCTGAGCAAATGGCACCCCCGTTAAAAAACGTTGTCCAAAGTTAGAACTTCTTTCTACCCTTCCCAAGTGAAAAAACAGAGTTGGTTGAGATGTTGTGTGAGTAATGCATAGCTTGCATACACAGCCTGCATAATATAACACATGGAAACCCTGCAAAGAATTTGTTCTACTGAAAGGTCTGACAGGTTCAACATCAGTTCTAAGATCAATCCGATGATGGTTGCTGTTTAACTGGACGCTCCAATAGCTGGGCCTCGCTGCGCCAAGTGGCTGTCAAGGGTGTTTTAATGCTTAGGGCTAGCCCAGGCACATCTTAGCTAAGAACAACATTACACAGTATTCATAGAAGCCAGCCCTACACAAACCAGCTTAGGTATATTCCTGCCAGCAAGCTGAGGGCAAATAGCAGTACTGGCCCATGGAGATGTTGTTTACATCCTAGCTGTCTGTCGGACAAGGCGTTTACTAGTAGCAGCTCCCAATTTTTGACTGTTGTTCCACGCTTTGTCCCTATTTTTGGAGTTTTATCTCATTCTATTTTTTAATATGAGAGTTGCTAATCTTGTGCTTTCCCAAGATTCAGCTACTTCCCCCAAATCTCCAGCAGTTCAACTTGCTGGGGAGTGTGGAGGCAGCCTGCCTCTAAAGTGTGTGTGTGTGAATGAAGCTTCCCCAGATGTCACTCAGCTTGTTGGCAGACAGCTCCCATCATCCTCACCCAGCATGGCCATTGCTTGTGCCGAGTGACACGTTATGGAAGTTATATTTTATATGCATGGCAACATGCATCCCTCTATGTTGTCAGTGTTGTTTTTGGCCACTAGTAATGGTAAAACCCTCTCAAGGAAGTAATTATAATTAATGTTTTCATTTAGCACCATCCAACAGCCAAAGCTCTCTAAGTGGTTCACAACACGAACGTATACACAAATTATACAAATAGGCAATAAGGATATAATAAAACAGTATAAAACACTATAAAAACACATTTTGCCACAGATTATTGAAATGGCAGCAAATAGAGAGGGGTCTTCCATCCCTTTCTGAAGAGTTGAAAAGAAAGCACTTCTACCATTAATGCCAGATAAAAGTCAATTCCATGGAAATCCTCTCTGGACATTGATCCTGCTGGGTGGGAGGTGATAGAAACATAGAAACAGAGTGAGTCCTGGGCCATCTAGTCTGACCCCCGGCTCCAGCTGGCTCCACTCATGGCATGCCTACCATGTGTATGTCCAGCCTGTCCTCGAACACCCTCACCGATGGGGCTTCAACCATGGGACTTGTGGGTCTGCACATCTAAGGGCAGTCCTTGTTTGCCATTTCTAACACCACAATTGCTGAGTTAGGAAGGAAGGAAGGAAGGAAGGAAGGAAGGAAGGAAGGAAGGAAGGAAGGAAGGAAAAGGGGCACACAGTGTATCCATCCAGGAATCTGGGTCAAATCCATAAACACAAATGGAAGAATTACCACTAGCAATGAATTCGCTCAGAGTCATCCCATCAGCAAGAATAAATTGTGATGTTTAGAAAACACCTCCCTGGTGCTCCAAGCTGAGGTGAGTTTTGAAACCCAGGGGTGTCATATTTCTCTGCTCACACTTATCACCACTACGCTCTTAGCATCTCTAGAATAATATGCTGGTATTGCCAATCCAGATAGTGGTGATCTTGCTAAATAAGCACAGGAGCACTATACCATCGTAAGCAGAGGAAGTTCTTGTGTGATTGTTGTGTCACCAGCACAACAATCACACACTCATGCCTATATATGCAAGCCACCTATTCTCACCGGGGAAATGGGGTGGGTTAGCATCATATTGTAGGACAATTTTAAAAGGATGTCATCCTTAAGCATATAATAAACTTATTTGTGTCAAGAGACAGCAAGGAAAAGCCACAAAGTAAAGATGGAGCTGCTCTAGTGGTAGTTTTAGTCACAAAGGGAAGACCAGGAACTGGCACATCTTCCCTAATGCCAGGATACCTGATGACCTTTCATTTGCTTTTTTGTTTCTCCCCTAAGTACATCCAGCTTGCCAAACAGTGATCCACAAATCTGGATAGAAAAAAAGAAAAATTGGAGGCAAAGGGAGTTAAACCTTTCCAACGAGCAAAGATCATCAGTTACACACTAAGGCAGATCATGTTACCTTCTGCAAACTAGCTTGTTCTCGCCACTTCCCTTTGGACTGTTGAGATAAAGAAATCCCATGGAAACATACAAAGAGGAAAAACAAGTTCCCTCTTCTTGCACTCAGAAAGGAGACTTGGGAAGAGAAAGGAGGAGTTTGGCTTCAGGGTGAAAAGGCAGCAAAGCTACCAGAATTTTCAGCTGTTCTTCTGAGCAACTTCAACGTTCTATGTCTTATGCACCATGTTAACCCCATGGAAGCTTGCCGTATTAGTGGTACCTTTGCACCTGCTGCGTGAATGGTAAGTATTCAGCTAGTGTGTGTATCACAGTGTTATGAGATCGTGCTCTCTATCAGTGTGGTTATTGCCTCATTCATCTACTTGCAGAATATGTCAACTGGCTTTTATATATCTTTTGGTCTGGTAACACTTTAAGGTGATGTGTATGCACATTTGCTCAAAAATAACCTCTGCTCTGGTGCCCCAGTTGCTCAAAAGTAAGTTCTGTGTTCCCAAAATATACTTACAGATCAATAGGTCCCAGTGACTCAGGAGGGAGCTGACCTCCAAGTAAACCTTGTGCTTTGAGTGAGAGAAAATTTGAACTGAAGCATTGTGGATGAGTAGCTCAGCCCTAAGCAGTGTCTCTGTCTGCCAACCTCCTTTGCAATTAGCAGTTCCCCTTTTTCCCAGTGTAGACTAACTCCCCCCCCCCCACAGTCTCAGCCCCTTCCTTCTCCCCTTCCCCAGACTAGTGATCTGTGCTTTTGTGCTCACCCACTCCTTGCAGACTAGCAGAGAGAGCCACCGGCTTGCATGGTGCAGGTGCCCAGACCATCATCTCCCTTTCTAGCTCTCCCAGGCATAAAGTGAACTCTTCTTTCTTGCCACAAAGTCTCTCTCCTCTTCCTGCTTCCCCTCCCTGCATGGATTCCTCTTCAAGGGTCCCTCTGACTGCTTGGAAAGATGGGCAGAGAAAGGTCTGGTTTAGGAAAGAGAGCAGTGGCTGCTGAGTGGGTTTCTTATGTCTAGATAAGACAGAAGGAGGACTAGAGGTGGAGAACAAAAGCAGCACAAAGAAGAGCAACCCTTTTGCTCAGAAGGATTAGGGCCTGCAAAGGGTTAATTCCAAAAGGAAAACAGCCCAGGGCTTCTTGCTCTGCCTAGAGGGCTGTGCAGAAATATGCACAAATAAACCCTCTGTTCTCACCCAACCTCAGACTTGAGAGAAGTAATCTGACAGTGCGGAACTGGTGCTGATGCGGGAAAATGAAAGGCCCTCCTCTGTACAATCTCTTTCGTATGCTTAGAACAGCAAGCAACTGGAGCAATTGAAACTAGTAGATCATGCACAGTAGATATGGATGCAATGGTATAAGATAATACAGCATTCAGAAGTCTCCATCTGAAAGAATTTATGAACAGCTTTAAGAAATAATTCAAAAGAACAAATTAACAGCACTCCCCATTAGATGTCTCAAATAGTTTTCAATGAGTCTTGAATAGTTCAGTTCTTCCTCCAAGTTGTAAGAAGACACCCAGTGTTTTTTTTTAAATGGAAGAATGTATTGCTTTAAAAAGAGAAATGTTCATTGCAAGAAGGAAATACTTACTCTCCTTTCCATTCCAATGACTATAGATCATTCATTACTCTGAATAAAGGATGCACCAAATGGATTGCGAATTTTCTTTTGAGGTGGAGGAAGTAACCTATCTGGAAGCACAATGTCCTATGCTTCAGGGAACAGAGCCATGGGACAAGAGTATGAATTTGATAGGAAAGGGTGACAAAGCAGCCTCTGACTTCTCATCTTGTGCCACTCCAACCCCAGCGGGCATGGAGATAGACACGTGCCCAAACATCATCGCCAGGAGGCAGGGCTTGCAGGACAATGACCCACATCTACTGAAAATTCCATCAGTCGAGTATGATGATGGTGACATCTTGCCTTACCAATTTGATAGACACGCTCCAGGAAGGATTTCTACTTCTCCAACTCTGAGGAGGATAAGAAACAATCAGCCATCCATTGCTCAAGCATTCCCCCTCCAGAATGGCACTAAGCGCTCAAGGACAGGCAAACAGTCTCTGCAAGCTGACTCTTTTCTTCCTGCTTGTGCAAGTCATGCATCATGTTCGCAGCATTTTAACTCCTCCACATGCTCCATGCTGACTCGGAGAGAAAATTCGGTATCACTGGAACCCCTATCAATTATACCACAGCACGGTGATGATCACGCTGATAATCAAACTTTGGACAACACAAGGAACTGCAGCTCTTCTTTCCTGCCTGAGGGAAAACAGAATTCTCAGGAACAGAGTCAGGTAAGTAAAAGCCTGCAACAAAAAGGGCTATGCTTTCCCATGGTTTGTTGTGTTTACAAAAGGCTGGTCCAAAGAATCAAGTCCTTGACGCTCTTCAGTGTAAGTGTACATGACCTACTATGTAACAATCTAGGTCATATCTAGTTAACCTCCAGAGTTCCTGGAACTACATCAGTGTGGTGCCATTTCTCAGGTGAAATGATATAATTTTAAATCCCAATCATTTATGTTCATAAAGTTATCCATTAGTCTACTAGGACTAGACAAAATTAATTAATTTATACCCAGATACTCTGACTTGATTGGATTGATCCAAACAGTAATTCCCAAGAACCCAGAAATAATCTGAGATATTCATATATTTTCTGAGCAGATGTAAATCTAAATATTCTGGCATAGTTGTTTCAAATACAGGAAAAACTTCTGAGTGTAATCTATATGCTGTAATGTACAGAATGGCTAAGAGTAGGCAGTGAAATGACCTGGGTTCTGAATATTTCAAAAAATACCTCTTTCTGTGGTGTTTTGTTTTATTTGTTTTTTATTGTAATCCATCCCAAGATTCTAGTGGAGGATTGGTTAGAAAAGCTTTTAATTATTTAATTAATTAATTCCTTTGTATTTGGAGGGCAGGTTTTGCCTGTAGAAGAAGCAGGGTCTTCTCAGCTGCTGCTTTTGAAGCCTGGACAATGCATCAGGTTCCAACTTTTCTGGCTTTCTTACAGCTAGCTTAAGAGTTTTAATTCAATGTTCTGTTCCACTTTGGCTTTATTCTTCTTCTTCTTGTCAACTTATTATGTGTATTGTATGCATAAACCAAGTTGAAATCTTTCTGTTGACAGTCACACCTATATTTAGTGAGTAAATTCATTACTATTAAAGTAGGAAATAGGATCTGGCTACATCTGCCAAAGCAGAAGCTGCAATTTGCACCGTAATATGACTTGTATCCTTTTGTTACAGTTCAGATGGCAAGAGCCCTGAGATCCTGCCTGTTTCACATATGAGACCCTTCATTCTCATCTTCATTTAGTCATTCATTCATTCCTTTACTGCCCAATAGTCAGAGCTCTCCGGGAAGCTCACTGCAATTCACAAAATGCAAAGCGTGAATGCAGTAACATATAGCCTAAGATTCCACCATTTGATGATGTTGTCCATTGAAGAACACAATATGCTTATGAGTGAAACCCTGAGTGCAAAAGAGAAACTTTGGAGAAAGAAATGAGGTTGTTTCGTTTAGAGCGCAGTTGTATGGTTCCTAGGAGGCATCTGAGGTGCCATTACAGATTCTCAGTTCTAAGTTCAGAGACAGGATTCCAACCTTAGAGGTGGGAAGCAGAACTGACCCCCACTGCTGCCCTCTCACAGCCACAGAAGAGTCATGCTGGTTGCTCCCCAAGGTCAAAAGGTAACCTTGGACATGGGTAAAGGGGGACATTTTGGGGAGCAGAGAAAGGAGGAGAGTGGAGATGCCTGGATACAAGCTATCCTTTCCAGTCTCCTCTCCTCACTATTTAGCTAGCTAAAAAGAGCAAAACAGACCATCCAGCAAAAATACAGGAAGACCAAGACAACCAGCAGGAGAAAATCATGTTTGGCCCAGTCAGTACAGGATGACCGCAAGTGTCCACAGTTGGAGGTTTATGGCTATAGTGGCAGAATTGCATTCCTAGAGTGAATGCTTCTAACCCAAGGGCAAAGCGCTGGAGATGCTGTGTTCTGAGGCTGCTTCAAGCAGCAGAGCAAGGAGGCACCGGGACCGGTGTGCATCCTGCTCACCACACGCTCAGTTTATAGTCCAAAGTGCATTTAAAGCAATTTACACCCAAGCACACCCCTGTCTTGTCTGGCATTGAGCTGCATGACTCCACCTTTTTAGAAATACAAACAGAATTCCCAATGCAATAAGCACCTTGGCGAGAGACACTTCATTAGCCCCATGATGGGGAGAAATTGTCAAATTCCCAGCCCTGCATCCCCCGTCCAAAAGTTCAAAGCCTGTTTAAATCCTGAGTGGCTGCTATTTGCCCTTCTTAAAAGAGACACAGAAAAGAGACGCCATTTACAGTTTGGCACTAATCGTGCTGGATGCTCTTTCTTTCATTGCTCTGAAAAAATGCAGGCGAGTTTTGAATTGGTTCTGCCTCAGTTGTGGGCAGAGCTACCTTTGGGTTGTGAGTTGGGGAATAATCCCATGGCAGAGATGCCACCACCAGTCCACACCAGTCCACACTCTAACTCCTGCTTCTGTGGGTTTTGGGGGCTTAAGTAGAATCAAATTTGCAAAGATAAGAAATGGACAAAAATGTCTTTACTAAGAACCAATTATGCAAAAACAGAGCAATTGCCCCAGTGCAAATAAATGCAAGAAATACTGCTTCTGAATCCAAATAGAAATACTGAATTCCTGCTTTCAGCTTTGCAGTTTGCCAATCTCAAATTGTCTCCAGTTCCACAAGGTGTGGGGTGCTTCCAAACTACCTTTGCAACCAAAACGGCAGGTTCTAAATCTTAGGTTCAAGATCTTAGCCCTGCCCTAAAAAATAGAGCAAATACCCTTGCGATTCAGTAACTCACGAATATCAGTTCAGTTTATTCATGGTGAGAAAAACCCATAAATATTAATCTCCAGTATTCAACTTCTAATAGATCATGCTAGGTCACTTGCTGTTAGCTCTCCTGCTACACTCATGTTCTTCATGATCAAGGCAAGAGATGCTGGGGAGAGAATCCCACTGGAGGGGACTTGCTCTCTCTCTGTCTGCCAGTAGAACTGCATTTTCTCTGTTTCCTATGGGCCTTCAGTTGACCAAATGCCAGTCGCAGGATTGCACCTTTCAGTGAAAAGCACTAACACTCAAATGTGTTTTCATAGATCCTTTCAGCAGCTGAACTGTATGAGATACAAAGTGCCAGGCTTTTTCTCCTCCCCCCCACCCCCCCACCCCTGCAAAGAGTAATGCACAATATCTTGCTTTATTTCAGGAACTAGATCTACATAAACCTAGTGGGTATGTATGTGGTTTTTTTCATATTTTTTAAAAAACAAAAAAGAGTAGAAAAAACAATGTATCCTATATTTTTGTGAAGGGGGTTTATTCTCTGTTCCTAAGTCGATCAGTTCTGTTTATTAGATTTATTAGATTAGATGTATATCTTGCCCCATCAGCCAAAAAGGCTTTCTGGGAGGGTTACAAGATTGCAATGTACATAATAAAAATCAGTAATATGAAAACTGCAAAAATGGAACAATAAAATCTAACAAAGCACCACCATAAAATTTTGTAACAGCCTCAAATCTTTACCCATAATAACACAATGAAAAGCACAATAGCAGTAAAATATAAAATACCATACTATATTACAAAACCTTAAAATTATCTCAACAATTAAAATAATGGCGAGAAGGTGCCAGGCAAACCTCTTTGGGGTGCTGATTCCAGAGTTGGGGTGCCACTTCCAAGAAGGCCCTCCTCCTTGTAAACCCCCTCATGTCCTTCAAAGGACCTCTGAAGGTGGCCTAAGGACCAGGTAGGAGCACGTGGGAAGAGGCTCTCCTTCAAGTAACCTGGCTCCAAGCCCTTCGGGACCCCATGGAACATCATTGCATGATTTAAATTTAGGGAACCACTTCTTTGTTAGCAAGACCTGCTTGACAGGTTGCACGTTGGCTCTCCGGCATGCCCTTCTATGCTTGTCCAGCCTTTCAAGTTGGATCGTCAGGAGCTGCTACGCAAGACATTCAAACTGCTGGCAAGCCTGGCCTCTTGAAATCTGTGCCTTACATCAGGAATAAGGAATGGGGCATGTATCCCATTTTGTTGTGTGGTTTGCCTTTTTTTAAAGAAACTTGATCATCAGCAAACAGAAAAGTGTGCATACTGCAGCCATGCTGGAGGCAGGCTGCCCAAGCACAGGTCCTGAAGTGAAGCACTACAGGAAATATTGGTGTGTGCATAAATAAGGAAGATTTGGGCATAAATAGCAGGAGACTGTAGTGAACACAAGAGCAGCCCTGCTGGGCAATCACTCTTTCAGTCTTCCAACAGTGGCTGGGCAAATGTTCCAGATGCTTCAAAGATTGTTTGTGATCTACTCTTAAACCCCTGTAAATCCTGTGCTACCTGATGGAAAGAGGTGCAATTGCTCTGAAAATAGAGGTTAAAGGTTAACCCTATGCCCCTAATATATATATTTGTTTCTACTACAAAAGCAATCACAGATAGATATCCTCTGCGGTACAGTGCAGTAGTTTGAGTGTTGGAGTGGAATCTGTGAGATGCAGGTTCTCATCCCCACTAATCCATGAAGCTGACTGGGCAACTTGGAACTGATGATGGACTTGCACACAGGATTATTGTGAGAAGAAAGAGGAGGATATGGGCGGGGACAACAGGATGGCATTCTATGCAGTTAAGGGAGCAGCACTTGTGAAAGGGACCTCGGGGTGCTGGTTGACTGCAGGCTAAACATGAGTCAGCAGTGTGATGTGGCAGTCAAAAGGGCGAACGCCACCCTTGGTTGCATAGCCAGAAGTGTGGCTTCTAGATTAAGAGAGGTATTGCTGCCACTCTATATGACACTGGTGTGCCCGCAACTGGAGTATTGTGTTCAGTTCTGGGCTCCACATTACAGGAAGCATATAGCCAGATTGGAATCAGTGCAGCATAGGGCCACAAGGATGGTGGCCGGATTGCAGGGGCAGTCGTATGAGGTGAGACTGAGGGAACTGGGGGTTTTTTTGGCCTGGAGAAGAGGAATCTCCAAGGGGGTCTGTTGGTGACATATAGGTATGTGAGAGGGTGTCATGCAGAGGTGGGTCGAGGCCTGTTTTTCCCTGCAGAGGAGGGCAAGATATGTTTCAATGGCTCAAAGCTCAGGGAACCAAGGTTCAAGTTAGATGCCAGGAAGTACTTCCTGACAGTTAGGGCCCCGAGGGTATGGAATGGGTTTCCACGGGAGGTGATTGAGGCCCCATCAGTGAGTGTGTTCAAGAATAGGCTAGACATGCACATGGTAGGCATGTCATGAGCAGAGCCAGCTGCAGCCCAGGGTCAGACTAGATGGTCCAGGAGATCCCTTCTGACTCACTCTGTTTCTTTGTTTCTGTGTAAGCCACCAGCACCAGCACCAGCACCTATAGGACTGACTGCATTCAGAGGGACCCCATGTGCCTTTCTTTATTTTTTTTAACCAATTGTTGATCGTTGTAGTATTTTAAACATGTAAAAGTCATAAACCAGTACATAGTTAAGGACTTCAAAGCACATTAGCCATATTAATCCTACTTGTGTGCTATATTTGTCAAGCCCTTTGATCCATCCAGCAATCACAATACATTTTTTCTAGTAAATCTTAGAGGGGAAAAATAGAATGTAACATATTACAATAACTGCTACAGTTTTAGAACCCATGACCTAAATACAGAGAGAGTGATATTTGACTAAATGCAGTACATATTTTCTTTTACCATACCCTAAGCAGTATTGACAATCAAGAAATACTGTTCATTTGCAATATGTATTTTCCAAGCGTACATGCAAAGAATCCAAGAAATCATCTATGGTTGTTTGAGCAAGCTAATCAATTACATTAGCACTTTAGCACCTGAACATGTCATAGCACAGGGCAGCCTTCATGTGTGAAATTACTATCACATGCTCACTCGTTATAGGCCATTGTCTTTTAGCTTGCAAGGAATCGGCACAAAAGTTGGTACAAACCTATTGAAGACTGGCTTTCATGTGACATGAAATTGGCAATTCTGATACCAAGATGATAAATCCTGGCATCTTTGGATAGCAAATGAAGCCAAGGCATGTGTCTCCTGTTTTTTAACAGGAGCTGTCCCCTCAACACTGCATCTCCATTCTTGGAAGGAGTAATGCTGAAATGTTTACCTTCACTTGCAGGCCACACAACTCTGCAGAGCGCAGGCAGAGCTCAGTGGTGGTGAGCTTGCCTGGATTCGAGATGTTCCCAGGAGACCTGTTGATATCAGACAGCGCAGCAAAATTCTTGTGCCATTCGGCATCACTACAAAGTTCAGGTCAGGGAAGGAGTGGGCTCGGTGGGGTTTAAAGTACAAATCCCATGTGTGGTTTCTGCGCCATCGACAAGACATCAATTGTGCATTCATGAGTTCTCACTCACGGAAGCTTGTGAGGCCTTTTCACACATCATTGCTAAGCCCCCACCCCCCAGAGCCTCCTTGGCAAGCTTTTTGGAGCAAGGAAAACATGGTATTAATTTTTCTGTTGAAGCAGACCAAACCAAAGCTTGTGAAAAAAGGAAAAACCTACATTTATCGCACAGCTCCATTTTGTGGTAGGTTAATAAAACATACAGAAAGGCAGAGAGATACAAGCTTGAAGAAAAGGCCTAGTGTAAGAAATGCTATTTTTCTCTGGACAAAAGCAGCAGCAATTGAAACCCCTCATGTAGAGAATTTCTTAGCTTGCATTGCTAGTAGAGCTTGGAAAACTTGGCATCACTGAAAGGAGCTGTGATGAGATGAATAGCTCTTCTGTAAGCAGAAGCAACATGGCACCCTTAAAAGAGGCTTATTGCAATGCTAGCAGATGCTGGACAGTTGGGCATCGCCATGCAGACCCCCCTCAGGTGGAATGAACATGAGAGGGAGGGCATCCCAAAGGACACTTGCCTGAGCAATCTCTTACATGCGCACCTGACCCCTGTAATCAATGTACTTGCTATGGAATGCATCCGATCAGGAGCAACTGCAAGCCTTGATTACTCCTCCTCTTCCTCCTCTTCCTCTTCCATCTTCCATAGCATAATATGCACAGAAGAGCTCCATGTGAACAAGAGCTTCCCCATGGACTTCAAACTGGGAATTTCCCACTCTGAAGAGACTGTGGGAACCCCTGCTTACTGGATCTCCCTGAGTGTATAGGAGTCCCACCGAGATGTAGGCTGTGACTATCATGTACTGTGTCTGGTTCAGCTATAAATATGTTGGTTTGAGTCCTAAAATAAGTTAACTTACAAAGTGAATGGAAACAATATTCACTGTTCCCTCTCCCACTGAAGCTACTTGCAACTCCCTGCCGAGGACTCCTGAACGACGTTGGGTGGGCCACAGGATGCTGCAAGCAGAAGGACCTCATCAAAGTCAACTTGCTGTATGTCCAGCCTTGAATTTGGACCGAAGTAGCTTTCTGTGACCCACCCTCCAGTGCCGTTCCAGAAAGACTGTCTAGGTCTAGGGTGTGTTCGGTGGGGGCACAGCTGGACGCAGGGAAAAGAATCAGAACATTTTTCTTCAGCCAACTTATTTTAGGAGCCCAGCCACTCTCTCTGCTAGGCAGCTATGCGGGGCCTCTGCCTGCTAGGGCAACATGGGTTAGGATTTTAGGGGCAAGATGCACATGCTATTGAAATAAACCACCTTTATTTTGTTTTTTCATGAAGTCAAATGTTCTGTAGAAGGGCTTCGGTTATTCTAGCTAACAGCACCCTTTTTTCTGTTCCCTACTTCAGAATCCAAAAAGCCCTGGTGGCCGTTTGCTAAAATAGGAACTGTGAGTATCTTGCATGGTTTCGAGCTCCCTCCCCAACCCTAACTGATATTGTTACCAATTGAAAAATATATTTGTATATATTGGAAACAGTTTACTATAGTAAGATCCATAAGTAGTTCACAGATAAACATCTTACCAAAGGTCTGAACTGATTGCATGCTGAGGTCTATTGAAATGAAACTGAGAGACACATGAAGGTAGGTTAAGACCCACAAATTGTCCCCCTCCTCCCCACGCCCAGTATCACCATCTTTCACTCTACTGGCGTGCCTATTTTCCATGTCGGTATTGACTGACCCTAGTTTGGATCTATGTGTTGTTTGTACCATTTAGAAATCTCCATCTTTCTGTGTTTAAATGTATGACAGCAGGTTTCACAAATTAACATATAGGCTCTATCTTTAAGCAGAATAAAGACAAACAGAAGCAAAAATCAGACCTGGAAAACTGTCTTTCTACTATAACCATCAAGATGTCAGAATGTTGTGGCTATCAATTTCACAGCATCAAGGTATGAAAATACCAATAGATCTTTTGTATTGACCTTCATTTTTATTCCCGTCTTAAATTTCCTTAATTATAATATGGTGAGTGTTAATAATGTCATTATTATATTGTATGAATTTTAACCCTATAGCAAGGATAACCCAAAACATAGCAATAGTTTCAGGGATGAAAGGCAAAAATGCCGTTCATTTAGAAAGGTGCCCAAACAATGATGCAGAATATCTGTATTTTCAACTGGCAGGATAAATCGTGGCATGAAATCATGGAGATGCATCAGTTTGAGCCTAAAATCACTGGTGATCATATAGAAATAAGGAAGAAAGAAGCAGTGTGGGAACTTTTCACAACAGAATGCACATACTTGCTTGATCATCTCCTGGTTCTCAAAAAGGTACATTTGAATTTTATAACTATTGTCTCAGCTGTACAGAACTTTTAGACTGCTGTTTTTCATGTGCTGTTGCTTTAGTAAAATATTACATAGGGTAGCTTTTGCATGCTAGACGAAAATAAACAGCTCAGATATACCTAAATGAAGTCCATCCATTATGTTTTCTAGAGCAGCAGTGGGCAGAAGGAAGATCAGGATCTCCTGTTAGATCTGTGGGTGATTTGAAATGGTCTGGCAAAGATTTTCACTGCCCAGCTCTTTAACAATCACTACAGCAAAATTCCTCCCACCCATAAATTGTTCTGCTGAAAATAAGAAGGTTCAGGTGGGAATGGAGAAGTAAGCAGCAGGGGATTTAATTGCTGGGTGTGCTAAGTTGATTTCTGGCTCTAAAATTCCTGAGCTCATGTGCAAGTCTTTCCTACATGACTTCAGTTGGGTCCCATGAATCATGTGAAACTAGAATCAAAGTAGGTCCTGCCAGCACCCCTTTGTTCTAACTCTGTACCAGACTTGGGTGAGGAACTATGTATTGGAACTGACCCGAAGCCACATCATGAGGAGGCCATGGGAAGTATTCACAATGCCCAGTACAATCCTCTAAATCAGAAGCATTAGACTAGATAGCTATTGGTCTTGTGTGATTGTGAGGAACTCTACACCTGGTCAGATAAACAGGTACCAGGCTCTATAAACTGCGGAGCAGCATGTAGAACCTTCCTTAGATGAGGGTCGACTAGGACAACTGAGCTATTTCCACCTCCTGCCTTTCCTGGCCCCTGTTGACAGGTTCAAGTGCTTTCCAGAAGGGAGAGGGGCCTCTATAAAATCTGCAACATGGCTAGCAAGAATCAGCATTTTGTGTATAACCTGCAGTGCCCAGGCTCCTCAGCACCCCTGGGAAAACATCCATCATACAAGGGAGCCTTATAGTCTGAAAGGACATTTGCATAAACCTTGTTTTACTTGCCTATTGCTACTCTGCACCCATATTCTAGCAATATATTTGTAGTCAATAAAGTATTTAATATCTGTAACACAAGTTGCTTCTTCCTAAGTAACGTGGAATCTAGAGCAGGGTAACTTCAGGGGTTGAGCAGGCCCCTGAAGTTAATTCTAACCATTTCTTGAAGTAAAGGAACTTGTTGTGATGATGGGGCTCAGGGATTAGGAGCAAAATAACTAACTGGAAATTTGCTTTTACAAAGGTATTTATGGATACATTAAGGTACTTGCAAAGCAAAGAATTCCTCCCAGATGTAGACGCTGGACTACTTTTTGCTAATTTGGAAGAATTAAATGAGGTGAATAAAGACAAGCTTTAAATTGTGGATTGACGGAAAACAATATGTATCTGCCCTGCAACATGCCACGCTACTGTTTAAACATAATGGTTAAACAATTAAAATAACTACAGTAATAGGATCAAAGCAGTTTAGGGCCTGCTTATTTAAATAATCACTTTGGGAAAAACATAAGTATGTGAAATTAGGCTTCCTAGTGTATTTGTGTAAAAGCAGCTGTGGTTGGGCTGTGGGCCAAACATGGCCCTCAATTACATAGCATGGGGTCCCTGGGTGACAGTTTGAGGCACTGAAGCAATATGTGCCGGCCCTGCTTGACATCCATCTTCTGATGCTCCAGGAAACATTTCTCTGCCTGTTCGTGCTCCGCTAGTTCTTATGCTATTCCATTTGTTGCAAGGCAGAAAAAGGCCAAGCACATTCCCTGCCCGTTCAGAAGGCTTAATTCTCATAGTCTCCAATCTGCAAGGAGACAGAACTCCTTGTAAGCGATTTCCATTCGGTTTCAAGTCGTGCCCCAGCGCTGCAGTGCAGGAGTGCAGTTGTGCAGGAGGTTGGATGGTGGGGGCCTAGTGCCAGCACAAGTGTCACAATTAATGGAGTGAGGCCAAGAGGCGCCTGGCCTCCACAAAGCGGGATGTGCACCCATGTGCCGGGGGTGGTAGCTGAGTGCAGGTGTGTTATGGAGGGGGATGAAAGCACGCAGGGCCAGCATCAAGGGTAAGCGTAGTCAGGCAGCTGCCAAGAGCCCGTGCCTCAGCAGGGGCCATTGAAAGAGTCCCATTTGCTTCTCCTCTTCAGTGATGACCCCGGTTTGTTCACCTGCCTCTCATTCTGGCCCAGTGGTAGCAGTGGAGAAGGAAGAGCAGCAGATTCCACTGACGGTGTGCTTATTGGGTCGCTGACTGTCCAAGAAGCAATAGGTAGCGATAATGAGAAAGAAGAAGAGGGAGGAAAGCAGCTTGGGGAAATGACTATGAGGAGAAAGACTTGCACAGGAAGAGGACTGCTGGGGGTATCCTGCCCAGGGGACCTCAGAAGCCTTCACTAGGTGTATAGATGAATGAATATCCATTAGGGATATGTATGGCCCTGCCCACCTCTGAAATGTGGCCCCAGTAGGAAAGGGGGCACTCTGGCTGGAAAGGTTTTTATCAAAACCAGTAAAATCACAGTAAAATAAAGTCCCTGTGAATCTTAAAGTCTAAAGTCCAAAAGGCATCTGAAATAATGATTTTTTTCTGCCTAGATGAGCCTATGTTTTGTGACCAGTTTCTTTAGCACTATAGAGGATCACCTGAACAAACTGACACCCTCCATAGATTTCACCTCTGTGCTCACCAAGGTAAAATCTCAACACATACTCATTAATGGGCGTCAGGTAAATGTAGGGAAGCAGAACTTCTGAGTTATCCTAGCTAACAAATGATTATCTCACTTCAGTCACTGCAAGAGTTGCACCTCATTACTGCATGTAGCTACACATAAATGTCTAGACTGATCCAGCAGAATTTTAAAAAATAATAATTTTGAAAACAAATTCTTTCTGTGTACTTCTATAAATACCCACTCAGATGATATCTTCATGCATCTAATGAAGACTCTGGACAACAAGCATTTACATCACAATACATATCTTTCAGGGCACAGGCACACTAAAAGTAAGCCCTGTTGAGTTCCTGTATGTAGATATAAGGTTGCATCTTGGCAGAGAAATCCTCAGCGGAGGCATGGGATAGATGATCTTACACTTCCACGTGTCAGGGACTGGAATATGGGAGGCAGGGTGTCTCAGACTAGACAGAGTCCAAAGTCCAGTGATGATGTAGAATAGCAAGTCCAAGATGTAGTCACAGAGCAGGCCAAGGTCAGGGACACGAAGTACATATAAGGGCAGGCCAAGGGTGTGGTCATAGACAAGCCAAGGGTTGAAAACCAGGAAGACAAACAGAGGTGTTGGTAGCTTAAGTCAAGATAACTGGGCGGGATACACAGCCGGAACCGGATGCGGGAAGGATCAGGCAAGATGCAGGAGCTAAACTTCACCACCACTGCTAGCAAGAAGACCTGAGTTGCTAAGGTGAGACAGCAAAGCAGCATATGGGCCAGTTACGATGCAGGCACTACAGCAAACAGGAAGGCCTGTGTTGCTGAGGCCAGTTCTGGATGGAAGAACTTATTCTTATATAGCTCTTCTCCCAGGACTCCCAACTAGTGCTCACCGGGAGGCTGACAGCTCCAGCGAGGCATGGGACTGATCCTGTGATGCTGGGAGAGGAGCCAGGGGCCTACTCAGCCTGTTTTGCTTACCCTGAACTAGTTTCTGTCCTTGGGTATTGCAATAAATATAGTGTCCCATTTGCAATACATGGAATGCAGTTGGCACCATTTTATCCTTTGGCTTGGGTGGCAAAATGCCTTAGAACCCCAGACTGGAGCTTAACAGTAACAGAAATACCACAGAAGTAGAAGACATACACCCACAGAGCTTTCTGCAGGTATATGGGAAACTTCCATGGCCAATGTGTCCTGCCTCCCCATTGGTGGAGCTTTGCTATGCCCCAGTAAGTCTCTACTTTCACTACATGAGATTAATACAGTTTGTTTGTTTATTTATTTATTAATTTATTTATTTAGAAAATTTCTATGCTGCCCCATTCGCCGAAGCCTAGGGGCAGCTCACAAACAGTTGCCCCTCTAGAGCTGATCTTTCTTCTTCCTCTTCTTCTTCTTCTTCTAACTGCTGCTAAGGGAGCAGCAGGAGTACAATTAAAAACCTTCAGGAATTCTTGTCTTTCTGTAAACAAAAGGTACAGTTCAGTAAAATATGAATCATTTTAAACTGGAGGTGAAGCATAGCACAACAATCCTAAACATAAATCCCCTTGAATTCAGCAGAAGTTCCTTCTCTGCATATGACCACTATCTGAAACATGTACTAAAAGTGTTCAACTGTAGCTGGCTTATTCCAAGGTTCGGTGATCTGCAGTGAGGCATCCTTGGGTCTACTTTACCAAGGAAAGCCCATTTTAAGAAGGCACCCTCTGTTTGGAGGACCATAGCTGGAGGAAGAACACAGAGTCCATGAAGCAGTTAATTAGCACTTACCACCTGGACAACAGCTAACTAGGTGGACACACAGCTCACCTGGCCAATACATCTTACCCACTACAATGAGGTGTTAACTTTACAGTATTTATGCCTATATTTACATATGTGTGCATAAATTACCATGTTCAAATGTGCTTTCTTTTGATGAAACATTTTCTCTTTTAAAAAATGTCTAAAGTGGTCACCCTAATCTGTGGTACCACCATGAAATCACAAGGAGAGATTAACAGTGTCTGTTCATATTGAAAAAAAAATATATCCAAGTTTCAGCATAGATAGGCAAGCACTATAAAATTAAGCCCAAGAAATGGATGGGCCCACTTTTTGTACACTGATGCTAAACAACTCGTGTATTTGTCTTTCAGTATTTCCAAGGAAACATGTGCCAGAGCCACCAGATATACTGCTTGAATTACACATCCGCAATCTTTTACTTGGAAAAAATGAAAAAGAAGAAAGATTTTGGGACCTATCTGAAAGTAAAGCTAACATGATATTGTGACAACCATTTTTTAAAAAATGGATGCTGTCATAGAAGTACCATTACACTGAGAAGGACAAAACATAGCTTGTTATAGGAAATATGGTGAATATGGGCTTTATATGGAATGTGACACTCTTCTGTTTGTGGCAGTGAAAACAGCAAGTATTGGACTATATTGACATATCCTGCACAGGATTCAGTTGAACAAATATTGCAACAGGCATTGACTTGTGGATTATTTTGAAGGAAAGAGGAAACACTAGGTGTACAATAAGCCTTCACATTTCCACATGAAAGTCAGAGAAAAGTGTGGAAAGGCATAGGCAGAATGTGAGTTTCACACCCCCTCATCCCCATGGGAATGCACACACAAACACATCACCTGAGGACCAGTGGAAAACTCCTAAATGAGGTGGGCAGTGACTGAGGGCTGCTGGGCCCCCATCTACCCTCAACAGAGGGGGCTGGAGAGAAGGGGGAATTCCTCAAAATAAGGTAGAACAACCTCCCATTCATGAGTAATCACATGCTAGAGGTGCCTTCACTGGGTTTTTAGGAACCCCTGCTTCCTCCTCAGCTGCCTGCATGACAACATAGCTCAGAATTTTAGACAATCTCTCACACAACTTAGAAAATTCTGCTGAGGGGATGACAAGGCTGGAAAGCATGTTCCACTAGTTCTTCCATATGTATTTCAATCCATAGGATTGGACTCAAAGATCCCTTTCCTCTGATGCAGGAAACTTTCTGCTGGAGGAACAGAGTTCTTGGATCCAGTCCAGTTCTGCTCCCAATGACTGACACACCAATCCACATTGTTTACATTATGGATCACTGAGGCCACACTGAGGAGTGAGCAAATGAACTGCCACACCTCGGCTCACCCCTCCCAGTTTGCATCCAGTCTGAACCTGGAACTGTGGGCTGTTGTGGAAGAGATAAACCATGGATTGTTGTTGGGATTAAAGCTCTGAGTTGTTTGTCCCTCAGTAACCCAGCAGTTTCAGAAATGTGAGCAAACAACCAGGGAGCAAGATGAGCAGGTGGGAAGCAGTGTTGTTCCTCATTCCCACAGGATTCCAGCAATTCTTAGGCTAACTAACCCAGGAATTGCTACTATGTGCAAATCAGGTAATTATTCTCAGCACTTCTTAGAATACCCCAGTAAAGAATACATTATTTAATGCAGTATTAATAACCAACTCTCATTGTGCAGGATGAGGTACTTAGGCTGAGAAATACTAAGTCTTGCCAATGACTGAATAATGAGTTCATCTGCCATTTGTTTCCAAAACCCTAATCATTTTGTCCGATATTGTTGGATAGCCCTCTATTGTCAAATACCCATTCCTATTTTTAAAAAGATAAATACCTTTTACTCCCATATGAAAGTAGCAATGTAAAATAGGGGCATTACAGTAGAGAAGGGAGTTCACCTGCTCCTCAACCGAAGGACCCAGTTTGAGACTTGGGAAGCATCTGTAATAATGTGCCCTGGGAGGAGCTGCCTTGAAGATTGTACAGAAGGTTCAGCAGTTGCAATACATTCCCAGGGGCTGGAAAACAGAGCATGTATCATTCTTGTGCCAGCTACACCAGTTCTGAGTGTGTTTCTAGCCTACTTTAACAATAAGTGGACTACCTATTACAGGTAGTGTTGCATTCCTTCTGAAAGATCAGGTGCACCATCGGGGGTGTTTCTGAATGAATCCTTCATCCAGAGGCCCAGTCTCAGAGCACCTTTTCCCAGCTTCAGCAGGAGTTCTTCTTGGACTGGGAGTGCTCGGCCACAGTTGCCAGGCACTGATAATCTTGAAAATGGATTATTATGGGATGCTTTATGTGGAGCTGATCCAGGTTGCTTTGACCAGTTTGTTGAGCAATCAGCAACATGTTAGAGTTGTGCTGAAGGAATTGCACAGACTGCTAATTTAAGATTTTGTATAAATTCCTCAACCTGATAGACTGTCTTCTCTCTTAGAGACCCATTCAGTCCTTGAGGTCATCTGGTGAAGCCCTCTGGGTGGTGACACATGGTCCTGTGGTCTGGTCTGTGGTGGTTCAGAACAGGGCACCCAGAATGTGGAAGAACCTTCCCCCCTGAGATTAGATGTGTGCCAAAAACATATTATATGCATACTTGCTATAGATACATTTGTTCGATGCTTCCCAGTGCGTTTAGTATAACCTCTGTGTTATTCTTATGGACAAGTCAATATGGTCAATTCTATATACTAGTTTTATATTTATAATTTGTGCACACCCTTTGAAAACTGTAGATTTAATAGATTTATATTTTATAATTTTCCATAATTTAAAATTAGCATTAGAATTTATTTCATGCAAGAAACTGATACTGCTGGCATATCAGATAACTAGTCTGTGTATGAAGAACTGTTTGCTTTTCTGTTAAGACTTGGGCTTTCCTTAAATAGTCTTCCTTTGCCTCTAATAGTGGTGTGAACAGAATGAACTGTGCAAACGACTCCATCTATCAGAACTGCTGGTTGCCCCTTTACACAAATTGACCCGCTATCCTCTCCTCCTGAAGAATATCTGGAAAAATACAGAGGCAGCAGAGAAAACTGTCATTGATTCACTTAAGGACAAGGTGGAAAAATCAATACGTGAGTAGAAGTACAAAACACCTTATCTTTGGGGGTTGTTCTGTGTTGCTCAGATATACATGCATTAAGACTGTACCAAAAAGGAAGAACATAATTTGTGAATGCCTTCACTGTCTGCAAAAAATGCAACATGAGATGAAACAATAAACCAAAGACTCACATTTGGTACAAACACAATGTTGGTCCTCATATTTCAATATGCACAGAATGTTAGCTCTGAATAGACCCCTCCATAGGCTGATAATGCCTATGATGATGACAAGTCCATAAACTGGCACTTTGTAATGATTTCACTGTTTTATTCCAACTATCCTTTCCTACGGTTCATCTCACTTTCAGGGGACTTGGAAGGAAAAGTGAAATGGCTGGACAATTTTCAGAAATTTAAACAGCTTCAGGAAATTATAATTTGGCCTTCACTTTGGGATCAAGACAAAAGATTTTTTGTTCCCGAGGTAAGCACTTCATTATCAGTATTGAATATATGCCCTAGGAAGGCATGTCTTAAATCTTCTGATAGTTCTAAAAATAACACGGAGAGCCAAATAGTACAATTTATGGCTTAACTTCAGAATAGTTAAGTAGCTCTTGAACGTTTCAGAGATGCTCTGCACAGCTGCTACTTCCTCATGTGCAAGTCTTATGAGCGCTCACACAAATCCAGTTCCAGAATTCCTCCCATTTTATGCAACATGCTGTCATCATAGGAGGCAGTGTGACAATCACACCATTAAGTGGAGATACGTGGTGGTGAATGGCACAAGCAACAAACTAAGACAAAGTGCAAACAAGCACAAGTTGCACTTAATGTAAGGGCTGCAACATACATCTACACCGAAGCATTTTTATTAATTTGCGAGAGCATATGCAAATGTATTTTCTCTATGGAAGATTTTATACTGGAAAATTTTGGCAGTGTTTCCAGGGGCGTTGTGGGGGAGGTCTGATACACTGATGCTTTTGTGGATTTTATGTGTCATGTATTTTCCTTTCACCTCCTACACCGAGTACCCCGATCTTTTTCAGCGCATATCTATCCCCACTTCTAACATAGTTATAGTTAGTATATATATAGTTAAGGCAGTCAGTGGAATACATAACATGGTAGTCACCAAAAGTACAACAGTTTCAGTCTTACTCATACCTTTAAATAGAAACTCACTTCCCACCTGTTACTTGGTTTTCTTTTCTTCTTTTTCTCCATTGCAAGTGTCTCAAGAGCATACTAAGGAACAACCCCAAAGAAAACATCTTGTCATCTACAAAAAGATCCCTTGTTCATGAGGGAAAATTAACTCTTGCAGGTAAACATTGCATTTCACCTTCAGTGGCTATGCCAGACAATAAACAGGATGGGGTCATCTATAAAGCTCAAGAGAGAATATGAACAAAAGGTAGGCAAAGTGATTCAAAGAATGAAACATATCCAAGCACAGGAGCCAAACCTTTGAGTGATACAAAAGTTCTTGCATCTGATTCTGGGCAATAAAACTTAACTGTGAGCTGGTAACAAAATAAGATAAAATAGCAAATGAAACTCACCCAATTTTATCATTATCGTTATTATTATTCAGATAAACTCTAATAATGGCCAGCAAAACAGTAGGCACTTGTTTCATCAATTCAGAACCAAGGATCAAGTAAAATTAGGATAGTTAGATCTCCATCTTCCATTGTGAATAGGGAAGGTATATGGTTAACTAAATCAATTTGGCCTTCTGACACACACAAAATAGATTCAGTATTGCATCCATAATGGGCTACCGTGGTGCATATTAATTATAATCTAAAGCTTGGTAAAATCATTATTTTCAAAGATCCAATCAATGTGAGAGCAAAGTTTCCATGCCATTCCAGAGAAAGAAAATCCCAAAAGATTGCCAAAGTCTGGATCTTTCAATAAACACATTCTTCAGAAACAGTGTTAGTGAAGGTAGCAGAATAAAGCACTGAATTCAAAAAGTGAAGTGTTTGACAGATTTTACCAAAGCATAGGCAGTGCCTGGCTAAACTGGCAGCAAAATAAAGCAGGCCAGACTTCTAAAAGAATGAAGTACTACTACAAAATATAGTGAACATGCTATTCTTTTTATACATTAAGAAATCCAGGCTAAAAAGGAAATATGTCCAGTTCTACCTGGCTCCTTGGCAACATTTCTACCTCCAATCACCCCTGTCTGCATCCAAGTTTCCCTAAGGTATTGAGAGTTGCTCATTTGCACCGTGGGTGACTTTGGTCTCTATACCTACAGATATGCTTTTAGAAATCCAAGGGTAAATTAACCCACAGATTGCTCCATGAAGCAGTGGAGGGCAAACATGCCCCTGGACTTCTCCTAAGAGCCTCTTATCTTCTGTGGATGAGGTAGGGCTACAAATTCTGTACCTCTGGGACAATAGAAGAAAAAGATCAGTTCATAAGATGGCTGAGAAACAAAACCCAGAGTTCAGTTCAGTTTGATAAAACAAACTTTCCAGAAGGTGGACACTAGAAAAAATATGCTTTGAATCCTTTAGCGGTGCAATGGTAAATTCAGAAAAGAAAATATTGATTTTGGTTTTCCCTTCTCCATATACACTGTTTATCTTTTTGTTTGTTCTTCAGAACATATGAAACTTAGTGACGTCTACCTCTTTCTGTTTGATGATTTGCTACTGATTACTAAACTTAACCGGCATAAAAAGGTACATAATGATAATACAGTTTCTTTAATATACTTTTTGGTCTGTAGGGGCAGCATATATTATGGAAAGATTTTTAAAAAATTGTTTTCACATCGAATGAGGAAAAGGCTGTGCATTGCATCTGTAAATAGAAAATAACTGAGGGAAAGGATGCTACAATTCCCCATCTCCTCTTCCAGTCAGTACCTCATACAGGGAATATGGCTTCCTAGTTTGCTTATTAATGAAGTCACTTTTCAGTGCTGCATTAAGAAAGAAGGAAAGAAAAAAAGATAGCAGCCCAGTTCCACTGTTCAACCTTTACGTGTTGCTGACCAAACTCTTCAGACCAGCAGTGACAAGAGGTGGCATCCTAAAAGGGTGGAAAGGTGGATGGCAGGGTAGTGTGAGCTGTAGTGTGAGATGTGTTTTCAGAGAGTTCAAGGTGTGTCTTAATACACATCTGCAAAACTCTTCAAAATATCTCTAGCACTCAGGGAAAGAATTACATAAAAGAAGGCAGGCGGCAGGCTGCTAGCTTTCTGAAGTGAAAAATCTTTGAACATAGTCTCTAGGGAACAACGCATGAATAACAAAGATGTAAAAATCATGGGTCGCCTGTGCTCAGAGTCGGAAAGCACAGGGGCATGTATCTGTCTCCCAGACTTTTAATGTACTGCAGGCAAGGGCCTCAGAGGATCTCTGTTACCAGCTTCTAACAGCAATTGTGCGATGTGCGAAGTGTTTTTAAGTCTTGGCTCCACATTGTATTGGTTTTGCTCGGTTTATTCTGAACTCTCATAGATGTCTAAGAAATCCAGCTCCGTCCCTCAGAGTGGCAATGGTTGGAGAGGCTTAGGGTGCAGGACTGAAGGACAAAGGGGTTGGAGGTCTTCACACTCTTCCTGAGAGTGCCCCCAGTTCTCAAGGCCCACATTTGTGTCCCACATTTCTGAGCCAGTGGTGACTGCTGGTGATGCTGCCAGGTGGAAACCAAAATCAAAACAAGGAGGTTCACACAGTCTCAAGTCTTGTGCATTGATGGAAACTGCATATAAGGTCCTAGAGAGGCTCTGGATTGATTTCAAAACTATCCATGTTAACCATATCAGGGCCAAGCAGAGCAGCTGAGCATCTTTGCTCTACTTGCCTTCAAGTGTCTCCAGACACTGTAAAAATAACCTCCTCCCCTGACCTGGTGCTCTCCAGATATTTAGGACTAAAAGTCCCAGCATTCCTGACCTTTGGTCATATTGGCTGGGGCTTGTAGAACTTAAAGACCAAAACATCCAAAGGCCACTAGGTTGGGAATGGCATTCATACAGTTTTAAACCTGTAAATGTAGCTATCAAATATACACCTATTTATTATTAATGTTGGTTTAAAAACAGTTTTAGTTTCAGTGCCCTATCAGAGATGGGATTTCAAAAGTTGCAATTCCAAATTTAAGTCAAACACTTCATAATAAGAAAATCTACAGTTACAAGTCAGAACAACTAGGTAGGGAATATTTCATTAATATATTTTTTTCTTTTTATTTCAGAAATATGGAAGTTCTGATTTCAATTTAATACCTGTTTGCCCTGTCTTCACTCCTGAGTTGCAATCTTTGCTTGAAGAAGGCAGTTACTGCACAGTGCTTGATCAACCTATTCCATTAAACAGACTGATAGTAAAAAATATTGATTCATTCCATGGAAATGGTATGTTAAGCATGTTTTACATATGGCTCAGTTAAAACTTCTAAAAAGAAATAAAGAGCTATACTGCATCCATATAGGGCTAGATACATTGTGTGTCCATCTAAACTAGTCCTCTTTAACATAATTTAGGAAAATAATAATAATAATATTAATTCACAAGAACCAGTTGCTTCCCCCTCATTTCAACTTTCCTATCTCAGCGCTTCCCCAAAACAGCCTAGAACAAGGAGTAAGAGGGTACCCCTTTCTATGATTTTATATGTCTTCAAAATCTGATTAATCAAAGGCTAGTGGGAGACCAGACACCTTCCATAAATGGATGTACAGCACAGGAAGTCATACCTTGATCAAAGCACCTTCAACTATGAAAACTATGCTTTCCATACAGGGCTAACAGAACAGGAGCTGCTATGTTCCATTCTTTGCAATGTCAGTTTCGGATGTGCTATACATACAATGCAAGTCCTGGCAGCCAAAACAGAAATGGCAAAACTGAAGCTCTCACACCCAGCCTCTACCATCAGTAGAACACTTGTATTACATTTTCAGCGTGTATCTCACACAGTTCACACTTTAAATGAAACTATTTTTGCCGAAATATCCCTTGGTTGGTACTGAGGAAGGCTGGACTGGATCAATGCTTTTATAAATTTTCTCTAACAAGTGAGATACAACCCTGATATAAACCAAAACTTCTAGCAGTTGTGACATTAGCATGAAGGGAACTAGATAAGACAGGAGATAAATAGTGCAAGAGCATCATATGTTCATTGTGGAACAAAAGCTCTTGGAGTTCTGCAGAGTTCAGAATGTATGCCCTGACTCTAATAATCTATTCTCACTTCTCAGGAATTAATTCGATGGACATTTTTAATAACTTGGCAATCAGACTTGTGACACTTAGAAATTGGATAAGACTATCTTTAGAATTCATATTTAATTTTTAAAGAAGGTATGTTTGTTACATGAAGTTATATAACAGGCTCAGATAGTTTGTCTTTTGTAAAATAGTCTTTGAAGTGCCATTGAGTGCTAGTCTTCCTGAAATGTATTATCTTGTAACACTGGTTTCATGGTAGAGCCAAGTTATTTTAAATGAGAAATGACTGTCCAATGGTGCTTGGAAACTTAGCTTTTCCATTTCCCAGCATGTTTTAATGAGAGGCCCTCTTTGATGCAGGAATAATATTCTACTGCAGCACATTTCACTTTTTTATTTACTTTTATTTTTCGATTCATATCCTGCCTTTTTCCTACAAAGGGCTCAAGGCAGCTTACATCTCCTCCTCCATCGTATCCCCACAACAACAATCCTGTGAGGTAGGTTGGGCTGAGAGTCTGTGACTGGCCCAAAGTCACCCAGTTGGCTCCATGGCTGAGCAGGGACTAGAACCCAGATCATCTGAGTACCAGTCCCATGCTCTTAACCACTACACCACACTGGCTCTCCAGTCAGTCATTTTTCTGATAGTCTTGGATGAAACTTTATAATATACATCTCCATCAAATATTAAGCCAGGACAGAAGATGCTACCTTGCTGGAGGTGGTCCACTGCCTTTTCTTTTCTTTTTAAAAGTTTCCCTGTAGAGAAAGGGATCACTCCCTATACCATACCCCTAGTTACTTTTATATCTGAACCAAGATAGAGCCTGTGATGAGAACTCCTTTAGTTTACAAGACATAATGGACCAGTAGTTTTCACATGCAATTTCTGCTCTGTGGTCATTACAGCACAGTATCAACTATGTTTATAACATGAACAAATATAACACACCAATTGTTTTATTGTGGGGGAAGCAGAAAAAGTTTGAAAAGTCACATGCACATTATCTCTGGTATTTATAGTGAGTGCACATGCCACAAGCCATAGTCTAGGGTTAGAACTGCAGAAGTGAGAGCTGGACTTTGTAGTACCATAATAGTGTAGGTAAGTTTCAGTTGGCATCTTATGAAATCATTTTTTAAAAGGTTGGTTGTAAAACCTCTTAGGTTCCATGCATCTTGTTCCACTGAAATAGATTATGATAACTCACTGGTAATGTGCTGTAGTTATCTGATCTATGCTATGTATAGTTATCCAATTAAACAGCCATGTTTCTCATAGAAAGACAGATATTTATTGCTTAAATAGGTCTGAAGGCATGGTACAATTATTTACCATGTATTAATCATTTTTCTAGTTTTTGGATTGCGAAATGCATTTCTAATACAGCATGAAAATAGGTATCAACAGTGCATAGCAGCCTTCTTACTACAGGCACAGACTGAGTCTATCAAGGTAGGTATACTGCAACATTTCGTAAAAGCTCAAAATATATTCACACAGGCGAGTAGTCCAACGTAATTTTAACATCCTTTCCCCAATTATTTGCACTGTTACTTGCCTGCACTGTTTCAGTAGTCCCCAAAACATCAGAGCAAGGTACCTCTTTATTCTAAAAATTACCATAAATATGAACAGAAGTTATTGCTTACTAGAGCATCTATCAATAGATGCAGTTCCTTGAAAATTGTGTACAGGTAAATTTGAGAGTGGAAGCAAAACCTTATTTCCTTTTTGTTGCCATAAGAAACTTACTAAGAAGGGAATTTCTCAATTACTGCTATACATGAGAAGCCAATTCCACACCTGATAAACAAGCTACAGATTATTAGCCATATAAAGCATTTATAACACTAAGTGCACAATCCTATGCATGTTCCAATAGAAAAAGACCTACAGCGCCCATGTCTAAATTTCTAAATATTCACAGGACTGCACTCTAAAATTGCTTGGGTTTGGTAAAACAAAGCTAAAAGTTTTTTGTTTCTTGTTACAGAAAACATGGATGTCACAGATGGAAGCTGCAATCTCAAACTATGCAAATAGACAAAACTCTTCCAAAACCTCATTTTTCAGTTTACCTGCTGAATCATCTGAAATTTAGCTGTGCTCAGTGGGCAACTGGCAGGCATTCAAACATATTTATTTTATTTTTAAAGTATGTCATTTATAATGTTTGCAATTATTTCTGGAAACCAGGAAAGATGAAACTCTAGGAACCCTGAACAGAGGTTAGAGAAAGAAAAAGGAAACTTGGATGGTCAGATGCAAACAGCAGCGTGGGCAGTGTGCTCTTAATAGTTCCTCCCATGGACATTTCTGTGTGTCTTGTTAAAGTTCTTTTTTTCAGAAGAGGAAAAGATACAATAGATCGATATATACATCAAGAAAAACAAAACAAAACAAAAAATCAAAGGCCACAGAGCCAGTATCTTTTAACTGTCACCCAAAATTTGTGGCTAAGTTAAAATAGGAGTTACTTTGTGATCATAATGATCAGGCTATGAAAAATGGAAAAACAGATTAAAACAAGTACAAAACTTTCCGGAGGACCACCTACAGATGTCAAAGCAAACACCTAGCACTGATTTTCACAAAGGTACTCATAAGGTACTCCTAAGATCAGGATGCAGCACCAATGTTGACTTACTTTGGGATTGTTATACAACCATGTGATACAAAGTGATCAAGAAAGCTCACTTTCTTCCCATCATGAAATCCTGGGAGAAAACTCATCAGTACTATCACATAAAATGAGGTCAGAACACACCACATCCTGCAAGATAGTTGAAAATGAGATGAAAAGTTGTGACATCACACTACAAAGCTTTATCCAGAAATGAGACTTTAGTTCAACACCGCTGAAACTGAAAGGTAGAAATCAATTCAGGCTGGCTACACCACACCAAAAGTTGTTGTACCAATTGACTTTTTGAGATATAAATCAAAATATTTAATAAAGACTTTCAGTAGTATTTCTGCTGAGGCTATGAAAGTCATTTACAACAGAGGTACTGCTTTTGAGAAGGACAAATAAAAGGTCACTATGCACCTTTCTCAATCCCTAAAAAATAAAATAAAAAGGCTTGTGTAATCATAGCCTAATCAACCCATCGTGCAGATTTGCCATCTTTACCAAGTATAATGAACATCACTATCTGAAACATGGCTGTATGGAAGACACTAAGTGCTGCTTCCCTTGAAGTCTAAAATGAGAGATTGTAATTCAGTGGCAAAGTGCATGTTTTGCATGCAGCAAGTCCCAGGTTCAATGCCTGCTCGTTCCAGGTATGGCAAGGGAATAATCTTGCCGGAAACCCTTCAGAATTGCTACTAGTTAGAAGCAACAATACTGAGCTAAATGGCTCAATGGGCAAATGGAGGATACAGCAGTTTCCCATGTAACTATAGTTTCCCACATAGGTTGTCAATTCATATGGGAAGCAGCTAGACTGGTGGCACACCACCACAACTTGGTCAACACTGACATGAGTGCGTGAGTCAACACACTCAGGAAATCCATTCTAGAAGCTCCTATAACTACATAGGAGCAATTTGCAGTGGGAACCACACTGCCTAAATAGATAAAGGAAGCACAGCAAGGCCAATTAAAACAGTTGCATGATCAAGGAAAAGGAGGCAGCCACGACTTTGCTGCAATTATGTTCAAGATTTAGAACAGCGACAGTAAGCAAGTCATGTTTGCACAACCAGGATCTGGATTGCAAATGAATACAAGTCAATAAAGTGATAACGATCAGTGTAAGCAAAAGTACAGAAAAGTAGACATTGAAAATGGTCTATTAGAAAGGTCTAATTTTATTTTCAGCCCAATTACAGATTAGAATACAAAAAAGTAATATTTTCACAAGTATTTGAAATATTTTCCACCCATGTGTTTCATACAGAATTGGTTGATACTTGGTGTCATTTCCTTGCTCCTCAGCTTTCATTACTTTCCAAATGCAGAGTTTAGGGATTACTGTGCATACCGAACTAAACTCTTTCACAACGTAAGGCACAACTACATGACTACAAGTCATAAACACACCACTGAAAGGAGGAGTTAAGAGACTCCAACTGATAAAAATTGCCATGCAAGACTATCTACAGATAATGTGAATGTAAGGTCCAGTTGAGAAAGAACTTCAGTGTTATGTAGATAAGGCTACCTTAATATATCACCTGTGAATATAAAGTAAGCACATAATTTTTCCAATTCTAATTTATACAATTATACAGAAAAAATCAGTTAATACTATGCACAATATTCACATCTGCAACCATAAGAAACCAATCATTTCAAAGAGGCCAACGGGACAGTACAATTTGTGGCACATACCCATTATAGCATAATAGCATTAGTCAACTTCTTGTCTAGAGTACAGGAAATAAAGGCTAGTTTATGGCATGTGAACATTAACATAAGCCAATTGCCAATGTGACATGTATAGCTCATATAATCCAGTGGACTATATAGCTGATATAGTCCAACAGTTTATGTGTTGATTTCTGTCCAACCGCTACAAGTTTCTAGAACTGACCACAAGTGGATCTGTAACAACTGAAGCCTACATAAACATACACACCCAAATATTACATTTTTGGTAAGACAACACACTTGAAAATTTGGAAGTCACCATACCTAACATTATAATGAGGAAACCCAATCAAACTTGTCTAAAGTTGAGTTTCATTTCAAGAGGTAGTTTAAACAAAATCTTATATAGTGGCATTGAGAGTCAGATTAGAGTTTTTGTGTTTTTAAAATAGTTTTATTACAAAAGTGACAAATCCTATACAAGCAGCATTTTGGACAGATTTGTATTATAAAAGGTTTCTGTGTGTGTTAATTCACTGTGTTGTTCTTTTTCTTATCCCTTTGGTGCTCAGAGTTGGGATTTAATATGGGAGAATGTATGTTGCAAGTGAACTAACAACAGGAAGCCTGGACCTGCATACCAGTCAACAATGAACAATGTTTGGGGGGGGGGGGGGAGAGAAGCCCACAAGGCCTGTACTAAAACTTATTCACATGGACTTTGAAGACATGACAATTGAGAAAGACATATCCAATGGACTTGAAAAGATTCTAGTTAATACAGTGAAAGTCTTCCAGTCAACCTTCTATACAGTGACTACATAGTATACTGTGTTGCTTCATGAGTCAAGGCCAAACAGTCTGTGTTGAAAACTAGCAGCTTTTATCCATTTTGTAGATTTTAATTCTTAAATAGCAACTATGGATGTTTTACAATTGTATACTACTGTAAAGTTTTTTAGCTTTTAAAAAACCTAATTCGAACACGAAAACATGTACTCTTAAGTGGGGAATTTTTCTATTTATTGCTATGGTCTGAAAAGAGACCATGTAAATTCTAGTGTGGTTTAATGATGAAAAAACAGCAGCTCATGAACAATGGAAACCATTCAACTAACAACATAAAATGTGCAATGCTGTTATGTCTGCATTCCAATTCTTAAAAGTGAACTATGCTCATTAAAAAGAAACATGCAGATTCCTTCACTATAAATAAGATGTCTGAAATGCATAGGAATTATGGGAACAACATTCTTAAACACCAACATGAAGTTACTATGAATTTCAAATGAGCTCTTAGCTAAGCCTTATGGACCAATTACTACTGCAACAGTTGTGGCAAAACAGTTGTTTCATTTCTTGCATATTGTGCTGATTACACTAGAAAGAAAGTGCATAGTGCAAGTGACAATGCTATTTTCTTACCCTTCCTTAGGTTTCCTTGAGTTTCTACTGAAGTCATTCAGAGCTCTATAAACTATAGCAACACCAAATGTTCTTCTGGACAAAGATGGTTATTTCTCAATTTCCACATGTGTACAATTTCTAGGGCCATGATGTGTAATCAACCTATTAAATCAGTTAAAAACATTTTACTCTATTAAACACTCAGTATAACTGGAGAATAGATGATTTATCTTTAAAAATTCTTTTGAATACAAGTAGCTACACAGGGTTGGATCCAAAAATACCTGCCACAACAGAATGGGCTCTGCTAGCAGAAGGTATCTCTGTCTGCATTTTTAGGATTCTCCACCACAGTTTGACAAACTGATCAGTCTCCTGGCCCTCTATGTCGCATTTCAGGGGGCTGGAGAGACTGCCATAGGAAGAAGGGGGCAACAGATCTCATTCCCACTAGGGCAGTTGATCTAGCCTAAATCTGGACCAGTACAAATGCTGCAGGTGACAGAGGCCATTTTAGAAAAAAAATTTCCCCTTTTCTCACACATAAGGAAACATTTGTCATAAGATAGTGCCTCCTACAACATGTGTGCAAATCATATAAAACCCAAGTATAAGTTTTTCTTCAGAAATAGCTTATATGCATATTTATACAGATTAAACTGATTAAAACACCCATGACACTACTTAGGAGCCTACTTTCCTCCACCTTTTATCCTAGAGAGGGAAGTAATGAAAAAGGATGGATGGCTAAGTAACATCTAAATGGTTAAGAAATCTGGTATACGGACTGAGCATACCTGAGTCAGGAGTTTTAAAGGTGCGTACATCATATTTGTATTTAACCATCTGGATGTGAGGGGTTTTTTAACATTTGAAGCCACCTTATATCCATACAATTATTTATTTTTGACATTTCTTTGCCACTGCCTGCTCCAAGCGGTAGCCCACTCCTGTCTCACCCATAACTGACTGCTCTCCAAGGCACCAGGAAAAAGGTCTTTTCCAGCCCTGGTGCCTATGAACCCCTTTTCATCCTTTTTAAAATCTTTTTTTCTGGAAGAATAAGGAAATGAACTTGGAACTTTAGGTATGCAAAGTACATAGGGTGCCTATACAAATATCATGGGTTCAGCTCATTGCTTCTCCTTTCTTCCTAAATCTAAACTCCAGTTTGTCAATCTGCAACAACTTTGCTTGCTGAAATCATTTTTTATTCTTCTAGGCCAGTTAAAACAAGAAACAAACCATGAAAATAGAAGGTTTAACTTTAAATGTCACTGTGTATTTTATTCAGGGAAAAGTTTCCATTTCAAAATGGTGAATGCAGACTGAATGAATCACTGCTAGGTCCTACAGTCTCTGATAACACCAAGCATTCTGACACAAAGAAGCGATGTCCAACCCCATCTCTGAAAACAGCCAGTTTTGAAATTGAGTCTGTACTGCAAGACCTCATGGCTTCCAGATATGGTCTAATTTTTGAACTTTTCTGTTTCTTCCCTTTAAACTGCTTCTTATACTACACAGCTTGATGGAGAACTCTGGCATTTTGGTCCTAAGAAGGTATTGCTAAGCTGGGGACATTTCCCCTGGATTCTGGATTCTGGGAGCTTTACTCATGGACCAGCATGACTATCTTTGTTTTTTGCTATTTTAAACAAACCATTATCCAAAACTGAGAAAGTGAAAGAAAAAGTATCTAGTAAAATTTTGGAATTCCAAGCTAAATTCTTCCCTAACTACTTATCTCTGAAATCCAACATTTCCTATTTATATTACCTGGATCTTTCATGCAATGCTTCTTCTGAGAACAGAACAAGAATTGTTTTAGAAGTACAAGAGAAAAGTAAATGAGTATAAGGACAATAAAAGCGAGAAAGAAAGAAAAAAATATAGCCCCATCTGTAATGTTTAAGAATAGGAACTTGCATATTTAGGATGATGTAGCACATCTAATTACTAATTCTAATATAACACAGAGTATTAGAAGAAATGTCAAACATACACTACACTACAGTCTTGACAATGCTTTACATGTTCAGTGTAGTATATATAGTGACATTATAATGAAACTGCCTGAAATGTTTCTTCGAGGGAGTTTTCCTTTAGTAGGGTACACAGTGCAGAAGTGGTGTGCATGGGGGGGAAGGACAGATACTGAAAAGAAAAAATAAGAAATTGGCAAAAAAGTGGCTTGTTTACACACTCCAATGCAGCCATTAAATTGTAACTATACCATTACAGCAGCAATATAATATACACAAAATCCCTGCAAATATGCTCACTTTAAAAGGTATTACTTTTGAACAAATCAAGATAAAAAAATACATTGTTACTCCTCTGTTTAAACTTTATTTACTAGTTACTGGGGACTTACAAACTTGACACAGAAGCTCTGATAGGATCAAGACCAAATAAGCCATAGATAACTTCAGCCTCACAAGAAGTATATTTGTTTGACTTTATCAATAAAGTATGTTTTCAACTATACTATAATTTTGCCCATTGTTACAATCATAGCCCAAACCAAACAGTAGTCTGAGTGTTGTACGAAGTGCATAACAGAAACTTCATTCTAGCATAACATTTAAGAGTCATGAGTAATTATCCTTGCAAGTCATTGAAACAAGTATCACAGACGCGAACAGGTTTCTTAGAAGAAGGAGTTAAGGCATTTTTTGATGAGCACTCAGCACAGAAGATATTTCCACACTGTCTGCAGTGATGCTGTAAACGAAAGGGGGAAATGTTATACACACACACAGCTCAGACATAATGCCCAACCATGACTTGGTTCAACATGAACATGTTCTCTTTTCCCCTGTATGCTCCAATTTGTCACTTCCATCTTTAACCAACTCCATAGTTTTCTGTTAAGTCCAAACTGGCAGCTTTTGGTTTATGCTTTCCCTTTAAACCAGGATTGCGATCCATGGGTCGAAGGCCAAACATAACACACAGTTTGACAGTTTAGAGGTACCTATGAACTAGGGTTTATGCTTAAGATGAAAGTAACAAATTGCATCAGAGAATATAGAGCAGGACAGGAAATGGAAGCACGTGGTTACAAGGCTTTTAAGCAATTATTTAGCATTGTACAAGCAACCCCACAATATTTTAAAATACATATTAAGAGGGCGAAAGTCTTACCCAAATCATTCAGCTTTGTGACAAAAATATCAAACGTAACATAGGATTGCACTGAAATAGCAGATATCAATAAATATGAAAAAAAGTCATTGGAATGAATATATTTTCAATTCAATTTATCAAAAAAGCCCTCTCTAAACTGGCAGAGGATATTTTGCAGTATTGTTCTTTCCCAAGAATGCAACAAGTGGAACCAGCTCCTGAGCAAATGTGATGCTAGCCCTGCTGAAGTAAAGGCATGCCTCAACTTTGCTGCATTTTGCTTAACTGCACTTCACAGATGCTTTTTTTAAATTTAAAGGTTTGTGGCAACCCTGCATCAAGCAAGTCTAGCTGCATTTGCTCTCTTTGTGTCTCTGTGTCACATTTTGGTAATTCTTGCAATATTTCAAACTTTTTCATTATTATTGTATTTCCTATGGTGATCTGTGATCTTTGATGTTACTATTCTAATTGTTTGGGAGTGCCATGAACTGCACCCATGTAAGATGGCAGTAATCTCATGATAAAACTTCAACAGATGAGGAGTTGCTTCTTATGAGTGAGCAAAGAACATAGTTTCTTGAGATGAAATCTACTAGTAAGATTGCTGAAATGACAACCAAGGATTTGGAATGTTACATAAACTTGGTTGATAAAGCAGCAGCAGGGTTTGGGAGCACAGACTTCAATTTGGAATGAAGTTCTACTGTGGGTAAAATGCTATTGGACAGCATCGTAAGCGACAGAGAAATCTTTTGTGAAAGGAAGAGCCAACTGCTGTCTTGATTGAAGACATTGCCATGGCCGCCCCAGCCCTCAGCAACCAGCACTCTGATCAGTCAGCAGCCATCAACTTTGAGGCAAGACCTCTTCACCAGCAAGAGGAATATGACTCGCTGAACGTTGGTTAATTCAGGCAGCTTTTTTTAGCATTAAAGTGATTTTAATGTATATTTGTTTTTTAGACATAATGTTACTGCATACTTAACAGACTACAGTATAGTATAAACATAATGTTTATATGCACTGGAAAACCAAAACATTCATGTGACTTGCTTTTTTGCAATGTTTGCTTTATTACAGTAGTCTGGAGCCAAACCCGCAATATCTCTAAGGTATGCCTGTATACTGTAGTGCAGCGTTGGTAAACTTAATGAAAATAAGTGAAGATATAACATCTGAACATGCTCTCTACTGTTAGCCACAAAATTCTCATTGCACTCCTGATGAAAGGAAACCTGCCTTAAGTGCCTGATCCAGCCTAATCTTGGAAGCTAAGCAGGGACAAGGCCTGCTTAGGCTATGGCTAAGGGCAGTATAGAAAGATGATGATGATGAATTTATATGACATCACAATAAGGGGATATGTTTTTTCTTAAAATACATTTTCATTGCTTTAAGGAAAATAATTATCATAAAATATTACCAGACTCACATACCCTTCTTACTGTTACAGAAAAACCTTTTCCGCAGGCCATGCAGTTCTGAACCTCATTGTCTTCTGCCCATTTCCTATTTAGGGCTTGTGTATGTTTGATCTATGTGAAATTTAAAAGAGATTTTGGTAAACATTAAATCGAGCCCCAAATCATGTCAAAAACATTCAAAAGAAAATCAGTTGTGGCTTTAGCAATGCAAGAAAATCTCCTCCTCTCTCACTTACATACGGACAAACTCTCGCACAACCACACACACATTTGCCAATATCTGTTGCACCCAGAACAGCAAAATTTTCCTAACTACATTCTATGTTAGCAATGATGCTGTTTTTCAAGCAAAAGAGAATACCTGAAGTGACTGGTTCTCTCTGCCTAGCTCTTGCATGGCTGCAGTAGTATCATCCAATTTCCTTCGCGCATCCATCAATTTGCTTTGAAGCTTTTCAATTTCTCCTTCACTTTTAAGGCACCTACAGAGCATAGGGTACACAAATAATGTCCTAAGTTTCTGGGAAGAAATAACAAATTGTCTTTTGATACTGTAAGTAGGGTAAAATAAGGTTACAATTATAATTGCCATGTGAATTAATATGGTTCACGTACTCTAAGATTATTGTCTATTTTCTTATTTGAAATCACTGCACAAAAGTTGTTGGTTGTAATTAGAAACCAAGAAAGATGCAAAAAGTTAATAAAGGGAAGGACTATTTCAGCACATTCTATAGTAAGCCTGCCTGTTCACATTAATTAAAGCTAACAGGGCAGGGAGAGGTGAGGCGAAGGAACAAAGAAAATGAAGCCTTTCAGTTTCTATTAATAAGAAATATTCTGTCACAGGATATTGTGAAATGAAGCTACATTTTGTAAGGCATGAGTCACTATTCCAGCTTGATTCCAATCGTAACGACAAGAAAACCACATACACTTTTAAAATCAAAGAAGGGTATTAACTAGTCTATGTAGCAGCCATGGACTTACTGCTATATCCAGACTCAAGCAGAGATTCCTGACCAGGTAAGTTACACTCAAGGAGTAAGTCACCCTGTGCGTTACACATGAGCAGTCTACATTTCATGTAAACCTAGAGTCCGTCCTAGAATTTTGAACTTCAGCTGCTATCTAGCATGTTAAGTTATGCTGTTTTTCTGATTGCAAATTTTTAATCAGCATGGAAGAGAAGCTAAATTTTTTCACACAAAACCACACAAGAGCCAGTGAGGTTTGGCGGCTAGAGTGCTGGATTGGGGAGCTGTGAAATCCAGGTTCTAGTCCCCACTCAGTCATGAAGCTCACTGGATGACATTCAATTGGTCATTGTCCCTCAACCTACCTCACAGGGTTGTTGCTGTGAAGATAAACTGGAGCTATATAAGCCACCTTAGATTTCTTACAAGATAAAAAAGGTGCCATACAAATGTAATGTAATAACTTCTAACCTGTATCAAAGCTGTTCCAAGATTTTTGTTGAATATGTTTTAAAAATTCTATTATTCAACCCCTCGTTCATTGCCTTACCTTTCCAGCAACATTCTCCTCTCATCCTGGTTATTTTGTACTGTGGCTTCCAGTACTGCAATCTCTCCACGTAGATCATCCGTTTGTTTTTCTAGCTCACTAACCCTTCTTTGGCTGCTTTGCCACTCCTTCTTCACTGTTCCTAGATTTTCATTCAGAGCTGTGATCTGCATACTAAGCTTATCTTCAGCATCCTTATGGTCTTTATACTGTTCCTCTTTCTCCTTGATCTCAGCTTTCTAAAAGAGAAACAAGTACAATGTTTTCCAACTTTGCCAAATAATTTTCCAACAACTCAGAGATCATGTTTATTGCTCGTCTTGTCCTGGACTGAAATAAAGAACAGGCCAGAGTACTACATGCTCTTACTTCATTCTTCTCCCTTTGAGGAAAAGTGATTGACTAAATGAGAAATCCTGGCTCACATCCTGAGTTGCCATTCCATTAATGGAAGAGACATCAAGCCAGTAGTGCTCCTGCAGGTAGGAGAGGAGTTCATTTTCATGGATTCTCCTCTCCCCTTGCTGCTCCTCCTGCCACCTCCCGTGATATTCCAGAAGTTTTCCCAATCCTAACAAGCACTTTTTCAGAGGCCACACAGCATATGTGGGATGGTGTAAACTGGTGTCCTGCAAAAGGAAGGGGTTGGACCCAATGGTCTTCTTGGCCCCTCCCAACTCCACTATTCTATGATTCTATGTTATAGGGAAAGAGGAATCGGCAAAAACTGCTTCCTAGTACCTTCTGCTAGAAATAAAAGAGTGAGAAAAAAAGATTGACATTTGTATGTCATCCTTTATAAGCATATTTAAACATGTCAACACAGCAAGCACTCTCACATTAAATATACAGACCAGTTTTGCTTCCATTTCAGCACATTTTTTCTTCAATTCATCTTCTCTCTTTTTTAGCTGATCTTTGATAACTTCTTGATTCCTTTTCTCCTGTTCAAGAGCTGTATTAATGGTATCAACCTTTCCCTGTAATTCTAACTTCTGCTTAATCAACAGCTCCTTGGCATCCTTTAGGTTTGTTAACTCCTGTTAAAAATATAGTATTATAATTTTAAAAATGGAGTTTGATGAATTAAATGTCAAGTTATACTAAATCACATGAATACAGTTTGAGAAACCAGTTGTTAAATTAGCAAGAACTTTCACAATACCACAACAAATAAAGCTTAAAAGAGACAAATGTTTTCCAAATTCTAACAAACTAAACACCAGCTGGGCTTTTGTTTTGTTTTGTTTTGCATTTGGGTTTTTTTTTGGTTGGGGGGGAGTCTTTTAATCACTCAAATCAATATTTTGAACTGCAATGACTACACTAGAATATTTCTGAAGAAAAATATTTGTCAGTTTAACACAGAAAAGTCTCAGAGGACCTGGAAACAGGAACATTTGTAGACAGAAGAAAAAAAAAAGTCAAAAACCACAAATGAGTGGGACCAAAGACCATGAGGTAGAGGAAGTGAAGGATAGCAAGGTCCCCAGGTATAAAGGCTGAAGGAGCAGGCAACATCAGCACTGTACTGAGGACCAAAGTTTATTCAAACTTTTAAAACAGCTTAAAGTGACTACTTCTGTTTTGAGGAAAATGCAGCCATGGGGCTCACTAGCTAGAACACCCTCCCAAATCAGTTTTGTCAGATATCTTTTTTCCCTGAAAGCTACCTTCTCCCTCTGCTATTTACCCTCAAAGGCTGCTTATTATAAAGTAATTTTCTACCAAGGGAAGAGGGTGTGATTTGCAGCAGAAAAATGCTATTTACTTTTTCTTCAAACAACAAGCAAACAATTTAAGCATGCTTTTTTAAAAAGTGTGAATAATTTAACACGTAAGTGGACCCTAAAAGGCAGGCAAAATTAGTTATTTTGTTTCATTGATATATATTAGTGTAAATGAAACCATACATCCAAGTTTCTATTTCATAAAAATGCAAGCATAGCAAATAAACTCTGTTATGTTTTGAATGAGCAGCTTATAATAATGATGTCTATAATTATAACTTAATTTTAATAACTCCTATATCTGTTTAATGGTCTGTAACCCTTTCAGTTCTGCTATGGGAAGAGAATGTACAGATAGGCACAAGAGCACACATGTGTATAATCAATATATATGTTAGCTTTATGTTTTGTATTACAAGTTATACAGGTTTGTCACCATCTTTGATGTACTTAAATTGAAAAAAATAATTTAAATGGTGCCATACCGCTAACTAGAAAGTCTAACTAAAACAGTAATACCATCGATATGAAAAGTTATGGTGTCCTTTAACTGAACTGTCACCCTATTGCAGCTCAGTTCTACCTGCTTGAAGCTCCTGATGTCAACTCATATTATCATCTAGGGTCAAGACTAGCACAAAGTTCCTTTTACCTAGCACAGCTGCAAGGAGCAGATCAGAATCTTTCATTCTGGTTGACCATTTGTTACTATATGCAAATAAACTACAGTAACTCTTAATGATGCTTTGCTGAAACAAACTCGAATGTGTCTAATCTTTTCACAGCCATGGTGAAAGAGAAGAGTGAAAGAACATGAGAGACTAGGTTTCCCAAGGTTATTCCCATCATGACTACAGATTATTATGTGTGAATGCAACTAATTTATAGACTGTTTATATTTTGCCATATTTTTGTTTATCTTCCAAGAAATCTCAATTATTGAAAATGTAATATTCTGGAAATGATACTGAAAATGAAACTATAGCATAGCTAAATGGCCCAGAAATGAGAAAGCTAGGAAAAATAGTGTGCTTCACCTATCAGATATATGACATATTTCCAATACAGTCCTTGGAGCTGAAAAAGTTTATCACTTCTAGCACTGACTCTGGATTGCAACACAGTGCACTGCAGGTCTTTAACTTCACCAAACTGGAAAATTGTCTTCACCAATTTTCACACAATGGTGCCCATGTAAATACATAGTCTAACTACTCAAACTCTTTGTCTCAACATACCTTCTCATACTCTTGCTTGCAGATTCTAGCTTCCTCCTTCAGTTTTGAATTTTCTTTTTCCTGTTTGCTGTTTATATTCTGGAGTTCTGTAGTTTTTGATTTTTCATTAGCCAAGTCTTTTTCTTTTAAATCCTGGAGGTATAAAATGCCCAAAAGAATGTTTAAGAGCTATCTTTCAATCAAACTATAAAGGCTGTTTTATTATCAGTAAACAGAGCTATCTCTTTAAAATCTCATTATCCTTCCCTGCAGAAGTAGTATTGTAATACTATTGTGGTTGATGATCTATCTTACACATTAGATTATCATTGTCCTATCTTGGATGGGCCTGCACTTCCACAAAATGGACAGGGTTTGCAACTTGGGAGTACTCCTGGACCCAAAACTTTCATTAGAGTTTCAGGTGGCCAGGAGTGCCATTTTCAGGTTACAGAGAACATGATAACTATGACCTTAACTGGATACAAACAGCCTGACCACAGTTACTGACATGCTGCTAACATCCCAACTAGATTACTGTAATGCGCTCTTCGTAGGACTGCCTTTGACCATGGTCCAGAGATTTCAGCTGGTCCAAAATAGGACTGCACGTCTGGTATCGGCCCCACTCTGTATAAATTACATTGGTTGCCAGTTGAAGTCCAGGCCCAATTTAAACTGCTTCTTTTAACATGAAAAGTCCTAAAGGGCTCGGAACCTGGTTACCTGAAGGATCACCTTTTCTAATATACTCCTACGTGCTCACTGTGATCTGAGAAAGAGGCCCTTCTGAAAGAGCCATCACTAAAGGAAGTAAAAGGGATAGCAATTAGAAGGGCCTTCTCAGTGGCTGCTCACCACCTTTGGAATGGGATCCCTAAAGAGGTCTGCCTGGCACCATCACTACATTCATTTTGGCACCAGGAAAACACTGTCCTCTTTTGCAGGTATTCAAGCTCTGATTTTAACACCTGATTACTCTACTCCAGAAGATTTCTCCCCAGCCTTGTAATGTTTAATCAATCAATTCATTGATTAATTAATTGCAATTAATTTATTTTTAGCCAATTTTATTTATTTTCACAAACTACATTCTTCAAAAGGAAAAAGGCATATATGGGAAGAAAGAGGCCACATATACAACATATAATTTCAGTATTTGAACATGTTCATAAAAAGGCAAGAATTTCTGTCTGCTTATGGTCCCATTTAAATCATTCAAGTCTTAATCAGAATATAAATAGTTTCAGCTATATATAATAATTTACAGCTAGTTTTATAAACTTGAATATATTATAGTTTATATAACTAGCTGTAAAATTATAACATAGCTTTAGTATTAGAATAAAAATCACTGACATTTGTAAAGATTCTATTTTCTTTAGCAATTAGTTAAATTGCTCGTAGTAAGCTTTCCATCTTTCAATAAATTATTTAACTGGTTTTCTATTATAATTAGTTAGTTTCGCCATTGCTGCATACTCAGCTAGCTTGTTTTTCCAGTCATTAACAGATGGACAGTTTTCAGCTTTCCACTTTGAGGCAACTACTACTTTTGCTGCTGTTACTATGTATTTGAGTAACGATAACATAATCTTTGGAACAGTCTCTGGTATGATACTCAGTAACATATTCTTGGCATTCATAGGAAAGTCAGTTTAAATATATCCTGCATTTCCGCATGTATCTGCTTCCAAAATCTTTTGATTCTATCACATGTCCACCACATATGTTAATTAATGTATTTTAATGTTGTTAGCTGCTTGGAGAGCCCTGTGCAGCCCTGTTATATTCAGCAGCATATAAATTTGAAAAATACAGAAATAAATAATAGCATTAAATTCTGATATACCAGCATTTTAAATCATCACCCCTGAAATCAAAGGAATGCAAGTCCAACAGTGAAAACATATGCATATTTAGTTAAGCTCCAAATTCAAGGAGGGTTTACATTTGAACACAGGAGTACAGCCTGTAACTATACATCTGCATCTTCATCTATTTAACTCTTGTAATAGCAGAATCTTAAAATCATCATGAACATTTCATATACCTTGGATAAACTTAGCATTTTTTTTCTGTGATTTACTGTGACTTCCAGTCATGACCTCTTGTTGCATGTCATACTAGGTATCTGCATCCACAAAGTAAGCATCAGTTTTAGCCCAAAACTTATACATGTCCCATACCGCTCATATTACATTGGCACATATGTTCAGGTGGGGACAAAAGTTTAAAATATTGCACAAATTCCACAAATGGTAGAAGCAAGTACCACTAAAAAGCAGGTAAAGAAAATTATGAGTGACCGTCAATTACCTTGTCTTTCTGTATTTCCTGTAAGAGTTTTTCCTGCTCTTTCAGCTGCTGTCCCTTTTTGGACAAATCTTGTTCCAGTGTAGATCTTAGAGTCTTAAGTTCTTTGATCAACTGATTGTGATTAGTAATTTGATTTCTGTTTGAAACTAATTCCTCTTGAGCCAAAGCAAGCTTCTCCTCTATGGACTAGATTTGGAAAAAAAATAATTACTACTAAATTCCCAGAACCAGTCTGTGTTAACACCGAAGACACAGTTATGTATCAATGTCAAAAAAATTGCATTATGATTACAATAAGGCACTGTTTGCAGCAAATTACAAAGCTTGTCAATTTAACTGGTAGCACTGAAAATTATCAATGTTCATGTATATCTATTTATTCATCCAGCCTTGAGATTTCTCATATACTTCCTCCCACCTAAAATGAAGTACTGTAAAATGAGAAGAAACATGAATAAATAGTGATTCAGTTTTCACACTGTTTATTCGTTCAGAACATTTATAATTCAATTACTAGCTTCTTTTCTCAAGACTGTTTTGTATGTGTGTGTGTGCGCGCATGCTACCAAGTCATTTCCAACTTAGGGCAACCATATGAATGAAAGCTCTCCAAATATCCATGATAGCCCTGTTCAGCACATGTAAATTCCAGGCTGTGGCTTCCTTTATGAAATCAGTATAGCATTACCTTTATCACTGATAATCAAAGCAGGTTAATCCTGTGGAGAGCCTTTTGCCTCAAGACCAGCATGCAATATTATCAAGTACCAGGTAAAAAACCAACTTCTGTATAAACCCAAACTTGCATTATGAGAGAAAGATACTCCTGTTGCTATTTGCCTTTAGAGTTACTTCTTAGTTGCCTTGAACTCATAATATTAAACCTAACCCATTTTTAAAAAATAAATACCTTAACTTATATTATAGCTTTAGCTGGAAAGGTAATAAAAGAAAAAAGAATTCAACAGAATAGCTTTCTCAAAGTGTTCCAGCAGATGGTGCCATCATCATAGCTCAACCAGTAATACTAATGATGCTCACCATGGGTTTTCCCTCATCTCCTTTCCTTAGGTTCCGTGTTCCAGGGGACTCTACAGCAGAAGACTCTTCTCCTTGCTGTGACTGCAACCCCTTCTGTGGATTTTTTCTTGTACCCCTCCCCTTTTCTGGAGAGCACTTTTAGTGACCTCTAAAGGAACAGCCAGTGAAAGTCCCTTCAAAGTGTCCAAATAACAAATTAGAACAGCTGTTACTGGTTCACCCATGAAATCTGTATACATGCCTGCCCAACATCCCTGATGAGCCTTGTCCAAACTGCAATTTCAAAGGAGAAAGTTCTGACAGCTCAAACAGGGTATGAAAAGAAAAAGGGGTACTGAACCAGTGACAGCAGCTAAAGCACTCTGAAGACACTCATTATGAAGATTGCAAAAAATTATCTCCTAGGAAAGAAAAAATAGGGGGAAGCAAGCTGGAACAACTACAAAAGGCGAAGGGTTGGTGGAAGGGAGACCAAGCCAGTAACAGTCTCTTCAAATAGCCACTAGGTGCCTAGGGCTCAGTGAGCTTACGATGAGCAGCAGGCAACTCTTCCTGAGCAATTTCCTTGAACCCATGTTCAGAACTCAGCACAGACACAAGAACTCATAAACAAGCCATGGGTTGGCAGGTGCCTTGTAGTCCATAGAGAAAGTAGTTTGGGTCACACAACAGCCCACTGTTGGCTTGTTACCAGTGATGGGTCACATCTCAACTTTTCATAATTTTAGATATTATTTTGTGGGGTTGTATTTAGTGATCTCTGCTTGTCAGGATAAATGCTGTTCTGCTGCCTGCAGGTTTTGTATATTTGTATTGTTCAACTCCACTGTATTTATTTGTTTGTTATATTTATATCCCAGTTTCTCCCTGCATGTGAAAACATTTGTAAAAGGTGGGATATTCATTTACTAAATGAACACTTCCTTCCATTTTCAAAGTTCAGGGGCAAGTATAGATCCCTATGTAACCAAAATAGTGCTATCTATGCAATAAAAAGGAGGTATCAGCAGGGAACACCACGCTTTGCTGAAATACAAACTTTGGGGACAGCAATCTTAAGATTTGGGAAAACCTCAAAACACCTTATGACTTAGCACATAGGGAACATGAGATAGTGACTGTCTGTTGTGAGGTGGGGGAATGAAAAGCCAAGTGAGAAAAAGAATGGAATGGACTGTCGTGGGGGACAACATGGCTGTTTGACTTCAAGCAGCAGTCTAGACAGTACCACTTCTATAAATTAAGTGCCAAATAGGCAGCATCTACACTTCTTAATTGTTTCTGTACAACCGTGAAGCACTGTAATGTACCTTAAGGTCTTGTCGTGTAGCCAAGAGCTCAGATTCTTTACCATAAAAATCCAGTTGCAGCTTTTCCATATTTTCTTGGGTTTTTTTATGGGCTTTCTGCAGCTCTGTTATCTTTTCTCTCTCTGTTGTAAGCTCTTGTGCTGACAATGTTATCTGCTGTTGTAGTTTATTCTCTAGTTCTGCCTAACAGACACAGAAAACATAATTGTTTTATATGTAACAATGCAATCAAAATGAGAGACAATGTGGATACAAATATGGATCCGTTTTCAATTAGCTTTTTATTTATCGCAATGATGAGTATATAAAATTATGGCACCATTCTAGCTAACATTAACTACAGTTTAGGTTTCACACACACTGACCTCATTCATGCATAACACTAACATAGTTTATTTGACTCCATGTTTTGTTACCCTACTACAGTTTGTCAAGCAAATAATTGTCCAAAACATGGTTTATTTTCTTTGTCCCTTCACCAGTGTTCTGGAAAATATTTTAAAAGTTTAACAGTAGCAATTTGTGAAACCTTTAATAGTCTTTCTGGGCCAACCTTGTCCACAATGCCTTGATCTGAGGAAGACTCCCACATTTCTAGGAGTGATAAACTGTGAGACAGATGGCCTGGGAAGGCCTAGCAGTTCCTGAATTTTCACAGCTAATGTGATGGTAAAAACTATTTCAAGCAAGGGGCGGGAGGAGAGAGAGAGAAAGCTACCTGACACAGCTTCCTGCCTCTGCCCCTGATGAGCACTAGCATCTTTTTAGAAAATATGGGACTATTACCTTTTCTAAGAGAGCTGTTTTTAATTCAGCTTGCTGTATTTCATTTTGTTTTTTCTTTTGGTCAAAAGATTCCTTCAGTTCTTTCACCTTCAACTGCAACTGCTGCTCATTCTTTTCCTTTTCTTTCAGAACTCCTTGCATCTGTTGGACTTGCGCTCGTGCTGAATCAAGTTCTATTGCCAGCTGCTTGGAGATCTACATAAAGAATCATAGTACAACATGTTATCTCTGCCATAGCTATTATTATTTTAATACTCCTGCGTTTACATTATACCTTGTTGCAGATCTTCATGGCTCTGCAATATCCTTCTTATAAGCATTTTAATTCATTTTTATGAATTTAAAGAAATAAACTGCAAGTGTTCTAAACATGTGCCATCTTTTCTTGTGTTAAATACTCACACAGAGATTTACTTAATCTAGGAGCATTAAAATATTAATTTTTAAAGTACAGCCTAGTTTATATGTAGAATATAGCAAAAAAAGTCATCACTTTCCACCAAATTTGATACTAGAAATACTATTTAATAAAACAGCCAGGACATGGCTTTCATATAGCTAGTCAAAAAAATTACCCCTTCTTGTTTTTCCAACAGGTTTTTCAGTTCATTCTGTTCTTTAGCTATAGATTCAGACTGTAGCTGAAGTTGATGCATAGCTTCTTGACACGATTTCTCCTGTATAAATAAAGAAATACATTTTTTTGCAGCAGCAGCTGTGAAAAATGTGCATTCCATGTTAGGAATCAATAGGAAAGGATCCAAAATAAAAGTGCTAATGTCATATTATTTTATAAATACATGCAAAAAGTATTTGAAATACTGTGCACTAAGGAAACCTCCTCTATGAAGGAGGGCACTGGGCAGGTAATTATACAGCCCCATGATGGTTATAATGGCCATGAAGTCCTGAAGCAGCCTGCTAAAACAGCCCTGATGTGAACACCAAAATCCTGAGGTTTTCAACTATCATGCCAGGGACTACCACAGCTGTCTCAGGTAGAGAACAGTGGACTGGTGTGCCCCCAGATCAATCAGGATTTTAAAAATTCAACACCAAGTATATTTGGACTATTTCAGAAGGCTCACCTTATGCTGTTGCAACTAATCTGTTCATTTGTGGACAATTTCTTCTAGGTGAGATTATAGTATTTTAGAAATCTACTAAGTACAGAGGCAATTTTCTTGCAGGTATTACTCATCAGTGCTCTAGGCTCACTTGTCATTTAAAATGATACCATTGCCCACAAAAGACTGATAGGCATCATTATACATCTGTTTCTATTAAGAACGCTTCACTAATTTTTAATGACAGCAGTGCATCATTTCTTCCACAACATGCATGAAATAAAGCTGCTTTATTACCATTCCCAGTTCTTTCAATATCATTCAAATATTAACAGTAGACTGGCATCTGATTCAAGTCAGTGCCCAGCATCTAAAAATAAGCATGCACATAGAGACCAAGATGTACATTTAATTAGTGAAATGTTCAATTTAGTACTCCTAAGAGCACTAATTTCACATTGTGAATTCTCTCAACTACTAGCATACTGCCCTAAATTTTCACAGCAGGAAGTAAGACACAGATCGTATTTATACTCAGACTCAGTCACACAGGATGTCTATTTGTTTAAAATGCATGACTCACTATTTCTGCCACTGCTGCCTTTCCTTTATGTTTCTCCTTTTCCAATTCATCATTTGCTTCTTTCAAAGATTCAGTGCTTTTGGCCAATTTGTCTTTGATGACTTCAAGTTCTTTTAATAGAGTATCTTTTTCCGACTTCATTTTCTTCAAATCCTCCGTTACTGCTTCCAATTTTCCATTGAGTTCCTTGTGCTGTATGTCTGCATCTTGATGTATTTTCTCAATATCCAGTTTCAGTCTTGCATTTTCTTCCTCTTGCTTCAATAACTGTTGGTTTGCTTCTTCTAGACTATCACATTTCTTTTGCAGGTCTAATTTGGTACTAGATATTCTGTACATACAAAAATTAAATAACTGAAAATCTTTCAGTATTAAATACAACATAATACAACATTTACATTTATATAGCCACATTCCAAATATTCAAAGTTCTTCCCAATAATGTTCCAAGTTATTTCAGTAATAACTAATACTGATATGAGATACATTTATCTTTGTCCCTGAAAGTAGACTTTGGCAGTATAAATCAAACTGAGAAAGTTTTGTAGATGGGACTCTTCCCAAGGGGAGAGTTTTTTTTTGTAACCAAGAACTAAGTTCCATTAACATATGATACAAATCTGAAAGTAATACATTTAAGAAATTTAACGTACATTTCCCTTTCCACATCTAGCTGCTTGATAAGTTCCGCAGCTTTGAGGCTTAAATCTGTACATTGTTGTCTTTGTTGCTGTAGTTCCTGAAGTGTCTTTTCTTTAATTCCCACAGCTTCAGTAATGTCAGCTTCAAGTTTCTGTAATGGAAGGTATAAGAAAGCTGAAAAATCATGCATATTTTAGAGAACGTGGGTAATAAAACATTCTTCTCTCTTTCTTACAATGCTAGAACCTGACCTTGTCCAAAGAAGCGAACTGGACAAATAAAAAGAAATATCTATTTACACAGTGCATTGTTAAACTATGGAAGTCTCTACCATAAGATGAAGTAGTAGCCACCAATTTGGATGGTTTTAAAAGGGGATTAGACAAATTCATGAAAGAGAAGGCTATCAAGGACTACAAGTCATGAAGACTATGTTCTACCTCCAGCATCAGAGGCCTATGTTGCTGCTGAATCTGAGCACTGCTGAATCTGGACATTGTTGCATTCAAGTCTTCCTTGCAGGTTTCCCATGGAAAGTTGGTTGGCCACTGTGTAAATATGTTGTTGGACTAAATGGACCTCTGAATGGATCCAGATTAGCTCCTCTTATTTCTTGAAACTAACAATGGCATTGAACTGTCATGATGAAACAGGAGCTGATATTTAAACTCACTGTACATTCTCTTTCTTCTATAACAGTGATGGGCAACCTGTGATCCTCCAGACATTATGTCTTACAACTCCCATCAGCCGTAATTAGCACAGCCAACAGAGACGGACAGCAGGAGTTGCAGAAGGGCCACATCCATTCTTGGAGGTCATACAGCCTTATCTCTGTCTTGGATACTGTCTTCACATGATGGGTAAACATGGTTCATCTTTGATCTTTGTGATGTTTGTGATCTCTGATTTTTGCCTACCTTGGCCAGAACTGGCAAAGAAACACTCACCCATCAGAAACAAAGATAGGAACTGGGGGAAAGTGTATGACCATAGCCATGGGATACTGGTAACATTTTTTTATAAGGAACATAATGGAAAAGATAGGACATTATATCAACAAAAGATATCCCAAAGGGCAGCTGCCAGTTTCTATCCCAAAACCAGGCCTGAAACCTTACTGAAAATGGATTACCAGTTTCTTCCAAGAGTGCCTAGAGCTCCTCCAGCCACCACTCCCTCCATCAGCTTTGCCAAGGAAAGAAACACTGGCCTAGAATGAGCTATTGGTTACATGATCTGGCTCCAGGCAAGGTTTCTTCAGGGACGGTCACCTTAGAACTTTGTTTAAAAAACACACTGCTCTTGTCAATGAGGTATTTACAACCTTCTGGATCCAGACAGACATCCCTTCACTGTTCTGGCACAGAAAAGTTACTCAAGTTCACCAAGAAGGTAAGTGAAGTGGAAAACTGTCCTATCTGGATTCCCACAAGGTTCCTTGCTGCTACCTAAGATAGAGGTATGTGAAAGAGCAAAATTATAGGTGAAAATAGGAAGTAAATTAAACCGGAAAGAAAACTGAAGGTCTTACTTCACTTATTCCTTTTAAGCTATCCTAGCCTAGGTTCTGCCAAATATCTGCTTCTAGTTCCAAACAGCAGATTTGGGAAGGCAGGGTGCTCCCCAGGTGCCCAGAAAAGGGATATCCCCAATATAGGGTCTTATATTTATGTTCTTATTTGTTACATGTAAACCCCTGAAAACAAGTTTAATTAACTACATATAACCCATCTGGTATTTTAAATGATACTTTTTATTTTCAAATTATTCCATTATTAAATACAAGGATAATTTCCCACATTAACATGGACAAGACAGCAAATATTCAAAAAATTACCTGTGTTTTATTTGTCACACTGGATAAACATTTCATCCAATAATTTTTTTCTTAAGCAACGTATCCTCAACTGGGGACTCAACTCTAATCAACATCTCCACCTCACAAACTAAAACATACCACTCAACAGGAGACTGCCTCTGCTCTGTGGTGTTTACACAGCAGTTTGCCTGATGAGCACTGACATTTCAACATTGTTATACTGAACAAATAATAACACCGAAGTTACACCCAAATTTTTACTTTAAAAAAATATTCCCTGCATGTTCATTCCTTTCTGAACAAAGAACATGTATTTATTTTGAAGCACATTGTTTCCTATCCTGTTTTTTAGGGTAGGTTATAGAAATATTGTGATAAAATGGATAGAAATTTATATTATTAAAAATACTGATTCTAAAGTCTGTGAAACCTAAGTTATCAAACACTTGAAAGTAATTAGTAAATCATTCATACTAACTTGTGCCCTAAAACATTATTTCTCTACCGTTATGAAGACAGATACAAACTGTTGTAAAATATAAAAGTATACTGAAGAAATGCTATTTGCAGGATTATAAAACACAGATGGAACTTCATTCTTCTTTACAGCTCTAAAGCCCCTTCCCAGTTCACATTCTATTGCGCAATCCACACAGTAGTAGACCTACCTTCCAGTCCTTCTAAGACATTGTCAAAACCTGCTTAGTGAAAAGTCCCCAAATTTCAGGCTCCTGTCTTTAATAATTTTATTTCATTAACCTTTCTTTCTAAAAACATGAATGGGTTAACAAAGGCAACCAAATTTGCATATGAATAGTATTGTGGGGTACTTCTATATCTCAAACAAAATACCCCCAACAAAGGAACAACAGATCATCTTAATCTCTTCTGAAAGCCTAGAGTCTGAGCTAAACCTTCCAGCAAAAATATAGAAAGTCTATTGAGAGGAAAAAAATTATGCTGGTATAAAGTTTTTAGGTGTAAAATATTGCTACCCAGAGTGAAGGTTATTCAAGTTAAGCACTGTTTGCAGATGATTCAAGCTGCAGATGATATTGTTATGCATAATACTCAGTAATTATTAAACTAAATAAACTGTATTGGCTGAAAGGCATTCTTATGCTGACTAAAACCCTCTGTCAGGGAAACATTCATATGCAGCATTCTTCTTGCTTGAAAGGCATTTCTTGTCCAGGGCTAAGGAGTTGGTCAGATGCACCTCTCTCCCATCATCCTTTACAGAAGAATGAATCCTGTGTATATCTCCATACTCAGAGAAATGAACATACAGTAATAACACTGAAGATCAATCTTTCCCTGTAGTGTCTGTTTAACATTTATCTATATACTTTTTCATCATATTTGCACTTTGTTCTTATATATTTGATGGCAATTAAAAGACTAAGCAAGAGCTGATGCTACCTTTTAGACAATCGCCCATCCACTCTCAGACCCTTATCTTAGTTATCTTAATAATGCAATGGGGGAAAAAGGGTTCCTGAATACAAACCTTCTGATTACCTTCCAGCTCTTCAGTTTTTTGCTCTAAATGAAGTTGCTTTTCTTTGTACTCTTTAAGACTGGTTTCCAGCTGCATACAGTATTCCTGCTTCTCATGCAGCTTAGCAGTAACTTGATCCAATTGTGTACTGACCTTATTTAGCTCCTATTAATAAACATTGAAAACAGTAATTAAAAAAACCCACACTGCAATACTGGTTTAGTGAAATATTATTTTATATCTGAAACATGTTTAATAAATTATTCATAAATATTAAAGCAAAGTGCCAACTGACCATAAGCATTTTCATATGAAGAACATCTATTTAATTTACAGAAATCTAGATTAAAATTCGATCATACAGATAAAATTCAGACTCAGGAACTTCTAAGTTACTCCCACACCCACACTTTTTATAGTACAAGCTCTCCACATTGGATTACTACTCCATTTAAAAAATTCAATATTACCCAAAGAAAATCAATTCCCAGCTAAAAAAAAAATGAGCATCAAATAACTACTTTATTCATTCCTGAAATGTATATCCCATCCTTCAATGGCTAAGTGAGAGTCCAAGAGTTGCATAATTCTGAATATCTTTTCTTCGACCACAACTACTTAACAATTTGAAAAAAGCGCACAAATGAATTTCATTTAATAACTTATTTAACATCTATTTATGCTAACTTTTTTTAAAAAAATAAGCTAAATTTAAAGAGATCATCATGAACAGCATATTTTAAGTGATTATAGCAATATCCACCCAAGTGATCTGGTTTTAAACAAATCAGATTATCATTTAAGTGTTCACTACATAACCTTTTTAATTTCTCTCACCTGCTGTTTATCTTGTAATGCATTCTGGGCAGTATCCAAATGATTCTGAAGGTCAGCTCTTTGAGCAGCTTTTGCTGCTTCTGCTGACAGAAGCAATTCAGTCTTTGCTTTTACCTAGCAGAAAACAAATGTTCCTGTGTTAACTATAAATATTAAGACATTGCTGTTTCTTTACATATTCTTTCCCGAAGAAGAGCAATTCATAATTCTTTCAAACCAAATTATCAACACAATGCCATTGAACCAAAATCCACAAAACAATTAAATGGTCTATTCATCTATGCAAAAGACACACTTCATTTCAATTCCAAAATGGTTCACAAATTGCTGGTGTTTTGAAGAACTGTATGAAAAAGGCCTCACTTATATCTAAGAGTTCTAAATTAACTTTACTGTGATTGCAGGATATTAAACTGTTTTGAAATGTAGCTGATTTCTCTCGTTTGTTTTGGTTTGGGGTGAATTTGTTTCTTTTGTCTATTTTACTTTGAAGTTGAACAGATTCAAAGTTGGAGTTTCAAGACAGAAAGAGGCTCTTCTTCACAGAACACAGAGTGAACTTGTGGAATTGGTTACCACAAGAATTAGCTATTTCCTCCACCAAGTACAACGTTTAAAAGGGGACAAGGCAAATTCATGGAGCGTAAGGCTGCCAATGGTTACTAGCCATGATGCTTATATATTACCCCCCGTTTCTATTGCTTCTCAGTTTCTGGGAAATGTGAGCAGAAGGGTTCCATTACACATGCCATAGGTTGGCCATTGCAAAAATAGATTACTGGATTAGACAGACTTTGGTTTGCTCCAGCAGGGCCATTCTTATGTTCTCACTAATTTAGATTGCTTCTGATATAGAGTTTTTCCAGTCTAGTCTAGTCCAATGAAACTTACTGTATTCATATTTCACAGTAAACTGTAGGCATTTCTTAGGTTTGTGCCCTTTCTCTCACACATATTCCATTATTGCTGCACTGAGGAATAAGCAGGAACATTTACTTGCTCCTTTCTCCCAACTTCTGTACCAGCATGGGTGTGGGGAGATTCAAAGCTTTCAAAACTGTGGTTAATTTTAACCATGGTTTTGTTGAAACAGAACAGTTTTGTAAGTTATTGTTAGAAGTTGGCTGGTTACAAAGAAACAAGCAGAGTTTATAGTTTATTAGGAGTAAGTTTAACCATAATTTTCATATTTGGACAAAATAGGGCACGGTGAATCAAAACTAGAAACAAAAACTTCCAGGCTCCTCCTCACAGCTGTGCTGAGCAGAGAGGAGGCGGAAGTACTCTAGTCCAAGCTCACTGCAGTTTATTTCTGTACCAGTAAGTCAGTTTATCTTAATGTCTGAATGCTGTCACTATGTACTTTATTTAAGGTCAAGCACTTTCTGAATCTGATCAAGATAAGTTGTCACTGTATCTGCTAGAATTAAACCAAACCACCCACCATTTATGTTTTCATTCATATGTAACATAAAGTCAAATTACCTGTAAATCAAGTTGCACTGCTTTTTCTTTGCTTTCACTAAGCTGACTATTAAGCTCACTTATAGTTGTTTCTAAGGAAAGAACGCGGTCTTGAGAGGCTCTTAGATGGGCCTTCTGTTCTTGCACCTGTTCATGCAAATTCTCTAGGGCCTGCTTATGGCTTTCTGACTGATTTTTCAATTTTTCCATCAGCTGAGTTACCTACAAACAAAACAAAAGAATACTTAGGGGGAAAAAATCATCTGTATAAAATGAAGACTAACATGGGCAATGAACCTTTCCTTCAGAAGATTAGTGAAAGTGCTATAATATAGTCTTGGCATTTACCCTTCTGGTAGTGGTCAATTAATGACAAATGAGGGGAAATATGAGACAAAGACATTCTGACACCTCGAATTGTGGTGCAGACACAAACTGACAGCTGATGCAACATGGTCCACTGCTGAGCCTGACATTGGTTCCTCCAATGCCTTTCTACAATACATGACAGACAACAACGTAATAGGTGAAGCAATACCCAGCACAGAGATGCAGTGATGTTTTTATTGTTATATTTATTATTGTATTTACATTGCAATGATTATTGCATTATTATTATATTTCAGTCCACCATTTTTCCTCCTGGGAAGACCCCAAGGTGGCTTACACAGTTCTCCTCTTCTTCACAGCATTAATCCTGAGAGAGAGTGTGTCTGGCCCAAATTCACCCAGTGAGCTTCATGGCCGAATGGGGACTAGAACCCAGGTATCTCCAATCCCCAGCCCAACACTCGAACCACCACACTGGCTGTCAGGGATAGGAAAATCTACAGGAATAAGAATCTTCCTGCAAAAAGCCCATTCCTAAATTCTGCTAGCAGAACTCACTGATCCCCTTTGGCTCCAATAATGTTAATATTGCTGCCAGAATTGTCAAATGACAAGCTTTACTTTGTACGGGTCATTTCAACATCTCCTCAAGTCTTCAATTAAACATCTTCTGCCTCCCAGCTGCACTTACTGCTATAGCATTGTGCTGGCTCTCTGCCTTCAAAATATCCCTTACACAGACACCAGTAAAGACTATGTTGCAGGTGGTGTTGTGAAATACTTCTATCAGTGATTGCTTATCCATGGGGCTTATCCATGGGACTTGAGACTAAGTCCCAGGAGAAGTTCTGTTTTCCACACAGACAACATCGTAATAATAAGAATATTGAACTGTCTGAGTGTAGTAATTAGAGTAGAATGTCTCCCTTTCTTTTGTAGTGCTGCTCTTTCTCCCTAGCAAAAGGACTATGGTCCATAGACGTTCTGTGTGGATTCAGCTGCTAAAGGTTTCAAACCTTTGCCTGCAAGAATCCCGGCAGCTTATGGATATAAGGATCAACTGCTGCCTTCCTGCACAAATCCTGCATGGGGATTTGTTATTACCAGAGAACTAAAGACAGGACTACTCTCCCCAGGGCACAGCCTGCTCTGGTATGGACATCAAGCCACTAATGCTTCACAAAGGTTGATGGTGTAGATCAGGTGGCCACTCTACAGAAATCAGGCAGAGGAATTCCAGCATGGACAGCAGTGGATGTTGCCACTGCCCAAGTAGAGTGAGCCTTCCTGAAATCTAGAAATAGTCCACACAACCCAGGCTGCTTGCCTTTGGGATGACATGAGAATCCTTTGTTCTTACCACTGTAGTAAATAAAACACTTCTGAGAATGGAGAAATGATGCGGTCTGGAATCAGTAGAATACCAGTGCTCTACAAAGATACAGCATATGCAAAGTCAATTCTATTAAATTCAACCAGAAAACAAAAGAGGCTGGCAAAACAATGTCCTTGTTTATATGGAAACTTGATAGAAGTTTGGGGAGGTAAGAAGGGTCCAGAGAAGACTAGTACAGAAAATCCACCCTGATAGCACATATCTTACTGAAATGACTGCCATCACAAATACAACCTTCCATGACAGCAGGTGTAGACCAATTTTCACCATGGCTTTGAATGGCTTCTTTGTAAGGGCTTGCAGGATGATGGAGAGGCTCCAGTTGAGCATTAAAGAGCAAGTTGGTGGAAGAATGTTCTTGGGCCTCAGAGTAATTGCAGGGGGGAAAAGTGAGAGAAATCCAAGGATCTCTAGATCAGTACATGTAAGGCAGAAATTACAGCCAGGTAGATGCAAATTTCTTCTGCCCACACTGAAACGGAGAATTGAGGAAAATAAGAACTTGCTCTATTGTCCATCAATATACATCAAAGCCTTCTTGCAATGCAATGGAGGAAAAACCCTTCCATTTTACATTGTACAATCTCTTAGTAGAAGGATTCAGTGCTCCATCCAGTATCAAGAATCATCATTAGGGAAGGCCAGAAAGCCCTGAATCTAGGAAAGAATCTTCCATGCTGCAAGACACAAGATGCATACTTCCAGGTGCAATACCCTTCCCTGATTTTGGCCCTGTTTTGGGGGGAGTTGGAGGAAGGTTCAGTCAGACATATGTAGCAGTTGAGTGAACCATGGTTGCCTGGACCGTCATGGTGTTATGCTGACACTTGTCCATTCCATCCAAATGAATCTGCACTCTTTTGTGAAGTGGAAAGGGAGGAAACAGGTAAAACACTGCCCCCGACCAGTTCAGGATAAAAGCATGTCCCAGGGTGTTTTTTTCTGCTCCTGGCTGGGAGCAGAAGCTGGGGTACACCACGTGGTCCCAAGCGGTGAAGAGGTCAATCTGAAATGTTCCTCAGAAGGTTCTCTTCAGCAGGATGGTGTTGAGTTGCTGCTCATGTGGCTCAAAATGTCAGCCCAGGTGTTGAGCCAGTAACAGTAAGGGTAATACCCTTACAGTAAAGGTAATACCCTTGTTGATACACCAATTTCAGATCCTGATGGTCAGACAAGCCAGAGGAATAGACCAGGTGCCACCCTACTTGATGAATAGTGGTATTGTCTGTGGAGATCTGCATATGATGACAATAAAGGACGTTTGAAAAGCCATGAGGGTTTTCTTCACTGCCAGTACTTCCAGTTGATTTATATGGTTACAGGCTTCAAACTCATTCCATGTCCCTTGAATCTTCAAAGGACCACAGTGGGCTCCCCATCTGAACAGGAAGGCATCTATGGTCAGCATGAAGGTCAGTTCATGAAAGCAATCACCTTGGTGAGGTTGTACAGATGCATCCACCACTCTAGGCATGTCCAGAAAGATTTGGGGATTTGAAGTGCAGTTTTTTGAGAGCTGTCTGTGAGGCAGAACATGTAGATGAACCACAGCTGTAGGGGACACATCCAGAACCTGGCTAATGAGACTACTTCAGCCATTGCTGCAATGAAACCAAGGAGCTGTTGGATCTGAAAAGTGGGGCAAAATGTGGTCTTGGAGTATTACAAGTGCCTACTGGCCTCTTCTTCCAGGTATCTGCACAAAGCCTGTCTGCCCAATTTTACCTAGCCTAAAATCTTGGCAATGGGCACACACCACTAGGATACCGTTCTTTCCTAAGTAGAATATGCAGAAGGAATGTCCTTTGGTTGGTGGCCACACACCCCATAGCACTTGAACAATAAGAAAAAATGCAAACTCCCCCCAGAAACAGAGTACCCCTGAATGGTAGGCAGAATAGCAGCAGTAAGAAAAAAATGAATGCAATATCAATAAAGAAAAACCTTACCAAAAATGAAGGATGTCATTAAAGATGACAGAAGCAACTCATGAAGCAACCATAATGGTTTGCCAAATAGATACTGATGAAACAGGTAGTAATCCACATAAGAACATGTTCATTGGGATGGTGGGTAGGGTCCTTCCCAATTCTCAGCTATGGAAATTTCCCAAAGCTAAATCCGTATGTATTTGGCACAGAGAACACAAAAAACACTAAAGCAAATAGGACTTTGCTCTGAGCCAACATGGTCTTTCCTGGTTACCTAGCTGAGTATTATGTGTAAAAGAAAGTATAGACTGTGGTGGCTGATGATATGACAGTGTCACTAACTGATGTCTTTCATGTGTTGATGCCACGGTCATGCCTTTTAAGTTGGGGACATCTTCTACAAGCATGAATAGTGGAAAGTAACAGTGTTGCCATGGATGCTGTAAGGCAGTAGCTGCTGGCATAGTTAGGCTCCCTCTTGTGCCTACTGGCACTGTTTTGCTTTTTACTGTTCTGCTGGGAAGGCTGAAATGATGGTCTAGAAAGTGTCCTTACTCTTTTCCTTTCTTCTGAAATATCCCAGTATAGTTCAGAGAAAATTGTTTTACCTCACAGCACATACCCCTCCAGCCCTAAGCCCTCTCTCTTTCCTGGATACTTATCATAAATGTAGGGACTTAATCCTTCTCTAACATGCCCTCCATTCCAATCCCACAACACCCTAGCATGTTATGTCTTAATTAATGTCAATCATAAATAATCTACAAGCAAAAAACAAAGCTCTGATTTTAAAAATGTTCCAGCAGCACACTTCATGTTAAGTTTATGTTCCACTCAAAACATAATTTGTGGATGAAATAAACATCTTGTCTATAGTATAATAGAATGAGGCTGAAATTCTGCCTCAGAACAGTCTTACCTGTTCCTGCAAAGTGTGGTTCTTCTCCTGCAGCTGGTTAAGAACTGCTGTCTCTCCTTCACCAGCTTGAATTTTGGCATATAAGTCTTCCCTTTCTTTTTCCAGCAGGGAGATATTCTCCTTACTCTTTTGCAACAAGGCTTCAAGGTTTTGGATTTTTTGATCCTTATCACCAATCTGACGTAGCACTTGTTCCAAATCATTCTTGTGGTTGGTTAGGATGGGGGGGGGGGGGAATACATTCACTCAATTAATTATGAAAGATGTATACTGAGTTATTTACTGTAGATATCACCTTTTCACCACAATGACTCTTGAAACAGCTTGTAACAAGAACATTTAAAATGATTTAAATCTAAACAAAATTTGAATAATTAACAGGCAAAAAACTAATCAAAACAAAATTTCAAATATCAAAATGAGAAAATGTAAAACCAAATTTATTTGCTTATTCAAACTTCTAATGACCACAGAAAAGGTATGTTTTCATGCTCTTACACTACTCCAAACGAAGAAGAGACTATGCTCTACCCCAAACAGGCAGCGTTCCAAAGCAGCTGCCACCACAGAGGGAAAAGCCCCACCCTATTCCTTAGAATCCAGCTCGGCATCCACAACTGACGGTATTTGGACATAGTCTCTTTGACAGGTCTTCATTTCCAGGTCAGGCATTCCCTGGCTAGAACCTTATCTCAAATTGTGACTAAAACATGTGACAGGCAATAAAGATGCATCAAAACAAATTGTATGTTCACCAAGTCTTAAATCTTCAACAGACAAGCACATTTTAATGATACCCACACATAAAAAGCCTTATACACCCCTAGAAGATACCAACACATAAGTGATCATAGCCATATTCTTGCCTTATACAATAAGTGGGCATCCTTGGTGGATCTAACATTACCTGTTCTACAGACTGGCAACATGGTATTTCTCAGTGGCATGACTTCTCTTACCTGGGCTTCTCTCAGCTTTGCTGTCGTACTTTGCTGAAGATTCTGTTGCTCCTGATGTTGCTGTTTCATTTTATCTAACTGATGCTGTAATTCAGTTGCATTTCCTGCTTTCTCCTTTAGCTTAGAAAAATAGTCACAGACTGTTGACTGAAAACTGATAAGCACAATTCAGTAGTTTAATAGTGTTTAGTATTTACTGTAATACTGAAGCACTTTACAAAATAAACCTCTTAAATTAATTTAGCAGTTTGTGTTATGTTTGTCCTAGACAAACCACAAAAATAAGTATTTCATCAAAGAACCTGTTCACTTCAACAGAGTCCAAACTATAATAAAATTATGTAACTATAGAAACTTGATAAGTTATGCAACTCCAGAAACTTGCATGTAAAATAGAGATCTGCTGCTGTTTCATTAATGAAAATGTGGACATAATTAGGATTTTTAGCTTGTGTTAGATAGCATAACAAAAATCTTTACAGTTACTGCACGCTTTTCGTTCAACCCCTGGGAAAGTCTTGAGGGAGAAATAAATGTTAATGTTCTCTAATTTATCTAAGAAGGACCAATACAATGATCCCTTAAAAGTCATTATCGTACCTACTGTGATTGTCTTCAGCATAGAAAGGGAGGAGAGGGAACAGAATAAGAAATTTTTGGGTGGCATAGTTCTTTAACTAAGATTAACTATTCTCATTTTTTAAACAATGTAACAATGTAGTGTAACAACTGCAGAGATCCCACAGAAGCACTTAAAAGGGAACAGAGGGAAGAGGCTGGTAATAGTTTTCAAGATTAGCGACTATGTTTTGAGGGAAAGACATGCCATGGCCCACTTTACAAATCCCAAAGACAAATTCTCACAAGGTCCTGTGAAGAATTAATGTGCCCTTTACCCTCTTAGCAGCAGCCATTTCTATTCATGGTCATTTCTCCTTCCCTCCTTTAGTAAAGCTGAGTCAGTTTGTCTGAACCATTCTATACTTATTTCCTCCAAACTATGTGTTCAACAGACTTCAAAGTCTTCTCTGGATAAATTTCCTAGGTCATGGATTATACTCTATTAAATCCCAACAATATGAAAAGGTTCTTTCAATTAACAACTACAGGAGTTAAATGAAAAGCAACTAAGAATTAAATCTTGCTTATAATGCCTACCTGTTCTTCTGCACGTGAAAGTTTTAGCTGAAGGTCAGCCACCTGCTGTTCCTTGTCCATCAGCTTTTCACTAGACAACTGCCTCTGCTCTTTTAGCCGGCCATGTGCTTCGCCAAGTTGGCGCTCCGTCTCCAGAAGTTTATTGTGCAACTGGGAAGGAAAACTGATCTCACTTTTTTTTTCCAAAAAAAGTTTTTGATGGGCAAAGTATTTTTTTTTTCATTTAGTGTGTGCGCGTTATAATTGCATGCAAACAGTATCAATACCACCTGAATTAGGTAAAGTGTGCATCATTTGCACCAATGGACTGGGATGTAAACACACTGCCCTATCAGAAAGTCATGGTTCTCCAGATTGACAACGTGGAGCTGGTTTTATCGATACGTCTCCTTTCTAACCCCAAGGAAACCTCAGCTAAAAGTCCCATGCTACTTTTTTTTAATATACTTTGCTCATTTTGGATATTCTAAATCCATAACCAGTAGCAACTGATAAAATCTTTACAAGTGGTTTGTCTACAGTCAGGTCAAGTTAAATGAAATGCAGGTTTACAGTAGAAACTCTCTTGTCTTCCCTTTCTCGTTCCAGATGCGACCTGCTTTTCCTCGGTCTTTTTTCATTTCAGTTGTATAAATTAGCATATACATAGTCCCTGTCAAAACTATCCCACTGACTATATAGATAATTATTAATTTCTTTTTAAGTTTTATTTTGTTTTGGTAAAATTCACAATAAAAATAAAATTAACCTTACTTTTAACAGCTGACAAAAATGGAATCTGGTGCACTTTGTTCCTTTCCTGAGCACCCAGAATCTCAGGAAAGTGTAAAAAGATGCAGGGGACTGGGAATTATGAGGGAAACACTTAAAACCATGAAGCATTCACTGAGAAGAAGAAAATATATACTTACCCTCTTTTTGCAAGCAAAGATCCCTCATGGCTTTGCTTTCCCTAGACAGCTTGCCTTTTAACAGCTGCTGAGTTCACAATGTAAAAAATAAACATTTTTCCAGCCTCTCTGGGCCAATGTTCATGGTTGCTACCTGCTGCACTTTGACAGCAAACACCTTCCAGGCCATTGCCAACATGAGGCTTCCACTTTCAGACACCCACAAGTATGCACATCCACACCTGCACAAGACCAACTAATTTAAGAAATACATATTTGAACAAATTCCTTGTACTTAAACATATTTTTAATTTGGGCAAACCAGTGACATCACCTCCACTTTGTCATTTGTAAAGGCTATCATGGCCTGCCACCTTGGGGACTATCAAACATGATCTCCCTGCCCCGCAAATGGGGAAAAGGAAACAGCAAGCTCAAAACGTCTAGTGATTGCAATGAAGAGAGGAAACAAGGCAGCTTTAGCTATCGAGTGCCCTGAGATACCAGGGGGAAGACCAACAGAGGAGAAGACTATATCCTACATGAGTCTGATCCTCCTCCCTCCTTCTTCCGCAGTCACTCACACTGTATAATTAATGTATAGGATAGGTTCACATCTCATGCAAACTCACTCATGAGTCCTATAGCTGCTGCTCTCCTTAGTCTCTCCTTTCTTGGGGACTGGAATGTATACTGAACATTTGTGGGCCATTGCTTTGTTTTCCATATTTATTGGCATATTATATTGGGGATTATATAAGCTCAGATACAAGCATTTAGCCCCTTCCTATTTTAGCCTTCCAAAATATCTGGTTGATTTACCTTTTAGGAAAATGCAAACATTTTTTCCTGGGTGAAGAAAAAAAGTACTTCCTTTGGCAGATTGTACAGGGCACCTTTAGAAAAATCTCTGGAATTTCAGTTTGTTTTTGCAGTTTTTTTAAAGCTTGAAGACATTACCTTTTTATTTCAGAATGTGATGATTAACTTGATATTAGGATATTATATATTTGATATTTAATATTATATGTCCTTCCCTTGTTGTTCCAGATGGATCAAAATTTGTGTTTCCACGAAGTTGCATTCAGGCTTCTGACCCTACTTCTGTCGGCTTTTGCTTTTGCCTTTCATCTGTCCTTAGCAATTGTGAGTATGCCTACTGTCATCCTTCTAAGGTTTTTTTTTGGGGGGGGGAGGTGGGGGGGAATTACAGGAATTGTCTTTTTTCATTCTTCCCTAATAATGTTCCTGGTTCCAGTCCACAGTTCTTCTGGTTCATGGGCAACTGAATTCAGTAAATGCAAGTGTGTTCTTTCTGTAGACTTTATATTCCTCAGGAATATATTTCAGCTTTACCCTGATTAATAGTTGATGGTCACTACCACAATTTGTTCCTGGCTGTGTTTTGCCAATGAGAACACAGATTCTCCATCTGAGATTTCCAATTACATGGTCCATTTGATTTCTGTATTGGCCATATTAAGATGTCTTGCATGTTTTGTTTTGGTGTGTTTTCAATTTCTTCTTCTTCGGCATCTGTTGTCGGAGTGTAGACTTGAATGATGTTCATATGGATAGGTTTTCCAAGAATTCTGTCTGATAAGATTTGGTTGGACTTTGCATTATGGCTCCTTACCGCCAGTGCTACATCTTGCCTCAGCATTAGAGCTACTCCATTTCTTCTGCGTTTGTCATTCTACATTAAAACACTTTGGGTTCGTCTGACTAAAAATGTCCCACACCAAACCACTTTAGTTGGCTTATACCAACTACTGCGACGTTTAACTGTTCCATGTCTTGCTTTACACTCCCCAGTTTGCCTTGAATCATACTTCTCACATTACATGTTCCAACTGCATGTGTCCTGCAGTGTGGCTTTTCTTTTGTGTCTGTGCATTTTAGACTTCCCCTGAGCTTTGTTCTAGCTGCATCATTAGTGACAGTGTTATATGTACTTGTCCTTTGTTCTTTTCCAGTAGCTGCCTGAATAACTTCCAACCTGGGAAACTCAATTTCTGGCACTATTTGTCTGCTTTTGCATTGTTTCATAGGGTTCTCAAGTTATGAAATATTCAGAACATCAGTGTCATCATTTGTGAAAGATCCTTTGTCAGTGTCACCTTGAACTACTGCTACTGCCCAGTAGCTACTCTTCAAGAGTTTATCTGCCTTTATCGCCATTAGAAATATCCATTGTACTATTCTGATGTGTCCATTACTCTTGAAGAGGGTAGATGCAACTTAGTCTGGTGTCTCAACTTTGGCTATTTTGCCTTGGGTCATCCTAACAGGAGACCAAACTAGTGAGAGAGTTAAGCCTGCCAGAATTGTGCTTGGCTTCTCCAACACTCTCAAATCTCATTATCATGTAAAGGTGTGCATCCAAGAGGGGCATGAGACAGTTCACATAGTTAGAAAAACTATGAGACAGAAATAATTGCTTTGTACAGGGTAGCTGCAAAAACATGAAACCTACTGCACCTCATCTCCAAGTCAGACCTGAAGCATCAACCTGAATATATTATTTGCATGCCAGTGAGCCACTGAAGAGTTCTTCTTTGGCACTGCTTCTTTTAGAGCCTTAAGGAAACCAAAGTACCTCTTGAAAGTATTACAATGCTTTCCCATTTTCTTTAGCCATTAGCAGCAAGAATTACAAGGGTACTGGAGATTTTAGACTGGTATAAATTTTTAAAATCTTTTATTGTTTACAAGCTAATATTAAGATTCTTCACAATGAAAGTTCAGTCTGCATAGAACAACATCCTTTGTAATAGTACCACAAAGGAATTTCAGTGAACTACATTTTCTTTTCTTTTTTTAATATATTAACCCCCACATATACTTCTCTCATTAAAAAAAAATACTTTTCCTCAAATCCTATTAATTTGCAGCAGAGCCAAAGACTTTAAAAACAACTTCCAGCTGAACTCATCATTCTGATGTGGCTCTAGAACTTTTATTCTTGATTACTAAAGAGACAACTGCAAGTTTTTCAATCCTATTTTGAAGCAGGACTGCAGAATCTACAAGTGTGCCATACAGTCAACAAAAAACCTTTTCAGTTGGCAAATTTCCATCAAGCCATGACAGATTCAGAGAACTAAAACTAGTACAACATAATCATATTTCAGATGCTTGGCTAGGAAATCAAGTAAGTTTCTTCTTGTAAAATAACTGCAAAGAAGAAACTTCAACAGGGAAATAGCAGAAATTTGCCACTAGCCTGGTAAGAAAAGCCAGGCAGTGAACTAAAATATCTCTTATCCTTCCCTCTTCTAAAACTAAAATTAATCTGTGTTCTGATAACAGAAGCTGCTGGTTGGGGAAAAATATGCAAACCTTAGATGTTAAAAATGATGCAGGAGTGCCTTCTAATAATTCAAACACATGATGTTTGAATAAACCTTCTCTTAAAATCTTGTTGACATTTGCCCATATGAACATTTTGCTAGGATACATTCCAGCTGCTTGGAACCTTTTAACCTGACACCTCAGTCAGATATTTTATGTCTCTTCAGCTGCCAAACATCTTGTTCCGTATTATTGCCATTTCCCCTTCCCATATACCAATGGACCTTGTTTTCAGTCTTGGAACTCACTGGTGAATAATTTGTACTTCTGCAGCAAGACAGGCAGTATTCTTAAGCTAGAAAGACTGTTGCACTGGTGCATTTGGAGAAATTATTGCTCCCTCCATCGTATGAGAAGCTAGAGCACTCATGGGCTTCAGTCATCCCTGGGATGACCTGGAAGTTGAGGTAGATCAAGGCATTACAAACTCTATTAATTAGCAGAATGGGGAACTGCAGAGAGAAGTAGCATCTAAAACCATGAATGGCAGGTAGTTTTATAAGTTTTGACTTGCATTTTCAAAATTTTGCATTGTTTTTAATATGCAGAATGAAACAGTGTTGCATGTTTCTGCACCCGTATGCCTGTTTTTCAAAGAACATTTTCTGTTTCATTCTGCTCTTCAATTGTTCTTGGTTTACTTGGGGGATTAAGGCAGATAGCAGCAACAAAAGATGCAATTTCCAAGTCGGCAAATCACCCAGTCCAGGTGGTATCCATCCTAGAGTTCTCAAAGGAGTCAAATATGCAATTGCTGACTTTCTTACCAAAATATTTAAAATGCTCTAAAATCAGCCCTTCTACCAGAGGAAGGACAATGGCAATGTAACACCATGTTTTAAAAATGGACCTAAGGGATCTGGGAAATTACAGGCCGGTTAGTTTAACAACTGTTCTGCATTATTAAAAAAGCATTATCAAAATAGACTCAGCAAGCACATAGAGGAACAAGACCTACTGGAAAAAAAAGTCATGATAGCTTCTACAAGGAGAAATCTTGTCTCACTAACCTATTGGAGTTCTTCGAGAGTGTCAATAATTACATAGACAGGGACAGTCCAGTAGAAATTATTTATTTAGAGTCTGAAAAGGCCCCTGACCAAACTAAGCAGGAATGGAATAAAAGGGGAGGGAGTGCCTCTCATAGATCACTAACTAGTTAAAGAACAGAAGGCAGAAGGTGGGAATAAATGGCAATTTTTCACAATGTAGACAGGTAACTAGTGGAGTCCACAGGGTTCTGCATTAGGAGCAATGCTTTTCAACCTATTCATAAATGATCCAGAATTAGGAGTAAATAGTGAAATGGATAGGATAGCTGATGACACTAAACTCCATAGGATGGTTAAAAGCAGAAGGATCTCTCCAAGCTGGACGAACGGACAACAAAAGAGTAAATATGAACAAGTGTAAACTAATGCATGTTGGAGCAAAAAATCCCAACTTCAAATATAAACTGATAGGATATAAGCTAGCAGTGAGTGAGCAAGAAAGGAATCTTGGGGCAGTAGTGGACAGCTAATGAAAATGCCAGCCCAATGTGCAGCTGCTGTGAAAAAGGCAAATTCCATGCTAGGTATTAATTAGGAACAGAACAGAAAACAGCACTGTCAAACTGCATACCTACCACACCATTTGAACTGCCTATACAAATAAACGTGCTCATTAGATCTAGCCACAATGGCCAACAAACTCTCTTACACTGCAGAATAAGGAGCCCTCAAAATATTCTTCCCCATCAGTATTGAAAACACCATCCCATTTCCCCCAATGTGGTTGTCTTTGCTGTGTATGTTGTTGTTTTGCAATCCTCAGATAAAGAAAGGAAAAACACAATCCATCTGCCTGATAATCTTTGATCTTACCTGATTGAGTTCATTCTGAAGCTGCAGACTATGTTGTTCTTTTTCTTCCCTTTGTTGCTGAAGCTGTTTGAACTCTGCCTTAAGATGCTGGTATTTGGTCTCAGCTTCTGACAATTCTTCCTTAAGTTTCTGACTTGCTTCTCCCCTTTCAAGTAATTCTTTCTGTAACCTCTGTAAAGAGTCCTCAGACGCAGATAGCCTTGCCTGAAGCTGTTGACAATCCAGGTCCTTTTGATTAAGGGTTGCTTGCAGATTCTTTTTACTTAATAATTCTTCACCCTGCCTTTCTTCTAACCGAGTGTAATCCAACTCTCTCTTTTTCAATTTTTCTGCAAGACTCTGCAATATCAGATTTAAAATCAAAGTTGGAAATAACTGAAATAGTATGTTGTAGGTAAAAATGATACATCAGTATATATAACCACTGTTTCATGTTCTTGCATGATTGATAACAGCATCTACCAAAAAACTCATTTTTTTTGCTTTTAGCAACTCTCCTTTTCTAAATATGAGATTCCAGTTTGTCTCATTGTACTTGCAACATCAAGAATGTTCAAAAGCAGGAAAGATACTCACATCTGAATCATCCTGAAATTTTACAACCTGATCCCAAGAAACAATGCATCAGTAAAACACTGTACCAGTAAGATGGGAAATAACAGTATCAAGACAGTGCTGAAATTTTCATATAGTATGGATTGTGTAATGGGTCAGTACCTGTACCATGAGTTGAACATAACCAACCTCCACGGCCAGTTTGTACAACAGCCCATTGTGGATTAATTTACCTGCAAGGAATCCTGGTATATTCCGGCAGCCATGAAGAATATACAAATCCTAGTAGGGGCTACTGGGGCTTATCATGCCATCCAAACACAAGTCAAAGGGGTGATTTGAAGGATAAGCAATCCTCACATAACCCTAAAACAGATGATGAGTTATGCAAGAGCTATTTAACCATCAAATAAACCTTGCCATTCACCTCTGGATAGCATAAAAAGCCATGGCAACTCCTGGCCATAGTCTGAATATTTATACGGAAGCACCATGCACTGAGGTACCCCTAGGCTAAAATAACCCATGGAGGTCTGTCATCTGAATCAGGTCAGAGTATGCAACAGTAAACAAGTTAACCCAATTCAGCATAGAATACTCTATTCAATTAATGTGATCCACAGGGCAGATCACATTTATGTTGGCCCTCATACAAGTCACGAAATCAAAAGGGATAAAAGATCATAGCCTCTCTATTTTCACCAGGTTTTCTTTTAACATAAACAACACTGAAATAGTCAAAACACAGCTGAACACTTATTTTACTTATAAACTCTAAGTTTACTGCATGTTAAACCACTGAGTTGAACACAGTTGAAATTCCAAAACACAATGCCTACACAACTAGTGCTATTGATGTCAGTTTACACTTTCAAGAGAAGTAATATCAATTCTTACCTGGTTCTTCTGTGTTAATTCATTAACTGAAGTTTGAAGTTTTTGAAGGTCCTGAACATATACAGCAACCTCCTGTGGTCCTTTGGCAAGTTCTGCTCTTAGTTGATTGATAGTAGCCTATAAAACAAAACAAAACAAAACAAAACAAAACAGGTTTATCAGAAGTTCAGCTAATATCTTCAGGTCACTATGTGTATTCTTTAAAATGGAACCTAGAGAAAATTAGTTTTTACTAGCTTAGTATACCACCAGCAAAAGTAGCTTAATTATATACTAGGAATTTAATTTTATACAATTTTATGATTATCAGCTTTAATTATATACTAAGACAATCATCTCTGGAAGAAGAAGCTTCTCCACCGGGTCATTTCTGCCAGTTTTTTCAGGAAAAGTGGAAACAGTGTGGTAAACAGAAACAATGTGTTCCAGAAAGGAGCCTGCCTTGAGTGCAAATGTTTTCATGCTCTGTCACAGGATAAAGATATACACGAGACAGTATGTCTTCAACAAATGGAGAAAACCTTGTTTGTGATACGTATTCTATTGAAATACAAGTGCAAAAAGATTGTATTTTTAAAACAAACAAAAAAATGAGTGGCTTTATGCACAGGAAAAGGTGTGCTACTATACTCCTAGAACCTTAAAATCCGTCAAGGATGCAAAAGACATAACACTGAGACTCAATGAATTCTGAAAATTAAAAGTACTCTTTAAATCTTCACTCAGCACATGCAAGCCTTATTAGACCTCTTTTTGAAGGTAACATGCTCAATCTAACAATATAAGAAACTTCAACCACCCTTTTTCTTCCCACCTGGGTTCTTATCTTCTTTTATTAAAGGGACGTATGCTCTGTCTTTCTATCCCCACCCCCCAAATGCTGTAAACCTCCTTGCTGCTATACCAACCCCTGCCTTGCAAGGTCCCTACTCATTGCAAAGGGAAGTGAGGCTAGCACTTCATTTACTTTTACACGAAGGACAGCAAGCTGGGAGAATGCCAACCACTGAAGATGATTGGAGGGAAAAGATGAAGAGAGAAGAAACTTAGGACTATATGTTTAATCTCCCCATTGCAAGATCAAGATTGACCAGATGCCAGTTATGATGAAATCTGGGTATAGATAGCATTTATTTATGAGTAAACAGATTTTGAGAAGTGTGAATACTGGTAACAAAAGAAAATGCAGCCTTTTAAGAAGCAGAATGACAACTAATCAAGACAAATATGTTAGTATAAAGAGCATGTAGAGGAAAAGTGTGATCACAAGTATTTTTAAGTGAATGTGTTGAAGGAGCTGTACCTTGGAGCTGCATGGAGGAAGTGCTTAATCTTGATGCAAAAAACAAACAGAAAAATTGTGGGGGGGGGATGAATTGATATATATCTTGGTACATGGTGTCCCACCTCGGAGTTAGTATGTGCCTCACTGCATTAGTGAAAAAGAATATAGAAAACAGACCTCCCAGAGTTCGTCAAATTATCTCAATGAAGTTCATAATTAAGGTTTAAGTTTCTCACAACCCCCACCCCAAGATATCAGGACCTGTAGTGTGACACAACCTGCATCAGTAACAACTCAGTAAAATATAAGGGCATTGTTGGGACCTATGGTCTTGCAGCATTGAAGTTGCACGAGGGTGGGCAACCAGGTGCTAAAACCATCTGAATCAAGAGGCTTAACTTGCCTCAAGAGAGGGCCAATCTCCCACTGCTTCCATAGATGTGGCATATATGTCTTTTTGGATCACAGCCTTTACTTTTCCTTCTCCTTCTCCTGTGGGTCATTATTCATATAGCTACAAAGTAACTTGGCAGAATTTATTCTGAAAACAAGGTTCCAAGTCATTTTACATGAACTTTTTTTAAAAAATCCAGAACAGAATCGAAACACTGCTTTGAAATAAAAAAAGAACAAAACATATCCTCTAAATTACAGACCTTTACAAGGAAGAACAAACAAAATTTTACAACCCACTTAAAAGGGATCAAGCAAACCTAAGTTTTGGTATAAGGATTAAAATAATTGCAAAAAAATAAATAAATACCAAAGTCTTTAGCCAGCAGACCCTTATATAAGTTCCTAGGGTTTAACATGATGTTGAAGTTATACTTATAAAACAAAACAAATTCAATGAGAGATACTTTTTTAAAAAAATATTACCTCAAGTTTAAAGACCTCCATTAGAAAGCATCAAATACAATGATGGGTGAACAGTGAAAGAAAGCAATGAAAAATGCTATAACAACATTAACTGTAGAATTTCATGGAACTATTTCAACACAGACATGCATAAGACTGCACCATAAACTATGAATAACTCCCATTTTATTCAATGGGGTACACTTGAATGGGGTACACTAGACATGAATTCAACTTCCTTATAGAAGGTAGAGAGAATTGATATTTAGTATTTATTTAATCCAGGGCTGCAGTACAACAAACGTTTATGAACATGAACTTTTAGTAAAGGGTATATGAAATAAAGTAATATGTATCAGTTAAACCTCATTTTCTATTAATAGCAACAGTCTTTGGATTCATTATTCTATATTCAAATGAGTTATGCAGGAGTTCCAATATCTAGAATAAGAGGAGGAAGCATCAACGGTAAGAAAAGCATGTAACAAAAACTGGAAAAAAAGATGGTGATGATTGCAGAACTGATTGAAAAATAATGTATCTGTTAATCTTGATAAAGACTAACAGCAACATGTAAGTATGTTTAATGAGAAATAAGACCCACAGAATTCAGTGGGACTCTCTCTCTCAAGCATTCATTGGCATCGAGTGGACTTACTTCTTTGCAAGCGTGCAATCATCCACCTACTTACCTGTGAGTAAACACCATTGAATTCAGTATGGCTTACTTCTAAGAACATTTGTAAACAATTATGCTACAAGTCACTTAACAATTTCTGAAGAATTTATTTGATTTGACTTGAACTAGGAAATAAATTCTATATTTACTATTTATTTTCAACTACTGCAACTATATCACCCCTTATAAAAAATCTTCTATAACACTGAGGAAAACATGAAAGATTCTAAGTTAAAATGAGATAACTGCTTAGCAGCCTATTAGGCCCACTTATTTGCAGGGCCTACCCAGCATGCAGTAGTGCTTTGGTGCTTCTAACAGTAATGTGAAATGAGAAGAATCTCTTGTCTCTAGAACAAGCCAGTGAGTGGAGTTCACAGAAGGGAACTTCACTGATCTGCCCCTATCTATAAACACGTTTCCATTCATTTCCAGGGTCCTTTCTTTAAGCGCTGAAGTTGCACTGAAGAAATGATAGACTCCGCAAGTGATAGATCCTGTCGGCCTCACTCATTATTCCCCTCTTTTGGGGAAAGAAAACAGCAATAAAATTATTGGCAAATTAATAATAAATTAATTTTGAATTAATTTTCAAGTAGGTTTAATATTTAACACCTGCATTATGACCGAGAGGTGCAAAGTTTATGCACCTCTCAAAGGGCACTTCTCAAAAGTTTATGCCTTTGTTTCTAGCACAAAGCCGCCTGTCTTTAAACAAATTTAACAGGTGATATTTATGCACAAAAAAATCTTTAAAAAGTACATATTTTAAATGATTAAATTTGACACTGGTGAGACATATAATGCATAATCAAGAGCCAGTGTAGAATAGTGGTTAGAGTGGATCTGGGAACTCCAGATTCTAGTCCCCATTCAGCCATGGAGCTCACAGTCACAGTTTCACAGCCTAACCACCTCAGAGGAATACTGTTGTGAGGATAAAATTGAGCGGATAAGGCTTATGTAAGATGACGTGATTTCCTTGAAAGGAAAAATGGGATATAAATATAATAAATAAATACATGGCATCATGAGGCTTTCTTCATTGCAGTACTATCCAATAGGACACAACAATAAATAAATTCATACAATGGTTTAATAATGGTAAAGTTACTGCAGATCAGAGCATTTTTTTCACAGTGACTTCTACTAGGTATGCATTAACATGGCTGTGGCTCATTTCTTTTGAAAAACCTTCTGATTTTAATTCAAGTAAGAGCTAGCAATATGGTTCTAAATCATGTTAAGTTATTCATAAGAATATCACTACTGCATCGCTGCAATACCTAATGGCTAGAAGGCACAATGTGTAATACTATGGTTAAAAATGGAGCAACCGATATGATTTATTCATTTGTAGCCCACCTTTCTACCAAGAAAAGCCAGATCTTATTGGTATGAATTGATAAAGATGGTTAAACAAAGTTATACATTAGCATAAAGCACATGCCCTGTTAATACAAATTGATTAATGTGATATATTATGTGAGGTTTATGGCTCTTAGTCAAACATTGCTTTGGCTAGATTCTTTACCTCTGAGGTGCTACATTCTGCTCGCAGATGATTGCACTCATCTTTCAGTTTCTCAGATTCTCTCTCACGCTCCAAAGTCATCTCGTCCATCAGCATTTGAACTTGGACTAATTCCTTCTTTAGAACAGCAACATCTTCCACCCCAGGCCTTTGAAGCTATGTGAACACAATGAATGACAAAGTGTCTTACAGAAATCAGACTGAAAGGATACTACCAAATGACTTACAAGAAAGTTTCCATCTTAGACTGGGAGCATTTCAGGCACACAATATATATTACTGTCTCACATTGAGCAGAATTAGACATCTTTTATTAGAAGATGGTAACTGCATCATGTGTTAACCTCCACTATATATTAGCATTGGAACATTTCTAGAATAACAGCACCAGTGTTTGTTTTATTAATTTTAACTTCAACTGATACTTTTACACTAATCTTTTTCTGCTTCTGAGAAAGTATATCCACTGAAGGTGATTAGACAAGTTCTAGGTCAGAAGGCTAAAACTTTTAAGTTTTGTCATGACTGCAAGCAATGGTATGATAAATAAGAACAGGTGTAAGCCAGAACAATCTCAGAATCTGGTAAAGCTGTAATTCAAATGTCTGCAGCCCCCCACCACCCCCACTTTCCATTCTAAGAAGGTAGCCAAATGCAGACTCCTTGGTTTAAACATCAGTCACTCTTTTCCTCCTCCACCTTTTTGTTTAGTTTACCATCTTGCCTGGTGAAGAGTTCTGGGAAACCTGAAAGTATGCTGTGCCTTTTGTGTTAGCCTAATAAAAGTTATACATTAATATGAATTTTAGCATTTATCTTTCAACATTGTATGTTGTTACTTTCCATATTTTTGAATAGTTTTGGAGTAAATAACTGGAGAAGACAGTCATGCCAGGGAAAGTTGAAGGCAGAAGAAGAGGAGGAAGACCAAAAATGAGATGCATTTCTATAAAGGAAGCCACAGCCTTGAATTTCCAAGACTTGTGCAGTGTGTCAAGGATAATCTGAAGGATAATTCATGTACTTTAAAGCAGTCATGAAGTAGTTTTTCCTCTTTAGGGATGCTACTTTAACCAGCATTCCAAAATGCACACCTACTGATGAGGGCAGAAGCTGAAATCTTTAACTCTAAACATATTCTGTTGTTATTCTATCCATCTTTGTTACATAGTCTAAGTCTGATGGCATCCACAGGGAATTCCATGTATAATTCCATTATATATCTCCATTATACGTACATCTCTCTGTCTCACACACACAAGACATCTAGAAAATTATTTTGATTATAGAGCCAAAAAGCAGCTATTTTTATTGCAGGGTATTTCTTTACTATAAATCAAACATTTCAAAGATGCACAATGGCAACTAGCATTGGAAAAAACCAGTAATTGAAAATTATCAATTTTTCCAATTTGGAAAAGGTAAGTTAAAAACATTATCTCATTATATGGCTTACCAGTTCTGTTTTTAAATCTTTGCATACACCTCTTTCTTTCTGTATTTCCTGTGTCAAATTAGCCACTTTCTGTTCTGCAGCTTCTCGAAGGCTTGTTTCTTCATCATGTTTGGCTTTAAGGTCTGGTTAAGAAAAAGTCACAAAAAAGACTCATTAACTCAATTTAAAAAGGAACATGACCCATATTACATAATATGTGGAAATACTTACCCACAATTTCAGTAGCTAGTTGTGCTGCTTTCTGCTCAAACAGGTCTTTCATCTGCTTAATATTAAATTTTTCTAATTGACTCTCTTCCAGCTGATGTTCTAACGATTCTAACTCTAAAAAGAAAATACACTTATTGAGTAACTCAAACCAGAACGATTTATACTAATTCCCGTACAAATATCATATTGATCTGGGGGTTTTTAATCTCAGAGGCATTTAACCAACCTATTAAATCAAACCTAGATTCTAGAACCTCTATAATTTTGTATTGTATGCATGATTCATTTAAATTATTCTTCTTTTTACATGATTAATATGGCTCATTTCAGGGATAGCAATAAACCATGGCTTGTCATAAAAAGTAACAGACCATTAAATAAACAAAAAAACAAGCAAGCAAATGGCCAGCATAAGGGATATTTAACACATCCATTCCTGCTAGTTCAATGCTACAATTTCATATTTCATCCAAACTCATTCTGATTTGTAAAGTTGAATGTGTTTTGACACAAAAGCCTTCAGCAATGACATAGCAGAACATATCAACATGTTTTGGTTCCTCTATGCAAAGGTTTAAGAGGAAAAAGATGTTACTAGGCTGTCAACAAAGACTTTTTCATTCAATACATTTAGCTTATATTGTAGTATTTTCTGCAATATTAGGCCTATTGTTTTATTATTTCCATGGTATTATATATAATTACCAGTTTACATAATCCAAGGATCCTTGCAAGTGTGAGCGATTTGTGGCCCTCCAGTTTTTTTGTCTAACAACTCCCATCATCCTTAGCCACCACAGCCAATGAAGATGGATCATGAGAAATAAAGACCAAAATATATGGAGAGACACAACCTGCACACTTCTGCTGCATAGTATTTATTTGTGTTGTTTATACTGATTCTATTTATACAAAATGATAGGACTTCCAGGAGAATCATTTATGTAGTTGGGCTGCAATTGTATACAAAATGTAGGCATATTTCAAATTCTCTCATATAAATCTTGAACCCTGCTCTTTGTATTTATTTTCCCATATTATGTACGAGAGAGAGTGAACAAGTAATTTCCACAGCAAATTGAGCACCTAACTAGTTAAGCAAATTAACTGTGTGTTAATCATGAAACTGTAACTGTTTCGCAATTATTTGATCCAGTAAAATAGCAATTGTGATTTTAGTTTTCAATAAAAAGGTCATATAAAATCTTTATGCTGTAGTTGTAATAACGTTGCTCAACTTAAAGGCAACATGTTCTACAGAAGCACAAGTTACAGGAGCACGTATACGCCATAAGAAAATGTATCTCCCATTTTCTCATTAAAACACAAAACCAATACACAGTTTTGAATGAGAGAAACTGCATAAGGTTATGGAGCTACAGAATGGGCTCTAAACAAAAAACAGAGAAGACTGCAAAATGTCACACTGGAATATTTGCAGCAAGCCATTTTAATCCTGTTAATGAAATAGATAAGATCAGAAAATAATGCCTTCTAAAGAGACATGTGAATCATCCAATAGTATTTTCTTGACAACTAATTTTCATTTTCTTTGTTTCATTCCCTCATTACAGAAACTGTTTTTAAAATATGGTTTTCACCTGTAGATGCAGATGTTGCTAGTCCATCAGGTTTCGACTCCTTGAAATTTAAAAAAAAAATATATGATTCACCAGATATTGGGGATAACAAAAATATTTTCACAGGAATTTAGAATATTTTTATTCGGATACACACTTGTGGACTAAATGCCATAAGCAATTTAGGGAGCAATTCTATGGCCCCTTGTTATGGGACTATGGGATACCTTTGCTTACAAGATCCAAAGCTGAAAACAGAACTCTGATTCCCCCTCCCGCTCCTAACAGCCAGTGCAGAAAAAAGTACCAGCTGTCTCGCCTAGGTCCTGAACTTGACCTTGGCAAGGGAGTAAAGGGGACATTCCAGTGAACAAGAAGGGCAGAAGACTGTGGAGGCCTGGATACCAGCTATCCTGAGTCCCCTGCAGCCTTGTTTCCTCCTGCTCTAAACAGCCACATATATAGGGTCAAAACAGATAACTATCTAAAATGCAAAACACAAATTGAGGAGACGTGAAAATCACTTCCACCACTTTTCCTTCTCTGCATAGGATGTTCTTACACCTCTGAGTTCAGGGATTTCCAAGCATCAAGGAAGCAACCCATAGGGCTGTACTTATAAATACTGATGACCAAATACCATCACAGAAGGGCAAAGATAGTAAATACGGTTGTGTGACCAAGAATAATCCTGCAATGTAATGTGCTGTCAAGCCTAACAAACTCTCAGCTACACATCAAGCTGAGACAGTCCACCACACACTAAAGGCACAATCCACTATGCTTTGCTATTATGCTACCTTTATTCATTGCACTTCAATGGGACTCCACTAAAATGAATGAATGCTTGTGCAGCACTGGTCTGCTATATGATTTGCCTCCCATAAGAAAGGCAGGAGGAGTCCTTGCTGTTAATATGATTCTTATTCATACATGCAAATCTGAGCTGTTATTTTTGAGTGATTTTTTAAAACACTTTAAAGCATTTTTCTTAGCTTGTATAGCATTAGAGAGCAGGAAAGAGAAGAGAGGTTACCAGATGAAAGGAAGGAAGGAAGGGTTGTGGAGGAATAGGAAGCTGACAGGATATGGAGGGAAGTGGCAGGAGGCTTACAGAGGAGCAAATTTGAGCCTGTCCTGCAGTAGGTACCCAAGGACAAATATGAACAGCAAAATGGGAACATGAAACTTTGCCTTAGGATTAAAACTGTTAGCATGACTGCATAGGCTAAAGAAATATTACTGAGTGTAACGACCAATGGTATACATGGCTACAATGATTTTCTTACATTACTTCAGAAAATAAGTGATGGAACTAACTGAATCAGGCCACGTGCCTTACAAAAAGGGTATTACTCTTCCATTTCAAGGTTGATAACAAACTGCTTGTGGTAAACCTGCTTCAAGTATTTTTAAAGCAATTACTTGCTGCCTCTGCCCTTGAACTTTTTCTAATTCTTTCTTCAGCTCTTCAGAGTACCATCGCTCCTCCTGAACAAAGGAAGATAAAAGCATTCTATGAGCTTAAAATTTTGACAATCATCTAGTGGATTTTGCCATTTAAGACAAGGAACTGGATACATAAATAATGCACATTTCTAACCTTAAGTGAAGCTTGCAAGTCTTGAACTTCTTGTCGCAGTAACGTTATGTCATCTCTAAATACATCCCATGTTGAAGAAAAGGAAACAAATGTTGAAACTTGTGTTAAAATAACTGCAGCTAAATCCAAGTTATTAGCTCAGGATGATACAATTAAACTAAGTTATTTTCTATTGTAAATTCCATTTTTTTCCAATGTAATTCCTTATCTCCCTCTCATGTAAAACAATGCACTAGATATTTATTTATTTATTTATTTATTTATTTAAAACATTTGTATGCCACCTATTGTGTCATAGCACCTCTGGGCACCTCACAATCAGATATACTAAAACAATTAATACACAAGGCATAAGTGACATGCACCCAGGTTTTAAATGCCCTAACTCAAAAATTATGTTCAGTATACAAGGGCTCACATGCTAATTGACTATGTTCTGCACTGCAGACCTAATCAGATTTTTAAAATACATATTGGTGTAAAAGATCTTCGATTAAGTTTCATTCAGCAAAACCTGATGTTTGGGGTATATTGGATGCCGCAACATATTTTCAATAGGGGTTTAATTAAATCAGCCAATTGCTAGAGATGCAATGCAGCCCATGCTTCTCTTACTTATATGTTTCAGCAATGCTTGATGGCTACTTCTTTCAAAAGGTGGTGATAATTGAGATAAATTTTGAGATGGAAAGTCTTTAATATTTACAGATATCCATGTTTAGTGGAACCAGCTGTCTAGAGAGTGGTGGGCTCTCCCACACTAGAGACATTCAAAAAGAAACTGGACAGCCATCTGAGTGGGATGGTGTAAACTGGTGTCCTGCAACTGCAGGGGGTTGGACCCAATGGCCTTCAAGGCCCCTTCCAACTCCACTATTCCATGATTCTATAATTCTATGTTCTCCTTAGCTATATGCCTTCCTCTTGGAACTTAAGGCAAGGTCAGTGTAAATGGATTTTTCAAATCCTTTTAACAGCTAGAAAACTGATACAATAACACTGGGTGGATAAACAGCCACCTGCAATAACAGAATGGACAGACGAACTTCTTGGTTTAACTAAAACTTATGCAAAATGAAGGTTCCATGCACAAACACAACACTCATTAATATCTCAGGTTAAAAGCTAAGCAAATATTCCACATTAATTCATACACTCTATTATCTACAAAATTATTTAGGAATATTCTTTTTAATATATAAAGTAAATATATAAATACTATTTGTTTAAAAGAAAGGGAAATTAGTTCATCCAATAATTGCTTCAGCAGTCACATCACATGTTAAATAAAGACCAAACAGCAACAGCATCTTTACAACTGTACTACTTGAACATTTCTATGCATCCATGATCAAGACTATCTTTCTAAAATGTCAGTATTGGCACTGGATTAAACAGGGGTGGCCAAAAAAATGAACTCAAAGCCCTTCACAATTTGCAACAGTCTTTCATTTTACTTACTGATTTAAACCAGTGGTACAGATGGGAGGCCATTTTAAAAATTCAAATCAGAAATACTGCTTGCCATGTTGTCCAAACATGGTGAGGGTAGGCTGTGTGAGAGCTAAACAACTCTGGCATAATGCATGGCTTGAGCAACAGTAATGCAAGGTTTGTTTATCCATTACACAACCCACTTGTCATGTTCAGACAACAAAGCAACCTACAGTAATGGCTTGCATATACACAAGCTGCCCAGCGTACACTGACATGCATCACAACCCACTGCAGCATCTTTAAGCCACACTGATTGTGCTCAGCAGGTCAGGAACTTCGGCTTGTTCAGATAAGGCTACAAGATTGTTGACAGGGGTTTGATTCACCAACCTCACTGGTTTCCAGTCCAAATCAACGCAAAATTCAAAAGTCTGGTCATAAAATTTAAAGGCTTTAACCCGGGCAAAAGCAAGAGCACTTACTCCCACATAAGCCTGCAAAATCACTAAAACAGCTTTCCAAGGCCCTTAGTCTTCACGGCAAAGGTCAAGCAGTTAGTGGCAAGACAAAAAGCCATTCTGCAGCAGTATCTATGGAGCGACCTGCCCAGGGAGGCTCATCAGGTAGCAACTTGTATAATTTGGATCTGGTTTTTTCAAATGTTTACCTTTTTGACATTTTGATTAAAAGTGCTAGTTGCAGAATGGGGTGGCAGATGGTAGACTGATTACTGCAATTTTAATATACCATATATTGTTTATTATTTAAATATCCAATTATTGTAAACTGCTGTGGAAGTTTAAAAAACATTTTGTATAGGAAATTAAGATTAAATTAAACAAATAAATAACACCCATTTCAAGTTGCTAGTAAAATTCTGTTCACATAGAAATCTACTTGCCATTAATATGGTACTAGTAATATTGCATATTATAAAAATTCTAATTATGTTAAGAATGCAGAAGTATCAAGAAATTCCAGTCAGCATCATTATATTGCTTTGAACAAGCTTTCAAGAGAAAAGCAGGGGGACAAGCATTGAATAGGATTTTTTTATTTACATAGTCAGTCCCCCAACATGGCTCAGAAATGATAACATTTTTTAAAAGCATTTAAAACATTCTATAATTGTTTTGCATTGTTATATTCAAATTACCAAGACTAGCACAATTTAAAAATCTGCAGAAAAATGTGATGGTTCTAACTGCCTTCCTAAAAAGATCCAAAAGAATCCCAGAGAATTGGAAGCTACTTAATCTGATTTTAGCTCATTTGATTTTTGCCTACATTGCTGTAGAAGGAAAGCATATTTGATTGCTCCTAAAAATAGAAGTCTTCACTGTTTCATTCAACTGAACCATTTTATTGATCGAAGATTAATATAATTCACTGTATCATTTAGCGTTAGTACATGCTTAAAATGCAATCCCACCAAATTACTACTATTAAACAATAAGTACTACAAAAATGAATAAACAAACCAGTATCACTCAGCACCTGTTTGGAGACATGTTGGATTCTCCTCCATGACTTGTATCAATACCAGAGTCATGAACTGCTTCATAGTGTTTGAAAAGTTCTTCAGCTGATCCATGGGATTTCATACACAGAGGACAAATAAATCCCTATAACATGAAATAAAAAGGCAAACATTTAATAGAATGCACTTGTTATCTTTAGTTTTTGTAGTACTTCTACTTGCCTCACTGAATTTACAAAAAAGTTCCAGATTTCCTCATCATTTTATCTAAATATACAGTATTCTAATTTTGTGGGCAGAAAAAGAATCATAAGAACACTATCAATAGCACAGTTCTCATTATTAGATATAAAGCTGTAATGCTGTAAGCTTTCCTTAGAGAAACTACTTGAGATGCATGTAACAATTTTTAATTAGTTGCCATAGCAAACACCAGTTTTGGCCTTTGAATGTGATGTGCAAAAAAATACTAACTCAACTGCAGATGTGTCATGCCTAGTCACTTTTGAGGCACTTCCATCTTTGCACTTTCCTATATTTCAGTTTAATACATGTACACTACTATTTCACAGGACTGCTTAGAAACTCCAAGTTGTTTATCCTATTACCCATGGTTTGCTGTTGGTTGGCTCTGGGCTATTTCTGGGCTCACACATTACAGAAAATATCAGCAAAGGTAATTCACATGAACCAACAGTCCCTCCAATCCCACAGTCAAGCAACCCAGGAAATACCACCATGATAGGTAAACTGGGTCATTATCTTGTGTTTCCCTTAACCCATTATACACACACAGTATTCAAACAGGAATTATTTTGTTCTTCATTTCTTACATGACATCTCTCTGTCCAGGATTATTTTAAAAAATGCTATCAGAAGCCTGAGTTCTTCCACATTTTATGATTTGAGAGAAAGAATGACTCATGGTAAGTTTGATTTAAATCACTAGTTTAAATCAAACTTACTACTTAAATTATGGTTTTCTACATAATTTGTGCACACACTTGTCTTACCCTTATACATATCTCCTGAAAGCAGGGCTGAAATTGGTCGTGACTAACCTAACTTCCATTTCTTTCAATGGGTCATGTTCCAAGCATGACTACATCTGGAATAAATCCATTCAGCAAGTATTGTAGCAGCTGCATAAAGCAGGAGTTCATAATAATCAGTGATGCTCTTTGTTTAAAGAGTCCTAAACTTGACCTGGAAGCATGTATAATTTCCTGCTTCTCAAATTGGTTTCTTCTGTATGTGTGTATGCATACAGAGCACGCTTTTTGAAATGCTACAAAAATCATGGTTTGTTCTTCTTTTACAATGTAATCTTGTGTATTTTACCTGAAAGTTCCACTGCATTCTATAGGGTATACTGACTAATATGTACAGGCCTGTACCTTTACTTATATATTTTAGTTACTAAGGGCTGGATAAAAGTTGGGTGATAAGTCAATAAATAAAATGATTTGCATTAAATTTGAATCTTATGCCTATGGTATAGATTCACATACTTCCTGAGTATAGCTACAAATAAGGCTAATATGTTATAAGCAACTCTTACTTATGGCTTCCAAATTTATTGTTCAAAAGAAGAATGTACTGCATTCCAGAGCTTGCAAAGGGAACTTCGTTGTTATTTTTATTGCAGGGTAGCTAAATATTTTGACAAGGCTGTCATTCTTTATTTAGCAATATAATATCTGCTGATAGTCTTACATTACTTTTTTAAAAGTTTAGTTGCACTGAACATCTTGTTTACAAAAATGGTCCAATGAAAATATAAATCAAGAATATTCACTACAAAAATAAATGCAATACAATATAAAAGTGCCTTACATTCGATTAGCTAAAAAAGTTGGGAAATATTTAAAGCTAATTACAGAAAATGCAAGACCAAAAATTCACTATTGCTTTATCCCCCCCAGCTGAATGGTCACAAAAATGCCCATTTTCATGACTACTAAAAATGTCTTAAGGCACAGCTTGGCAACAAAAATGACTTAAGGCAGGGCTTATGACTCTCCAGGTGTTTTTACATACAACTTCCATGATCTCTCACCACTGGCTATGCTGACTAGGGCTTATGTGAGTTGCAGACCTTATATTCTGGAGGGCCACAATTGCCCATATCTGACATAATCAGCTCATACGAAGGAGTCCTCTTGTACAGTTCAATCTACAGTGGATTTCTACTCAAAAGTAACTCCAGGTGTGTTAAGGGGATTTTACCCTACTATGTTTGCTTAGGATTGCAGTCTTAGGTATTGATGGAACCCATCAGCCAGCTCCAAATGAAGACAAACTATTATATTTTTAATCTCTCAGCCATTCCTGAAAATCCACTCATACATCAAGAACAAGCTAAATACTCCAGAAGCCAGAAGCTTCAGGGTACCCATGATTCTTGTGCATCTTTAAGATATTAATAAAGCACTTATTAGTATGGCTGAGTCCCTCCAGAGTAATCATTTTTCCTCCATTTCTATTCATACTAGAATGAAAAGCATACAACAATGTTCTTGGTACTTCAACAAAGGAAAATATACCATCTATTAAGCATTACTTTTGGTTAGTCGTATCCACTCTAAAGTGTAAAACTAATGTTCTCTACAGTGTATATTGGGAGATGGAGTTAACCAGGATATCCGGACCCTTCCAGCCATCTCCATTTAAAATACATTTCTGATTCTGATAATTACATACAAGTTTGAAAAGAAATAGCAAAAACAGATCATTTTGGTCTTTAGCAAAAACCATGCCACCCACTTCTACCTCTATCCAGAAAACCTATAAGGAGAATTTCTAATGACCCATCAACCAGCCTATAACATTTAAATACATATATTGTTCTGTAGGTTTACCATGAACAACATCATAATATCACTCTATTCAAATAAAAAGAAACCCATGCAAAATTATTTTCCAAGCTTGAATAACTTTAACCATTCTACAAAAGATAGCTGAAGCCAAAAGGAAAACATAAGAAGCACTCAGGACATACACTACTTGGCATTTACTTTCTGTGAAAAATGAAGAAATTATCGTCTCATATAGCCCAAGATCCATTAATATGCAGAAAAGCTAAAAAGACCCACATCCAAGCAACCAGAAAGGAAAAGCATTCATTTGTTATAAGCATCCCAGAACCAAGCCACTGAAATCAACTTTTTTACAACCCACAGTACTAGCAGGTAATTCTTGAAGCTCGAGTCTTCTTGTTTCTGTCCCAACGTGCATATTCTGGTAATGTTCAGACAGATCAGTGGCAGTAACGTACATTTTCATACACACTGGACAGATGAAGCCCTGCGAAACAGCTACTTTTAGATACATAAATTTTAAAGCATTGTAAACAAAATCCATGTTGAAAGCTTAAAACAGATAATTCTTAGTAAGTAGCAGCATTTTAGTATTTATGGCATCAATTTCTTAAATGTTTTTAAGACAAGTTTTAAGAAGCTGTTAATCTATTAGCAAAAAAGACAAAGACAAAGCTGTTGAAAGTTAAAATACAAACAAGAAAAAACAAAAGTACTGCAGCTAGAAACATTATCATAATCTACTGTCGATTCTTCCTAGAACTTTTTACTGAAGTGTCTGTTTTTTATCTTATGCTTAAAGTTAGGAACAACAATGGCAGTGGCCAATACATTTTTACTAGAAGCCTCTAAATTGATATAAAAATATTACGATTCTAAAAAGACCATCTGGCTGAAGATACTAGTTATCCATTATTATTTTTTTCTTAATAATCATATGACCCAGTTGTTCAATATACACCTCTACTCCACTACTGATTTTAATAGGAAGCTTTTTTGAAAACCATTTGTCTAAGAAGCAGTGAGCTAAGGCAAACTTCACTGGCCCTGTCAGCATATTGTAGATTAATGAATTGCTGGGAAGTTTGTCTGACATACACTAATGCCATTTTGAATAAATGATCTCACTTCAGCCAATTAGAAATCATTACATAATGTGCAAAGCTAAACAGTATGGGTTAATTGTGTATTGAACAAGCTATAGTTGAGGGAGGAGTAACCATAGGTTAAAAGTAAAAAGGTTCACTCATAATGAAATAACCTCTGTCTAACTGAAATAACCTCTAACTATTTCGCAGTTTCAAAATAGTGGTAATATTCAAAATGGGGCCAGTATGCAACTGTTACAGGCAAACTGTAACTCCTGCTTGTTTTCCTTTTTCATATAAGAATCTTTTTTAGGAAAGAACTACATGAAGTCACTTCTGTAAGTGATCTTCATTTAAATTCAAGTTACAGATCTTTTAAAACAGTACCACCATAGAAAACTATCAGTATCATTCAACACTATCTAGTGCAGTGGCTAGTTGTTTCTTCTGTAGACTAAAATGATGACAGATTCCTTGAACCAACTTTTTCTTCCCCACACCTGTCATTGCCTGCACATTTTTTTCTCTCTCACACTGGAACTGACATTTCAGTGCAAGTCTATATGCTCCCTCATGCATGTGTACAGTATCTGTAAAGCAAAGCAGCCTGTGATTTCGGGATCACATTGTCCACAAAATGTGAAGTCAATAGATGCAAGTGGTGAGATAGCACTGACCCATCCAGCAATTCAACTAAGCAATGCTATGCACATATTATTAAAACAAAAGCTAGGCAAAAGCGTTTGGTAGGAACTACTGAAATGATAAGCTTGGGGCATGGGCTTTAGTAAAGGCAAAACTCACAATCTAACATTTTTCTCTTTTGCTTGAATAATTCCATCCCTGGCAATTAACTGTTACAATAATACATAGTTTCTAAAGTCAACATTTGAAAGAACACATTTTCATTTATTTCTAGAAGAACCTGTTTTACTTTCACTGAGTAAAAGGAGAATATTATGAATACTAGGAGATCAGCAACATGGAAAATCCAAATGGAATACAAAATCTCACTCTTAAGAAATAAAACATAGAATGCAGTTCAATTTCACAAAACTTAAGCAAATTAAATGGATTATATCATGATGTGAACATCCCACTGAAATGGAAAAGATATTCTCAAGAAACCTGCTCCTGCACTGAACTGTTTGTTTAAATATAACCAGCACAGAGGAAATTTCCAACTGACATACAGTACTCAATGCTATTGTATTGAAAGGACTGGATACTATCAAAGACCTATCACATCCTAAAACAAACAAAAAAAATCTCTCTCTGTTCAGCCTTATTTTCTGCTTTTAGAGCCAACACTGGAATTTGAGAAATCTAAAAGTTTAGATTCAAATAAATATACTCTCAACTTCACAAGGCTACTTATGTCATACTGTGTAGTGTAAGACTTCGTCATGACAACAAAGTATATAGTGAAGGATCCAGATTTTGATCCTGCCAGTAAAAGAAATAAGAGAGTTCAACTTTTGCGGATTGTCCAACTCACATGCATCTCTTTGCAGACCCCAGATCTGTGCTCTGGATGACTGGGGGACATTCATGCATGGAACAGATTGGGAGGTGCAGGACACTAGCGGGTGCAGGATGAAGAGGTAATTGGAAAAAGACTCCCTCCATTTATTCATTCATTTTCTATCCCACCCAACAATCAAAGCTCTCTGGGGAGTTCACAAGAGCATATTTAAAAGGAATATAAAATATACCACTTAAAACATATTAAAATATCATAAAAGATAGCAATACAAAATTTAAAACCAAATAAATAAGAGAAAAACAAAACTATACATTAAAAAGCCTGTTAAACCATATATTAGCAAGATCCCTCTTCTAAGTTAAATGCCTTCCATTGTGGTCATATCTGAATCTATTCACTATTAATAAGCAACAAAGAAACTGAAATTTCCTAATCTGCTAAAAAGTGAGGTAAACACAAATTCATATGTAAAATGTATTATATTGCAATGCTGTTTGCTATTTATTTAATTTAGAGTAATTAAGTTAGTTTCTATCACAAAGAATAAAAGTGGCCAGTAGTGCTGCATACTGAAAGTTCTCTACCATTTATTAGCATCAGTGTTTTTTTCTTACAGAGGATGAATATTAAATAAACCCTATTAAGTACCTTTGACCAAATGATTATGCAGCACTATTAGCCACTTTTACTCTTTATGTTAAAATCCCTAATCCACAGTAACTTTAAGTTTATATTTGAATACAGCTCATAGCCCCATGTTTTGCACCAGAGCCCTGAAATACAGTCTAAGTAGATCACACATGCCTGAAGTGTGTCCCTCGCTGTCCCAAAAATACAGTCACACACACACACGTCCTAGCATTTGCTATGTCAGTAAATAAATGTTTAAGTTTGTTTTTGTTTGTTTTAAAACCTCTACATTCATCTATCATTGCAATACTGTACCTCTGAAGAGCTCTCATTGTTGACATCCACTGCATTTCCAGGGACTGCAGATGAATCAGAGTCGGAGCTCTGAGACCCCACTCTGCCTGGAGTCTAGAAAAAACAGAAGACGTATCATCTTAATGTGTAGTGCATAACAGTGACATTCTCAGTGGGTGGGGAACAAAGTGGTAGCTGCCCTGCTAGTTCCATAACCCTGCTGGCTCACATGGGCCAGGATGTGGTATGAGACAGAGGAATGACTTAACTTGCCTTTTTTCTCCATAGGCTGGCAAGGGATTTTTTCTTAAAAACCACCCAAAAAACCACTGAAACAATGGAAGGTAAATCTCAGCTCCAAGCTGGGATACTTTATCTGGCCCAATCCTGCACCACCCTTGGGGCACACAACAAATCCAAAGCTACTGCTTTCCCAGCCCTGAGAAGTATTGATCATCATTAGCAGCAGTAGGCATATGGTTGCAGAAATTTCCACAGACATAACTGAGTTTCCAGGAGAAAGTGGAACCCTTCCTGGCACATGGGCTGCCCCATGAGTTTTCCCCATGAGTTTAGGGCAGCCCCATGGGCTGCCCTAAATCCCACGAGTTTTCAGATTTGGGGACTAAGATTGCTCTATAATGCCTTGCTCTACCTTTATAGGTTTCAAATGTTTACAAAATAAACACATTCATACAGGTGAAAATATATTGTCATATTTGCATTTTATATATTGTTTTCATTTTATTGTAATTCTGAACAATGGAAATTTAAATTCAGTTTCACAGAAACTACACTGATGAACTATCTATATACACATGCACAGGTTGCCCAGGCATTTTAGGGCTATTGCAGGAAGCACACAGGCTAGCAGTATTAGCCATTCTGCTTATTTTAAAAGAGAGGCAATCTAGAAATGGTTTAAATGACTTTAAAAACAATCCAGCCACTAAAAAAGCAACTCTATGGCCACTAAGCAGTGTCTGGTCACTGGGTCATTTGGAATGCCAATTCCGCTCTTGGAAACGCACAACCAACACAAAAACAAACCTAACAAGCTTCTTCACCAAGGTCACAAACACCATCTCAGAGACAAGGTTTTGTTTCAAGGGGCAAGTGCCACCACAATATGAAATATCCTAGCCGTGTCTCAGCCTTCTTTTCTTGTGCTCTTAGACATCACACTCAAACAGGAAAAATTGGCTAAGTGTTTTACAGAGCAGAAGGAACAGAGAAAACCTTCACCTGAGCATTCCTCCTGTCTTGCACAGGATGACCACAATCCTCTGAATACAGAGGGGTACAGGCATCCATACTGGATTGTGCCCTAGAACACAAACTAACTCGTACCAGCCAAACTTCCTACCTTCATACCTCCATATAATGTCACATTTCTGTATAAAAGCACAGACACCCTAAGGGATAGATGGGACTACTAAGAAGTTAGAAAAAGCTAAATGAAATGGGTAACCCAAAAAGGTACACTTTTCTTACTCAAGACAAAAATATTTTTAATAGACTGTGCAACATATATAGCCACATAATATTGTGGTTCCCAGATGCATCTATATATGTTTTCCATTTTCCATTGTATAACACTAGAATCCATGTATGGGCTTGCCATATACATTTGGACGTTAAAACAACATCACTGCCATTTTGAACATACGCTAAAAACTGATCAACTCAGCAGCAATTTAAAGAAAACTTTTGCTGAACAGCTGAAGACTTTTTAAAGCCTGCTGAACATTTGGATCTCCCACCTGTCCTTCTCTAGATTTAAATTACTATGCCAGATACATTGACAACCATTCTACTTCTTAACAGTCATGGCTACCTCATAGATGAGGGAAGAACAGACCAACAGCAGTATAAATTTAATATGCACAATATGTCCTTGTTATTTTGAAACAGGCAAGTATATTTTTCTCTGTAGAAAAAAATGCAGCTGTAAATTAAGTCAAAGGGTAATCCACAAACAAAATAGAGCATAATAAAAATGATAATCAACAGACTGCTGTCTTTGCATACCAAATAGCACATGCTTCAAACACATGGTCCAAGACCACCAAAAAAAAAATCTGTTCTTGAGTTTTATTTTAAAAAGTTAGAAGCTACTGGTCATGTTATAAATCAATCTGAAAACAATTTATCTGTAATTTTTTTTGGGGGGAAACTGTTTGAACAAGAGAACAATATTGGGCAATCAAGCTTTCATCAACAAAAGTACTTTAAAATATCTTGAGGTACGGTTGTTACATGCCATCAAGTCATCCCTGACTTATGATGACCCTATGAATAAATGCCTTCCAAGGTGACCTGTCCCTCACAGTCAGCTCAACTCTTGTAAATACAAGACAGTGGCTTCCTTTATGCAATCGAGCTCTCTCATATTTTGTCTTCCTCTTCTTCTTCTGCCTTTCCAGCGAGTCTTGCCCTCTCAAGATCTGCCAAACTACAACAGCTGCCATTTCTTAATTTTTGCTTCCAGAGAAAGTTCTGGGTTGATTTGATATAGTACTCGCATGTTCATCTTTCTGTCAGTCCAGGGTATTCACAAAGCTCTCTTACAGCACCATCAATTTTCCTCCTATCAGCTTTCTTCACTGTCTAGCTTTCAGACTCAAATACAGTGATAGGGAATATAATTGTGTGGATGATCATTGTCCTGGTCTCCAGTGAAATGTCCTTATATTAGTTGATCTTCTAACCCACATTCAAAACATGTCATTCTCATTATTACCATTTGTTCATCAAAGACAACTAAATAACTACTAGAAGACTATTTCAAAAGCTTTCCAGCTCCTTTCACAGTTTTTCAAAATGGACAGCAACTACCCAGGCTGGAGTTTTTTCCACATGAATCAAGTTCTTCATGATACCAGTATTATAAATAAGATCCTCAGAAACTGAAGTATCTTTTTTAGCTAACAGTGCAATCCTATTTTCTGAGTATATCTACTCAGAAAAAATTCTATGCAGGCTTCCTCTCAGGTAAGTATGTAGGGGACCCCAGCCAGAACAACTATCTTCCATAAGTTTATACCTGAACTATAAGTTAGAATACCTTTGGTCTTAGAGACAACTATCATAATTAAGACGAAACTCCTGCATTATGGCAGTCTTGTTTGTTACCTAAGTTTGAAAAAATGAATTAAGGGCTACCTACTAGAGGAGGCCCTTTCTTATCCATTCTTATCCATTATCCATCCATTCCACATCATCAGAAGAGATATCAGCCAATTCCCTTCTCAGTCATTGTACCAAAGTAGTGTGTATGAACACATTAGCTCAGTATGTTGCCTTACACTTAGCCAAACGACTAGTAAATCTAGCTAAGCGATGTGTACTAGCACTAGCTCTCCCAAGTTATGGAACAATCTTTCCAAACCCTTCTCTCCAACTGGAAAAGCAAGGGATTGAATCTGGAATCTAACAGGCACTATGCATGAGTTATGGTCTCTCCACAATCTCAGAGAAAAAAATCAAAAGAATTAGAAAAACAGATAACAGAATAGTATAAAATATAAGTAATCAGCATATGAAGGATTGGAATAGGTATACAAGACAGCAGCATAGTATGTATTGGTTGCAAGGGTATTTGAAATCATTTAAATACAGGCACATAGTTCCAATTCCACTAACATGGGTTCATGAGCCACCAAAATGAACAGAAAAGTGGAACAAGGCTGCTGCAGTTACAAGCCTAGGACCTTTCAATATGTAAGCTTTCAGTAGAGATTCTGCTAATGTTTGTTTAGTGACTAATGTCTGATATGTCCCAGCATTCAGGCATCTCTCAAAGATGATGATAAGGAAAGTGAACAAGCAACAGTATCAGGAATTGCACTTGTTCTAGGACACTAGAGCACTGGTGTCTAGCATTCTGTCTGGGCCCATATGCAAATGTCAATATGGGATACACAGACTAAGCCATTTCCATGGCAGGCATGGAAGATGCAGTCATAAATAGACACATAATGGTAGCAGCATCTGTCTCCCACCTGTACATGCAGTATTCTTCCAATTACATGGCAAAACCATTCTGCCAGCGGTTTTCAAAATAGTGTACTTATGCCATAATGTTACCAACTGATTTTGGGTATAATAAGAGTTCTCATGTTCTCAGCTGTGGATAATTTTAAAGATGATGAAGGCAGAAAGTATGATAGATGCCATCACAACTGAGCACCTACTTGAGCTTAATGGTTACACCAACCCTCAGTAGTACTTAAGCACTCCAACCAATAAGGGCGGTAGATGCTCCACCCACTTCATGCACTACTTACTACTATCTACATATGAATACAGTAGTAAACAGAATTACCCTGCTACTATTCTTCTCTCCCACACAGCATGTGACAGTGCCAAAACAGACAAGTCCAGATTCAGACAGTGGCCATTACGTTGTCACCAATGCTCCCATATGCACAAACCAGCCTTCCCCCAGGCAGATGTGACAATATCAGAAAACATATGAGCCAATATGCAACAGCTTCAGCAACTTCACAAGAAGAATTAATCTCTTGTTATGTTTAATAACACAAGCTCTGAAAGAGTCAATGAGTAATCTCTTCCGCCCTCAAGAGACACCTCCCTGTCAGAAGGAGAAGCAAGCCATGATTAACCCTGCCAAATGCTGAGGCCTTCAAAACCAGGGTACTACACAAAGTGCAGTCAGATTCACAGGAACCAGGCCAAAGTCCCATTAAAGCTGACTGAACCCTAAAATATGGGGGGGGGGGTGGACTCCATGTGCTTCCTGTAAATTCCTCCTTTTTACATTTCAGATCCACTCTTCTTCTCCCACCACCAAGGTGGAGCCCAAGCATTTCCCCCCACCCCACCATAATCTAACCTAGTCTGGTCTGATCATCAACAGTGTGACAAGAAGCTATTACGGCCCCTCCCCAGATCCACACTCCCACAGGACCCGCCTGGCCTTTCTCCGCCCTCCCCTGCCCATCGCCCAAAGCTCCTGTTGCTCCGGGCCCCCTCAGCCAGTCTCTCTGGCCACTTCCCCCACCCCTTCTCTCCCATGAACGGGCACGGAAGGAAGGGGCCTAAGATCGCAAGCAGCCACGGCCTGGCGAACAGGCAAGTACGGAATGCGGGGCTGCTGGCCGGGAAGAGGCGCCAAGCCAGCCAGCAGAGGCAGGCGGGCTTCCTGATGCCGAGCCTGCGTGATCCCTGCTCAGACGCTAGGCTCTTCCCGCATTGTTGCCTCCGGGCCGGCTCCACGAAGTGCAGCCCCTTCCCCGCCCGCGCTGCTTGCTACTCCTGCCGCTCCTCAGGCTGCTGCTGCTGCAGCGGGCGCGACAGAAACGCCCTCGCCACCCTCCCTCTGCCCCCTTACCCTCTGCAAAATCCTCCTAAACATCGTGGCGGGGGTCACGTCTCCGCCAGGGCGACGACGGCTCCTAGCTGCTCACCGCGGGCCCCTCAGAGCCATTCCCAAATCACGGGGCCACTTCAGCCCCTCTCGCTCGCCCGGCCCAACTCGTCCCGTCGCTCCCTGACAGCGAGGGGAGGCGCTGCCAGGACTGGGGCGGAGGAAGGCGGGGGCGGGGCCGCGCGGCAGGCCCCGCCCCCTGGGCTGACTGCGAAAGGGGCGGGGCCGCGCGACTCTCCGTTCCTCCCCGCGGCCCCGGAGGGGAGCCCGGAGGGCGGGTCTCTGGCGGAGAGCGCGGCTGCTTGAGTTACGGGCAGGCGGGCAGACGTCGGCGGCGCGGCAGCAGCGCGCCCTCTCCGACGGGCGAGCAGGAAGGCGCGGCGCTGGATGGCGGCGCTTCCTCTCCGGCACCGTCGGAGAGTGCTCGCGGTGCCTGCAGCTCGCGTAGTCCTAGGCAGGTCCTAGCCTCGACTTCCTATCGCCATTTCTTGCTCCCAGGGTTTGCGGCCCGAGACTCACCACTAAGGAGCGAGTCCCACAGTCTCCCATCAGGGCCTAACCCAACCATCGATGTGGTTTGGGGGGGGGGGGGCTTAATGGAGTTCGTTCCCCACTCACAGATAGAAGAGATGATGTTAAGGCTTGGAAAATGGCTTTCTAAAAATAAGTCACGTTAAGGAAAATCAATCAATTAATACCCGTTTGTGAGTTTCCAAGACAGCCCATCCTTTCAGAGTGCAATACACAAGGAATCGTTTCAGCCTCCAGTTTTACCATTTCTGTGTGCTAGTAGAATGACTTGAATGGTTGAATAAAACCTCAGTTATATTTTGAGAAGACCCACTGAAATAAAAGACACAGTCTCCAACCCTGAATTAAGTTTTAAAAAACAACTGTAGTTCCACTGGAATATTTGCAATGCAATCAGGTGCATGATTACTCACAAGGCACTCCCACTGAGTTTAGGGCAATTTACTTTCCGTTTTGTGTATAGGAATGCAGCCTCAAAACTCACGTAAAATAGACAAAATTATAGAGTAGTACTACTTGCATTCATTAAACTGACAAAACATATGAGTCAATTCAATTAATATTCAGTACTATCAAGAAATGCTGACGCTCAACCTATTCTCATTCTGTTTTACCAATATGAGCACAATACAAACCCTCAGGAGTATTGGTTTTACTGTCCAAATGGACATTATGCAGATTGAAATGGGTCTAGATAATCTAGATAATCTTATCCAAGGATACTTGCAGCTGTAAAACCACCACCCTTTCAAATAGTTTGCATTGCAAGGTCTGTAACAAAGAACATGGCAAAGTCTAGAGGTATCCCAAATCCCGAACCTGCTGTCCCGTTCCATACTATCTGCAACGACTACTGTTGCGATTTTCATTACACAGAAGCAAAACAGGCTCATCATGGCAACTCTCCTCATGTCCATAATCTTCTTCCTTCTCACTCATCCAGGTGGTATCCCAAAGGCACCAAGGGGAGGAATGATGTTTCTCACTTTGACTGCCATGATCACAAGCTAACTTTAGCTAGCTGTGACTGTCAACCAGGGGAAAGAAGAAGACCCAAAACATAAAAATGTGATTGTGGTGGGTTTAAGTTCTATTCTTTCCCGTCCTGGCAGTGGTCTTGTGATTTATTAAAAAAACAAAGGAACAACCCCCATCCACTTGCTAATCCCTTAGCAACAGACTTCTCATAACTATGTCACCCACTATGTGAAAGAGGTTGCCTGCTCCAGAGTGAGAATGTGGTTCATCTTTGCTCATGATGAGTGAATGATGCTCTGACATGTATTACAGCAAACATCCCAGCTTCCCAGTGGCGTGTGCAGAGGGGAAATCAATGGACCAGCACTGCCCCGCAGATTCTAGGCCCTGCTGCTGGCCTGCTCATGCTCACTAGGGGGCGTTACTCTGACAAATGAGAGAGGCAATACAGAGGGAATCTGCTGAAGCACACAGCCCCCACCTGGCACTGCCACCTAGCAGATTCTCACTGCCCTCACATGTGCGGCAGCGAGCAACTGAGCAACACTGTTCATCTCCCAGCACTGACCCATTGATCTTTAGGGCAGGAGGTGGGAGAAAGGGGATGCCTCTGACACTTGCACAAATGGCGACTGCAAGTGGTGCTCTGTGGTTAGCCGCTTGACAAGAGCAGCAACAGCACACTCTTGCCAGGTGGCTCTATGGTTCTGGCATCATAGTAAGTTGCTTCTGTTGATGGTTTTTCAAAATGAAATGTACCACACTGAAATGCCACAAGGGGGTTCAAACAACACAACAGACCAACTTGTATAAAAAAAACACCACTGATTGTCATGTCATGCAAACCTGCTCATTGTAAAGTACAGAGGACACTACACAGTCAAGGAAGAGTGGGTTTGTGCTGCTGGCCCTGCCTGCTAGGTTGAGCAGTTCCCCTTGACCCAGCACGTGAGATCTGTGCATTGAGCCTGGATGTCTGCAGGGGTACAGCTTACACTACAAATGTAAGTTTTTCCCTGGTAGACATTAACAACTCATGCATAGATGGCAAGGGCAGCTCTGGTGAAGCCAAGCAAACATGAAGGTTGAACCAGTGTAATTCCATTGGTTCTTGATTACATGGAAGTCCCTTCACATACCTAATAGGTGAGGGCAGCTATAGTGATATGTACCAGTACCCCCGGGATCTTCAGTGTGGTCTCCACAGGCACCACGCACCCACAGAGACCTACTAAGGTGCCTGTCAGAATCTTTATTCTTCTCACTGCATAATCATAAATTATAGTGGACAGTTTCTGTTTATTCTAATCTACTATGTTATTGTCCAGGAGACTCAGAAAAAGAGTGAGTAAAGAAGAGAGAGGGCAAGCAAAGAAATCTACTAATGGGAGCCACGGTGGCCAGAGGAAAGCCAGTGGGGAGATCAGTCTTGGGGGGGACAAAAGTTTGTGTGTGTGATATGTGACCATCCCGAGACCATTTGGTAGTGGATGGTATGCAAAAGTGTTAAATAAATAAATAAATAAGTGTGATGTGTGTTATGAAATGAGAAAATATGTGGGTTTCTTGCACAGGATATGCTGTCTAAACCCTGTTGTGATACCTCAGCATGGTACATTTGATTTTTAGAAACCATAATAAGAAACAAAGGTCTCTTCTATGGTTTCCACACTTCATCCTATTTTCTCTGGTCATTGGAACCTGGCAATATAGTTTCCACAGTTCTGGGATACAGATAACATATTGTCCACTGGAAAGAACAGGAGCTACAAGAGTTGTTCCAACCATTCACCATGGGATTGACTTTCATGCATGGTGGCTGATGGGATACATGCAACAGTGGGAAGACTAAGATAGGAGGCTAGAACCCAGTCTAGCATAGAAACTACTTGTTCATCTCTCATGCACACCCAAGCAAAAAGAACGCACACCATGGAAACCACATAGGGTTGCTTGTCGTGGCATATGGACCCGACTGTTCTGTGTGCAAGAGAAGAAAAGCTTTGGGTGATCCAGAACAGGGAGAAATACTTTTTTTGGGAGGCAGGACAGTAATCCTAACAGAAGTGGGTGGTGATTTTGTTTTGGCAATGTTTATTTTCTTCGTGCTTTGTAGAAATGTTTCCTGCTGATTTTCCTATCTGAGGAAATCAGCTTGCTTTTCTGTGAAAGCAAAAAAAGCTTTGTTGGAGCAAAAACAGTAGGGGTTCAAAAAAAAGTATTTGTCTTTGCCATTTGGTGAGGTATGTGTTTTGTTCCAGGTCATGACAGCCATTTTGTAAGAGCATTGGCAACACTTTCACAGCAATGTGTCCAAGCGGATTGTAGATTACTGTTGTAGAAAGAAGAGACTAAGAAAAAAACATACAATGAGACCTAAATTAGCTGCTTAAGTTCTTACTAAATGGTTGGCATGAAAATGTACAAAAGCAATAATTAGATGCTATGCAATTTAATTAAGGTCAAACTCAGTAGATGATTCAAAGCAATTATATCCTGCTATCATGCATGTACTAAAGATACATAGTTTAGGCCCAGTGCTTCACAATGAATTTAGCTCATTCTATCTTCAGCTAAATATGTCTGTTTAGTGTCTAATTCTAGGCTTCTTTATTTTCTGCATTGTCTAATATCAAATGTTTTAAAAATAAAGTAATAACTAAAAATAATAGACCACAACCACAAATGGAAGCAGAGAATAGTAACAGTACAAGTGATCTTAAATATTTGTTTAAAAAACAGATTTGGTTAGGGTGCTATGCAGAACTCAGAATTACTGGCATCCGATGGAGGACAGGAGTGTGGAGGCAAGGCTTACATTGGCACCCCTCCCTCCCTCCAAAGCATTTAAACTGATTTGGCCATTTCAGGTACTGACACCAGCTCCCCAGGAAAGGAGGATTTTTCATAGGATGGCCACACCGTGCTCTTCCTCTTCTCCCCACCCTGGAACACCCCCAACGCCCTCAATCTTGGAGGCTCAGCCAGAGCAGAAAGATCTTTGCTGGCTGCAAGGATGGAAGGAGGGCACTTTGACTTTGGCGTCCCAGCTCCCACTGTGGAGCACTTTGGAACTAGGACTCTAAATTATCCTGCAACTCCACAGATAGTGTCTAGTGGCCATAGGATTGCTCCTTACACATTACTTTCAGGTCAAGAACTGTCTTGGAAAATATTCAGGCTTCTGTATCGGGTGACCATTTACGAATTGCCAAAGTGGAAGAAATGAATTTCCGAAAAAGAGAATGCTGATTTGCATAAAAATTGCATGGGTTGATTTGTATGTACAGAAGGAAATTTAAAGACTATGGCTAGGAGACCTGTGTGCCTTGCTCAGCCTGTTTCCAGGGCGCTGCTAATGGACAACTTTAAGGTGCAACTGTTCCTTCTGATGGCTCTTTATCTTTAAAACAGACTTCAACAGAGAGCTATCTTCTGTTAAAAAAAAAAGGATGTCTGGCCACTATGGTCCTGCATGGCAGCTAAACAAAAGTGTTTACTTTTGAAATTTCCCATGCCATAGACAATAATGTGAATGATTAAATTTATCATTTTCTCAGTTGAAGAAAATGCTTGTGAAAATATAAATACATGCTGTTAATCTGTGGCTGATTCAGGCAATATCCTGTTTGGG